CCAGCAGATCAGCTGGGACTCTGATCAGCTGGGATTCAGGAGGCAGCAAATAGATGGGGCCGGGGCCAACCAGAGGTGGTATTTACAGGTTGTCTGAACTCAAAAAGCCAGTCAGAACTGACTGAATAGCACCTCTTGATACAATTCATGTCAAAATGGGGCTGGCCTTGGATTGCACAGTGGCAGCTGCCTCTGACTTTTTTTTTTGACTCCTTTCATAGATGACTCTGCTAGTATTCTGCTACCTTGCATGTAAACTGAATTGAGAAACTACCATATTTTTCGGAGTATAAGACATACCTTTTTCCTCCCTAAAAGGGGGTGAAAATTTAGGTGCGTCTTATACATTGAATGTAGCCCCGCCCACCACTGGCCCCCTCCCTTTGGCCTCTGCAGCCCAGCAATTTACCTCCTTGCGGCAAGAAGAAACAGCCCGTTTCAGCTTCAGCACAGCCTAATTAGCACAAGTTGATTGTCCCTTGAATCAGCCTCCCGACTCTCAGCTGTTTCAGGCTGCAGTGATTGCCATTGCCTATTGCTGCGCGGGCTTCTGCTGCTTGCTGCAAGGAGGTAAATTGCTGGGAGCAGGGTTTTTTTCCCCTTGTGCTAATCATGCTATGCTGAAAACGAAAATGAAAGTAAAGCAAGCTATTTGCTGTTTGCTGCAACGAGGCAAAATTGCTGGGAGGCAGAGGCAGATTTCTTTTTCTTGTTTTCCTCACCCAAAAAGGTAGATGCATCTTATAGTCCGGAGCGTCTTATACTCCGAAAAATACGGTAATTCTTTTGGTTTCCCAATCCCAACCCGCCTGGCCGGTCCAAAAAATACAGGATCTCTTCAATTGGCATTCATGATGGGACCCTCTTCAAGAGTTATTCTTGTTTTAAGCATTGATTAGGCTGACGGAAGTAACTTCTAGTCCATCCATGATCCTTTTCTCAGTTTCACCCTGCACAAAAAAGATTATGCCAGTAATAGGGGAAGAATTATGGGGCAACAGGAGGGCTCTGTCATTGATCTGGGTTACCAGAAAGGATGAATGGGCTCGTTTTACATCTTTAAACCTTCCACGGTTCAGATAATAACCACAGCATGTACTGAATAAACGGCTCCTTGGTTGAAACAAATCAACCTTACTAAAGGAAGATCAATTATCAGCCATTATCTGGCATGTTTTGTGGACTTCTTCGTCATGAATTATGTGGTATTTACTGTCACATAATCAGTTATCACAGTCAGCATTATAGAACCTAGCTTTGATAGCAATAGCACTTAGACTTCTATACTGCTTCACAGTGCTTTTATAGCCCTCTCTAAGCGGTTTACAGAGTCAGCCTATTGCCCCCCAACAATCTGGGTCCTCATTTTACCGACCTCGGAAGGAGGGAAGGCTGAGTCAACCTTGAGCCAGTCAGGATCGAACTGCTGACAGCAGGCAGAGTCAGCCTGCAATACTGCATTCTAACCACTGCACCACCATAGTTATTTAATGAATAATATAGGTTCTTAATTGGATGAACAGAGAAACTCGACCAATACTGTAGGCATGTGAAGGAATTCATATAGGGCTGAAAGCAGGGGTGAAATCTACTTACCTTCCCTACCAGTTCGGAAGTGCATGTGTCACATGCGGACTCTCGCACATCACATGCACGCGCGGGCCCTCTGCACATGCGCAAACCCTTCTGCACATGCGCAGAGGGTAAAAAACAGGTTACTTCCTAGTTAAAATCAGGAAGTAACGATGACCGGGCAGGTGGGCGGTGCCTTGCACCGCCATTGCTACCGATTCTCTGAACCACCCGCCGCCATCGCTACAGGTTCAGCAGAACCGGTCCGAACTGGTAGCATTTTACCCCTGGGTGAAAGGCTGTAGCAGTGTTTGTCAACCTTGACTACTTTAAAATATATGGACTTCAACTCCCCAGCCAGCCATAGGACTCTAGATCTATAGACTCTAGATTTTTCCTTCCCACTTTAGTTCTAGATAGGATGATATTTTATTAGACAGAATGAGAGTGCAATTTGCTGGTCCTTCTGGATCCACGGCTCCTGTTGGAAGAGCAGGTGGCAGCCGTGACTTTGCTTCCATTTCTGGATGTGGAGGCCCTTCTCACAGTCCTAATCACTTCACAGATGGATTATTGATTGATTGATTGATTGATTGATTTGATTTGATTTGTATACCGCCCTTCTCCAGCAGGACTCAGGGCGGTGAACAGCCGAAATAAAACAGAGCATACAAAATTTAAAAAACAATTTAAAAGGTAATTAAATAATTTCGGCCCACAATTTAAAACAACCCAATTAAAACCAATTTCAAATTAAAACCGAAACGGATGGGATCAAGCCAGCCCGGCTAGGTGAAATAAATGAGTTTTCAGGGCCCGACGAAAAGTCCGGAGGTCTAGTATTGTGCGTATATCTAGGGGTAGGTCGTTCCAGAGGGCAGGTGCCGCCACAGAGAAGGCTCTCCCCCTGGGGGTCGCCAGCCGACATTGCTGGCGGACGGCACCCTGAGGAGGCCCTCTCTGTGCAAGCATATTACCGGATTACTGTAATGCATTTTAGATGGGGCTGCCCTTGAAGACCCTTTGGCCCAGAATATGTTACAAGCACACCTCAGTACACCCATTAACCCTGCTACTTTGCAAGAGAGGGTTCTGTTGTGACCTAGGCTTCCTGAGTCATTAAAACACAGGAGTAGTCCCAAAAACCTCTTTTATTGCAACAGCTGTGAATTATGGCCATTCACAGCTGAGTCCCAATTAGTTGCAAAAAGTCCTTTGGGAGAAATCCTTCGAGATAATCACCAACCTTTATCTCCCTTGCACTGCCAAAGACCTACTTGGCAAAGCCACATGGATTCCAGAAAAACAGAAATGCCGACTGGAAACAGAATTAACAATGTTGCTTTCCTGCAAAGTGCCCACGTGCCTTTGCTCCTCTTTTAAGCCTTATGGGAGGGGCCAATCATCTCCAGGCCTTACTTCCAAGTTGCCCCTTTTGTTTTAACTGTTCGTGCCTTCTGGCAGCTCTGCGCATGCACGCACTAGGAACAGGCTCCTCCTGTTCCTCTTCCTCTCTGCTGTCCGACTCTGGAGGCTCCAGAGTCTGCGCATCACTCCCAGATGGCCCTGGCCCCATCACTCCCAGATGGCCCTGGCCTATGCTCTTCCCCAGCCTCCTCCCTGTCCAACTCCACTGCCAGCTCCGCAGGCTGCTGGCGGACCACAACATTAACAACAACACCTTATGGGACCCAGGAGATATCTCCTCTCTGTTTTTGTGTTTGATACAATAACCCCAAAGAGGTTCATGCAGCTCCAACTTTCCTGTCTTTAGCAGTCATTCGGCAAAAATGGAAGAACTGGTTGACTCTCATGAGAAAGCAACCAGAACCACTCCTGGAAAGTCTCAATGGTAGTTTTATTGTTCGACTATTTTACAAGAATCTCATCAGACTGACTGCATTCCCTTGGGAAGGGCAAGATAAGGATTCGAGGGGATGGGAGGCCTGTGCAGCTTTCTGCAATGCAAGGATTCTAACAAGCTTAGAATCCTTGCATTGCATAAAGCAGCACAGCTTGTCTCCCTCTTGACACCACCTTCCAGTCTAACTGGAGATTCCATCAGACGTAAAAGTAAATGTTTCCCCTGTCCAGTCGTATCCAACTCTAGCGGGTGGTGTTCATTTCTGTTTCTTAGCCAGCACTGTCCAAAGACATTTCCATCATCATGTGACCACCATGACAATACGCCAAAGAGCATGGAACGTTGTTACTTCCCACCAAAGCATACTGCTCTATCTACTCGCATTTGCATGCTTCTGAACTGTTAGCTTTGCAAGAACTGGAGCAACGGAACAGGAGCTCACCCTGTTGCGCAGTGCCCGGGTCTCGAACCTGGACTATCAGCTTTTGAGTTGACAAGCTCAGCATCTTTAACCACTAAGATACCGCGCCCCTTTGAGCTTCCACCACACCCTAATCATCATCATCATTTAATAACCCCATAATCCCTAGCAGGATGGAGTCTGGGCAACTGAATGGAGCTAACAGAATGTTTTAATGGCCGGATGCCCTTCTTGTTGCCAATGCGGAGTTTTGTTCAGCAGATATATTCTCAATGTGCCCAGAGAGAGAAATATCTGCTTCTACCTAGGATCAAACTCACAGCCTCCTGATTGTGAGGCAAGAGCTCCACCTCTAGACCACCGTGCCACTCCTTCCACCACACCCTAATACCAGGGGTGAAATCCAGCAGGTTCTGACAGGTTCTGGAGAACCGGTAGCGGACATTTTGAGCAGTTCGGAGAACTGGTAGCGGAAATTTTGAGTAGATTGGAAAACTGGCAAATACCACCTCTGGCTAGCCCCAGAATGGCGTGGGAATGGAGATTTTGCAGTATCCTTCCCCTGCCACGCCCACCAAGCCACGCCCACCAAGCCACACCACGCCCATCAAGCCACGCCCACAGAACCGGTAGTAAAAAAAAATTGGATTTCACCACTGCCTAATACTTACATGAAATGGAGGTAAAAGCCACAAGGTCATTGGGTCCTTGCAGAATCTGTTGTGCGTCGTATCCCATTTGTCAAAAAATTATCATCATCACCCCCACCACCCCACAAGAGATGTATCCGCAATCTTTTGCTACCAATTTGGACAATTTATTCCTCATCCCACAAACCTCCAGACTACAAGCGATTGGGCTAGAAAATACCCATGGATATTTTTGGCCACCATTAACTGCTCTGATGGGCTGCTGTGTTCAGGAGATTCTCCAGACCGTAGCTTAATATTTGTCCCCCAAAACCCTAAGGAAAGATCAGCACATTTTGCAAGGGGAAATAGGCTCTCTTGAGCAAATAGACGAGATACATCGGCTGCTAAACCGAGCCCTTTTTTGTGTGTACAATGGGCCTCTTTTCCTCCGCTCTGTAGCTGAAAGCACACAGCACGCTCTAAGAAATCTTGAGCTGTGAATGCAATGCCTCATGTCCAACTTTAAAGTTGGACCAGCCCTTCTGCCCCTCCTTCTTTCTCCCCCACCTTTCTGGAGAACCTGGGGTTTTTTTTCCCCACCTCTCACTGAATGCTGCCCCTGGTTGATCGATCTGTCTCCCCTTGTCCTTCCGAAAACTCTAGAAGGAAGGTGGGTTCGTTCTGAAGGAAAAGGTGGATTGGATCAGCGGGGAAGGAGTTAATTAAACTTGGAAGGAAGAAGAAAACTTCTCTTGTGCCTTGGGACTGGGACAGAGACAACGATGGCTGGTTTATTTTTCCTTGGAATATTTTTATCTCAACTTTTAGCCATCACTTCTGCTCAGGTAAGAGTCTCTTTCCCTTTTGGAAGGCCAGAACATCAAACCTATAGCATTGAGAGAGCTAAAATGATTGTTATACTTATGGATACAATATCCTCCTTTAAAATAATTAATGATGATGCTGCCTTGCTAATATATTACAGAATAATAGAATTGGAAGGCAGGTTGGAGGTCTTCTAGTCCAACTTTCTGCTCAAGTAGGAAACCCTATAACATTTCAGACAAATGGTTGTCCAATCTCTTCTTCAAAACCTCCAGTGTTGGAGCATTCACAACTTCCAGAGGCAAGCTGTTCCAATTGTTCTAACTGTCAGAAAGTTTCTCCTTAGTTCTAGATTGGTTCTCTCCTTGATTAGTTTCCATCCATTGCTTCTTTTTCTGCCTTCAGATTCTTTAGAGAATAGGTTGACCCCCGCTTCTTTGTGGCAGCCCTTTCGATATTGGAACATTGCTATCATATCACTCTCACTCCTTCTTTTCATGTGTGTATGTGTCTAAAGTTGCATAAACCTATAACAGGGATCTGCAACCTTAAACACTCAAAGAGCCATTTGGACCCGTTTCCCAGAGAAAAGAAAACACCGGGAGCCACAAAACCCTTCCCGTGCCTGACTATTTCCTGAGCGGCCACAAAACTAGCATAAGTAGTTGAATTAAACGTTCTCTTTTCTTCTGAAACTTTTCTTTCTTGGATTTATTCATGGTTGGCCTACCGGGGGTTGAAAAGCTCAATAAATCTTGTGCAGGCGGGTGTTGCACATTGGCGGTTGTGACACATATTTTGACTGACAGGGAGCCGCAGCAGAGGGGTAAAAGAGCCACATGCGGCTCCAGAGCCACAGGTTGCTGACCCCTGCCCTATAACATCTCTTTTGTTTTTTATTTAGCAATAAAAAAATTATATGGTCACCCCAACTCACTCATAGTGACTCTAGGCAGCTTACAGAAATAAATTTAGTTCTGATAAGAATATTTGTAGTTCAATTTGTAGTTGAAATGAGGGGTCCTTGGTGCTCTCTGATCTTCGTTGTTTTCCTGCAGATGTTTTATTATCAAACTAGGTAACATCATCAGTGCATTAATCAAGGACATTATCTAGTTTGATAATGAACCTTCTGCAAGAAAACAACCAAGCTCAGAGAGCACTAAGGATCCCTCATAAAATTAGTTATACAACTAATCGGCACTGGGGACATCTAATGATTTACTCAAGATCCATTTTCTGGTGACAACTTCCACAAAAATAAGACAATAAATATTATCCTAAAAATTGGTCTCCAGCTACTTAAAACCAAATTTCATGCAGAAATGGGTGAGAATTTTTTTCTTTAAATAATGTTGGGACTTTTTTAGAACACCAAAGGAAGGTTTCACTTATGTGCAATTAATCTTTGTCATCCCCGTGTATGTCCTGACCTTTTCATAGAGGAACATATGAAGGAGACTATTTTTCTAAGCCAATTTCATAATTGGGAACTTAGAGTAAAAACTGGACTAGTTTTACTGAGCTGGGCTTCCAAATCACATCAGGATCAGATAATAGAATGTTTTAAGTCACAGGCCCTGTCACCCAGTAGCCACATTGTAGTTAAAATATTTTCAATTCCCTTTTTCCTTCTTTAGTAAAAAAAAAAATAGAGAGGATTTAAAAAAAAAAGGCAAAAAGTCAGTTTGGAAAAAAAATGCTTCAGGTGCAAGGATTAAGTTTCACAATGTACAAAATCTCCTCAGTTCTGTACTTTCAGCTGCACTCACAATTTAGTTTAGTTCTCTACTTGCAGTGCATTTGAGGCAAATGTAAGTCAAGGCATTTACCCTGTTAAAAAATCTATTTTAAAAAAGAACCTAAAACAGGTTAATGTGGCTGAATAATGAAGAAAATATCGCTTTCTTAATTAGCAAATCAAAGTGCACAGGATGTTTTTTGCAGCCAAATTCAGGAATCGGGAATCTCTCCTCAGATGTGAGCAAATCCTGCTATACAATGAAACCTTTGTAGGTACAAATTGGTTGAAAGTTTCTTTCTGAGACCAAGTTTTTTTTCCCCCACATAAAGAAACCTTTTATAGCATCTTTTTTTCCCCCTGCATACCTAGAGCTGAAAATAAAACACTGCCGGTATTTAGAAAGTAGTGCCATCGGACTGAACTGTGAAATTCATTGGGAATTAAAGATACGCCTGTACCCACAACCCTGTAATAAAGTTGTTCACTTAACAACTGTGTTACTAACTTAACAACGGCAGTGATTCGCTTAACAACAGTAGCAAGAAAGATCGTAAAATGGGGCAAAATTCATTTAACAATTGCCTCAGTTTACAATTTTTTTTTTTTAAAAAAACTGTCTCAGTTAGCAACAGTTAGCAATTTTGCGCTCCACTGTGGTTGTAAGTCGAAGACTTATTTGCACTGAGATGCAAATAAGATAAATTTTAATGGGTTAGGATACTTTGAAGTTTGGCATTCCTTAATTCCCGGGAAGAAGGACCTTCTCTGTGGCGGCTCCCTTCCTCTGGAACATCATTTCCCCAGGGATAAGACTAGCTCCAACTCTGTTACTTGTCTGCAAGGCCTTGAAGACATGGTTTTGTCAGCAGTCCTGAGAACCAGTGGTGGGTTGCTCCCGGTTCGGCCCGGTTCGGGCGAGCCGGTAGTGGTGATGATGTGACGTCAGCAAACCGTTCTCTATGACTGTGAGCTGGGCCCGCCTGCCTGCCCCGCGTTATACCTACCTTTATTTGTTGTTTTTTAGCCCAGCTGATAGGTGCGGCAGAGTGGATTGCTGGCCTCAGCTAGGCAGAAATCTAATGCGCTTGCGCAGAGCGCAAGTTTGGCGCATGTGCGAGCGAAGCGAGAAAGCGCACGGTGATCGCGCGCAAAGTGCGTGCATGAAGGGAAGTGGTGGTAACGCCGGTTGGAACCCACCACTGCTGAGAACCCCATTCGAAGAGGAATAAATTGTGTATCTGGTTGTGTTGTTACCTCCATGGGGTGTGAGCGAGGAGGGGTTTAAACTGTGGATTTTTAACTCTGGGTTTTTAATGTTGTATGCTGCCTGGAACCACTGTCTGCAAGCTGCAAGTTGGGAGGCTATATAAATCTGTTTAATAAATAAAAATAAATAAGCTAAAGACAGCGGCATTGAATCCTCCCAATTGGGCATCTTTCAAGTATGTTCAAATAGATCTCTTGATAGGGGAATGACAGCCATGTCCGTCCCCACCCCACAAGTGAAGAACGCTCTACTAAATGAATATAGATAATCCTCGATTTACAACCATTTGTTTGTAACCAAGTTTACAACGGTGCTGAAAAAAGGAACTTACGATCATTTTTCACACTTAACAACCATTGCAGCATCCCTATGGTCATGTGATCAATATTTGGGTGGCACGTATAAATACTGGCACATATTTATGATGGTTGCAGTGTCCCAGATTGATGTGATTTCCATCTGCGCTCTTCCCAAGCAAAGTCAATGCAGGAGGCTGGATTCATGTATTGACCATGTGATTCACTTAACTGTGGCCAAAAAAAAAAAAAGGTTGTAAAATGGGGCACGGTTCCCTTAACGACCGCTTTGCTTAGCAATGGAAATCCTTGGTCTCCGTGGCGGTCGTAAGTTGAGGACTACCTGTAGTAGGTGACAGAGCATTTTATAAGAAGAGCCATGGTTAGAATGCAGGATGGCAAGCTCATTCTGCCGACTGCCAGCAGTTCGATTCTGACCGGTTTAAGGTTAACTCAGCCTTATGTCTTTCCGAGGTTGGTAAAATGAGGACCCAGATTATTGGTGGGGGGGTGGGGGCAACAGACGGACTCTGTAAACCGCTTAGGGAGGGCTGTAAAGCCCTGTGAAGCGGTATATAAGTGCTATTGCTATTTGAAGCAGGAGGTTTATTTCCAAAATGAGACAGCCCCAAAGAATACCCAATTCACCAGAAGGAGGGAGAAGGGGTTGCAATGAATTTCAATTTCTATTGGAATTTTAAGAGTCTGACTATTTTGCTTTGTCGTGCACTACGTTCAAACAGTAGCTTTCTTCTGATGTGAGGCTTCAATTTTCCTCTCTCCAGAGGCCAGGATCACGAGGCTTGCCTGGACCGCGGGGACCTCCAGGGTCACCTGGCAAGGATGGCATTGATGTAAGTATCAAGGAGGCCAGAGTTAGTTCAGACTAGAACCTGAATGGGGTAGATTCCAGGGGGTGATACAGAAATACAATTTTATGTCGTTTTATTCTATTTTACATGTTTATGTATTAAATCATTGTATTTTATCCTATAACTACAGTGATGGCCAAAATTGTGGAAACCTTTTGGGAAAAGTGTATTTTTGAGGTTTGATGGCTAATAGCACCACTTTTTTGGAGAGTTTCAAGATAATCCTACTCCACTGCTGGAATGGCCTGGGAATAGCCCAGACCTTAACCCAATTGAAAATCTATGGAGCCGACTAAAGAAACTTGTTAGTCAGAAGCGACTCAGCAATAAAACCCAGTTAATAGAAGCAATCATTCAATCTTGGTTTCACATTATCACAGCTGCAGAACTAAAAGACTTGGTTCACTCCATGGGAAGAGGTTGTAAGACCATAATTCATGCTAAAGGTTACCCAACTAAGTATTAACTGACATGGTGATCATTTTTGTATATCTCGCTTTTTCTATGGTGATCATTTTTGTATATCTCATTTTTTTCTACATGTTTCTCTTGTCTTCTTTATCCTGTAACTGCTATTCTAATAGCAAATCCTTCATAAAAGTTATTGCATTACATTCTTGATTAAATTATCTTTCCATTGATATATAATTTTATGGTCCTACTCCAAAAAAAGTGGTGCCTTTAGATAGTTTTAGAAAATACTCATTTCTCAAAAGGTTTCCACAATTATGGCCACTACTGTGTTGTAGTTTACCCTACGCTCATTTTAAATTGTTTGTTTAGAATTTTATTGGTAATATGTGTTTGAACCTGCACGTTGATATGGCCTATAGGCTAATCAATCAATCAATCAATCAATAAATATAAATAAGTTCAGACTAGAAGGAGAAAGGGATAGAAGGTTTCTGCGGTCAGCTACTGATTAAACTGGATGATTTGCAGTGGATTTTATGAAGTTCGATGTAGCCTAGAATCCTTCCTTTCTCCTTTATGAGATTACCTCAGTCTACCTTTCTTGAGGAGGCACCAAGAAAAGTCAATTAAGGCTTCTTCCTGAGGAAAAAATAAAAAGGCCACAATTGCTTCTCTGGGACAAATTCAAGCCCCGATTCACGTAAATTAAGGCAAAAACAAAAGCTTAATCACGAATTACTAAGATGAATGTTTAAATACATGCTTCGTTGGAAAAGGCTTGTTTCGCCCTGTGATCAGCATTAACGTGAATTAATGAAATGTTAGGAAAACTGGCATCCATCAAGTTTTTGTATCCCTGTGGGAGAGGGGAAAAAAATCACAGTAATACATTTATTTATTCTAGCAAAACAACACGCCACACTTTGGAGAAAATAATTATTTTGTGCTATTTTAACATGGGTCCACCTCAGCATTACAGAGATACAGATTAACAGGGTTGGAAGGGAACTTGTAGGACATCTAGTCCAACCTCCTGTCCAAGCAGACACTACACCATTTCTGACAGATGGCAGTCCAATCTCTTCTTGAAAGCCTCCAGTGATGAAGCTCCCACAACTTCCAAAGGCAACTTCTGTTCCATTGGTTGATTGTTCTCACTGTCAGAAAATTTCTCCTTATATCCAGGTTGAATCTCTCCTTGATCAGTTTCCATCTATTATTTCTTCTCTGGCCTTCAGGGGTTTTGGAAAATAGCTTGACCCCTTCCTCTCTGTGGCAGCCCCTCAAAAATTGAAATACTGCTATTATGTCTCCCCTGGTCCTTCTCTTCACTAGACTAGCTATGCCCAGTTCCTGCAACCGTTCATTGTTAATATTTCTCTCTTTTTCCTTACCTGTTTAGGGAGAACCTGGGCCCCCAGGTTTGCCAGGAACACCAGTAAGTATTATTCTGTTGGGACAATATTATTTTGTTGGGACGATCTTCAAGAAATAGGCAGAAATAATTTTTGATAGGAAGGAGATCCAAGCATGGAAACAAAAAGGACTGCAAGAAAAACTGCTAAATATCTGGCCAGTTTTTGAAGTAAAGGAACATCTCCAGACCATTTTCTATTACTACTTTAGAACTTCTAAAGGAAGAAAGAGAGTTAAACCTAGAGAACCTTCAAGATTGAGAGATATGGGAATGAATGAGAAGCCAACCAAACATTTGAGCCTGCAGCCCGCACACCAGTTGGTAAATCACTTATTAAAGCTGGGTATTCTGTCATCATGTTGTTACAAGTCTGTGATTGTTATATTGACAAGAATAACAGAGTTGGAAGGGACCTTGGAGGTCTTCTAGTCCAACCCCCTCCTCTAGCAGGAAACCCTATACCATTTCAGTCAAAGGGTTGTCCAATCTCTTCTTTAAAACCTCCAGCGATGGAGCACCCACAACTTCTGAAGGCAAACTGATCAATTGTTCTCACGTCAGGAAATTTATCGTTAGTTCTAGGTCAGGAGTCTCCAACCTTGGCAACTTTAAGACTTGTGGACGTCAACTCCCAGAATTCCTCAGCCAGTTTTCAAGAAGAAGCTTTGCTTTGCTGGCTGAGGAATTCTGGGAGTTGACGTCCACAAGTCTTAAAGTTGCCAAGGTTGTAGACCCCTGTTCTAGGTTGGTTCTTCTCTCCTTGATTAGTTTCCATCCGTTGCTTCTTGTCCTGCCTTCAGGTCCTCTGGAGAATAGGTTGACCCCTCTCTTCTTTGTGGCAGGAAAACAAGAAAAAAAATAGTTTTTGGCCTCCGTGTGTCCAGGTTTTGCCCTTCCCGGCCCACAGGAGCATTCTGCAGGCCTCCCAAACCCTCTGTGCGTCCCATTTTTGTGAAAAACGGGCCCGTTTTTGGCTTCCCAAACCCCTCATGCGTTGCGTTTTTGCCCTCCCCAGCCCCCAGGTCTCCCAAACCCTCTAGGCATCCCGTTTTTGTGAAAAATGGGCCTGTTTTTAGCAAAAACAGGATGCGTGGGCAGAGTTTTGGGAGGCAAAAAATGGCTGTATTTGGTGTATAAGATGCATCAACATTTTCACCCTCTTTTAGGGGGGGGAAATGTGTCTTATACCCACGAAAAGTACAGTAAGTGAAAGTCGCAGGGAATCTCAGAGTCGGCTTTCACCAGTTTGTGCCAATACGATGTATCCAATAAACCATTCTTTGAGGCGCTCAAGTGCCTCAGAGTTTGTTTTCTATGGGTGCATTACTTGGAACCCTGACACACTCTTTTTAGAGTCTCTCTGAACACCTTTTTTATATCAGGATGACCAAAACTGGACACAATATTCCAAGTGTGGTCTTACACCTTGTCTATTTACCTGGTTTCAGGGCCTCAAAGGATCACGAGGGAAACCTGGGAAGAAAGGAGATGCTGGTTTACCAGGCCTTCCTGGGGTAGATGTAAGTATTCAAGCTTTCCTGTGTTTTATCGTCTCCTCTTCCCATCGTCCACAGGAGATAAATTTCTTTATCCACCGGGGTGTTTATTATCTCCGGATCCAAAAGTACCGTGGCACCTGATCAGTGCCAAACAAACGGTTTGCCAAGTTTTCAATCTGACTTAGACCATTAAGAGTTTCTTGTTGTCTTCCATCCAAACATTAAAAAGTGGTCACATTTTGGTTTAAGGAGAATGATGGTTCTTCTATTTTCAATTTTCTCCCGATTCCTATTCTGTCTAATACAGGGGTCTCCAACCTTGGCAACTTTAAGACTTGTGGACTTCAACTCCCAGAGTTCCTCAGCCAGCAAAGCTGGCTGAGGAACTCTGGGAGTTGAAGTCTCTGGGAGTTGAAGTCCACAAGTCTGAAAGTTGCCAAGGTTGGAGACCCTTGCTCTAATACATTCTAATATTCTTTCTAATATCTTCTTCTCATTCATTCTCAGGGTTTAACAGGTTTGGATGGCCCGCCTGGACCAATAGGATCCCCAGGAGACCGAGTAAGTAATCATTTTATTGGTACTGAAGCTCATTATTGTGCAGCTCTTCAACTAAGGATGAGTTATCCCAAGCTGTGTCCAGCATGAACACATTGAAACACATTGTTGTTGTTATTATTAAGATCCGAAACAAGATTTTTCCAACTTGACAGGTGTGGACTTCAACTCCCAGCATTCTCTATGTCAGCATACTGTTTAGGGAATTCTGGGAGTTGATATTCACATAGGCTGGCTGGGGAATTCTGGGAGTTGATGTTCACACAGGCTGGCTGGGGAATTCTGGGAGTTGAAGTTCACATATGCTGACTGGACAATTCTGGGATAATTTGGGGAATTGAAGTCCACACATCTTAAAATACCAAGCTTAAAAAATACTTGTGTGAAGGAACTTGTTTAGTTTTGATTTAATTGACAGTTCCCCCAAGATCCCCTAACAGGATTTTCATGGGGGAAGATTGAACATTAATTAAATTTCTGCAAATTAGGGGACTGAGCTCAGAAAGGGTTAGGATTGGGTGGATGACTTCTTATGAGAACTGACAGCCCTGTTTAGCAACTTTCTAGTTAGAAAGTGAAATGTTCTCCTCCAGAAGCTATTACAAAGGAAAGCAACACAAACAATTATTTTCTAACCAGCCAAGGTCATGGGGGACATTCCATAGACTGGAAAAAACATAAAATGATTTAAAAGAAAACAAATAACCTGGCATTTGTGAATGGATGTGAACTTTAAAAACAATTGCAGCCTGATTTTTGAAGGTAGGTGGGAGCTAATTACCATTTTTTGCCTCCTGTACATGCACTTCTACATAAAAGGTCACCTTTAATAAATAAAAATATTGCTAGTCTTGAGTACAATGCTAAATAAATGCCAAACTTTTGCTATCCAAATTGAATGGAATTGGATTAAACTGAACTGAATTGAATTGAATACTTTACTTGACCAAGTATGATTAGACAAATAAGGAATTTGTCCTTATTTAGTTGTTTTCTGAAAGCACACCTATTTCATTCAGCCCCCAAGTTTCAATACAGTCTTTTGTGCCCCAAGCACACTCTTAAAGGTTTTAATTAGCAAAATTGAATGGACTTTGACGGATATTCAAGTGCACAATTAAAGGCAAGCATGTCAACATATTCTCCCAAGTTGAAATTCAGACTCCGAGAATTTGGTAAGGTGGAAAGGAAGAAAAATACCTGGTTATACAGCAGAAGGGGGAGGAAGCAGGGAAAATTACAGTAGATGTGAAATGTGAAAAATCACTTGAGGTAGAAAACAAGATGGCTTCAGTGGTGCAGCCAGTGGTTTTATCAATTCAGTCTGAACGGGAGAAATCAGTCACTTATAATTTGGCCATTCTTTGTGTGCCCAAACACAAACTTGTTTTGACTCCATTTCATAGCATTTTCTCCCATTAATCCTCTCATTCATTCATTCACTCATTCATTCAACATTTAATGGCTGCCCAGCTTACCTCAGGGTAAGTATGGGCATTTTATAATCCTAAAAACTATGTAAGCCAAAAGACTACATTTATTTATTTATTTATTTATTTATTTATTTATTTATTTATTTATTTATTTATTTGTTGGTTTGATTTATATGCCGCCCTTTTCCGGAAACTCAGGGCGGCTTACAATGCGTTAAGCAATAGCTTTCATACTTTTGTATATACCTGCTTAGTAGGGCTTTCGGCTCCCCCCAAGCGGTGTTCTTTTTTATACAAAGTCAGCATATTGCCCCCATAAACCGGGTCCTCATTTTACCTACCTCGAAAGGATGGAAGGCTGAGTCAACCTTGAGCCTGGTGAGATTTGAACTTGCAGTAATTGCAGGCAGCTGGTGTTACTTAACAGTGCTTTAGTCTGCTGCACCACCAAGGCTCTTAATATATGCCAGTGGAACATGGACACTAACCTCACAATCGATACAAAAGCTACAAGTGACGCAAAGAGCCATGGAAAGAGACATGCTTGGCATTACAAGACAAGATAGAAAGACCTGCGCATGGATTAGAGAACAAACAAAATTATACAATATCATCAAGAAAGTAAAAGAACTAAAATGGAAATGGGCTGGTCACATAGCAAGAAGAACTGATGGCAGCTGGGCCGAGGCAGTCATAGAATGGATCCCACTTGATCAAAAGCGTCCATGAAAGAGACTTTATGTCAGGGTTCCAAGTAACACCCCAACGAAAGAAGACTCCAAGGCTAGAAGTTCCTCAAAGTCCATTTTATTAGAGATGTCATATTAGTACATCTGGGAAAACCCGAATCTGAAAGCTTCCAGGTTTTCCCCACCCAAGTGAAAGTCCAAGTCCTTCCCCTGCACCCACATGTCCATCATATGGCCCAATCAATGCACCGTCCCAACTGCAGATGCCTCCTACTCAAGCCACTCCAGGTGCAGGCTGAACGTCCTTGACTCCCAGAGAAAAGAATGTTGTTTTGGCTAGATATCTGTTCAACTCTATGCAATCCCCACTCCCAGTTTCCCACAGCACTAAGTGTGGCAGAACCAAGTCTTTAGGCCCTTATGAAAGGATGGGAAGTTTGGAGCCAACCTCATATCTGTCAGCGTTCCAAATTATGATCTCCTTCAGCGCTGACATGAATGAATGAAAGAGGGAGAAGCTTTGCTTTAATGCTGAGATGAACTTTTACCTAGTTCCCTGCTCTTCAGTAGATAGCGTTACCTGGGTGACAGAGGGAGGGGGGAAATTCCTGTGAAAAGAAAGTGCTTGGGACGAAGAGATGGATCTGCACGATGGCCAATGAGACATTGGGGTTGAGGAACGGAAAGGGAGGGGTTTGGAAGGAGGTGCCAGTTTTGGCTGCACACAGAGTTCAGGGATGTCGTTCTCCTATTCTTAAAAAAAAAAAAAAAAGATTCATTAGAGACCTTGCGTTTGAGAATGAAGTTTATTTAAGATAGCAACGAAACCTGACAATATCAGCCTCTGGAGCCTGGGGAGGGCAAAAAACAGGCCTATTGGGCCCACCGTGATATGCATGCCAAAAGTGTGGGGAGCGTGGGGGGATTGCGCGTGCAGGCGCATTGAATTATGGGTGACCCCCCCCCCCCTGCATTCCCCCTGCTTTTGGCACGCGATGGCAAAAAGGTTAGCCATCACCGAACTAGTATAAATGTTTTTACGAGTGATTTTTCCAGTTAAAATACGTTTCTGTAACCACAGCTTTTTTGTGTGTGTTTTAAATTTCTCTTTTAAGATAAGATATGTTTGCATCTGGTCTGGAGTTGCGGTGTGAACACAGCAGCATATATATTGATCTGATAAAGCCGCATCATGTAGTTCAACAATTATGTTTACTGGCATAAATAAGATCTCTTTCCATGTACCTCAACCATTTCTCTGTGTGTATTAATTTTTTTCTTAATCTATCCTACTTTTCTTCTGAGAGCTGAAGGATTATTCTTGTATCAGCAGTCTTTTTAAGACGTAGAGTACTAATTTTTGTGTTTTGCTCTCCTAGGGAAGTGTAGGAGCAGCAGGATCTGTTGGGCCAGCGGTAAGTGAAGAGATCCATGTCTGTTTCTCCCATTAAGCAATCTAGTAAAAAATTATATGGGAAAAATCCCATTGTAGTTAAAAACCACTTAGAGTTAAGAAGAGAAGAGAAGAGAAGAGAAGAGAAGAGAAGAGAAGAGAAGAGAAGAGAAGAGAAGAGAAGAGTTGGAAGGGACCTTGGAGGTCTTCTAGTCCAACCCCCTGCTTAGGCAGGAAACCCTACACCACTTCAGACAAATGGTTATCCAGCATCTTCTTAAAAACTTCCAGTGTTGGAGCATTCACAACCTCTGGAGGCAAGTTGTTCCACTGATTAATTGTTCTAACTGTCAGGAAATTTCTCCTTAGTTCTAGGTTGCTTCTCTCCTTGATTAATTTCCATCCGTTGCTTCTTATAACCTAGAACTAAAAAGTGTGAAAAATGGTCCTAAGTCACTTTTTTCAGCACCGTTTTAACTTTGAACGGTCACTAAGTGAATGGTTGTAAGTTAAGGACTGCCTGTAAGGGAAGAAGAATGGGTGGGAGGAGCAGATTTCCAAATGACCAGTTCTTCTAGAATTGTGCCAATTTAACTATGTGTTTTCCTTTTCGTTTTCAGGGCAAAGGACCGGCAGGGCCACCGGTAAATCATTTTTTAAAATTTTTTTAGGAAAAAGAATAAATGTGATTGGATTCGGGTCCTTCAAAGTGAGTCCTGAAGCCATTCTCTGCTGTCCTTAAAGGGCTGGAGTGACCAGACAAAGAACTTGGGGGGAGAGCAAGTTTGGAGTTCTCTCCTCTTTTTTTTTTTTAAAGAAAAGAATAAACAATAACATTTATTTGTCTTCTCCCTTTTATCAGGGATCTCCGGGCACCAGTGGTCTTCCAGGAGGAAGGGGACAGAAAGGCTCACCGGTAAGTTTCTTTCTTTTTCTTGTTCTGATGTATCCAGGACAGAATTTCATAATGGGATAAACTCAGTGGTGGGATTCAGCCGGTTCGCACCGGTTCAAGCAAACCGGTTGTTAAATTGCCGACTTCCAGCTATCAAAGTGGATCCTGGGCACTGTGCTGTGCTGTAATGGAGAAACGGGCAACGGAGTGGCCGGCACGAGGGAAGGAAAAGGCCGCTTTCCCTCTTTCTTCTCCCTGCTCCTCCTCCTTCCCTCATGCTGGCTGCTCCATTGCCCGTTTCTCCATTGCAGCGCAGCACCCAGGATCCACTTTGATAGGGGTGGGTAATTTAACAAACAGTTCGTCCAGGATCAGGTTGGCTGTCGCGGGAGGCTTGTTCTGCTTGTGCGGCGGAGCTGGAGGATGGGGATGAGCCATGCCTCCCATGACAGCCAACATGACCCTAGGCGAGCCGGTTGTTAAATTATTTGAATCCCATTACTGGATAAACTTCCATCTAGGATATTATTACCATGCAATTTCTTCCTACCCCCTTGCCATTTGGGGAGCATCTGAACAATACAGAATGGAGATTTAAGGTCTTCCAAGAACTGCTTGTGATCTCGATAGAATATTTGTATCTCAAGGTTGAACTGTGGGGTCCTTGGTAGTCTCTGAGTTGGTTGTTTTTTGGCAGACGTTTCATTACCCAACTAGGTAACATCATCAGTGCTAGAAGGCAGTAGGGTTTGGTTCTCTGTTTACATGCAGTTGTTGGTGATAGTGCTCTTGGTGGTTGGGTTATTAGGCTGTGTTTACAGTAAGGGCGAGCCACTTGTCTGTATATAAACAGACAGCAATCCCCATTTCCTTCTAGCACTGATGATGTTACCTAGTTTGGTATTGAAATGTCTGCAAGAAAACAACCAAGTTCAGAGAGCACCAAGGACCCCACTGCTTGTGATATTTTCCCAAAAATTGTCCTCCATTAGAGGCTGACAGCTGGTTCTTTGGACTAAAGCTGAGACATTTCAAGGTCACCTCAAACCGCAAGACGAGAGGCCTATACATTTAATAAATAATTATAATTTAATATGCTGGCTTGTAGATCGTGGTGTCCTTTAAAAGAGTTTATTTATTGTTTATTTATTGGTTCGATTTATATGCCGCCCTTCTCCGGAGACTCAGGGCAGCTTACAATGCATTAAGCAATAGCCTTCATACTTTTGTATATACCTGCTTAGTAGGGCTTTCGGCCCCCACAAGCGGTGTTCTTTTTTATACAAAGTCAGCTTATTGCCCCCACAATCCGGGTCCTCAGTTTACCTTCCTCGGAAGGATGGAAGGCTGAGTCAACCTTGAGCCTGGTGAGATTTGAACTTGCAATAATTGCAGGCAGCTGGTGTTACTTAACAGCGCTTTAGTCTGCTGCGCCACCAAGGCTCTTGGTGGGCTAAGATTACATTTATTCAGCTTTTATTTGCACTACTGGAAATTGCTACAGGTAGTTCTCGAGATACGGCCATTCATTTAACGAGTTTTCAATGTTACAAACTGACAATCACACTTATGACCATTGCAGCATCCCCATGACCATATGATTACGATTCAGGTGCATGGCAATTGGCATGCATTTAAGATAGGTGCAGTGTTCCAGGGACACATGATTGCTATTTCCGACCTTCCTGGTTGACTTCCGACAACCACAGCATGGGATGCTGTTAGGGAAGGTCATAAATCATGAGCTGTGTTGGCGCAGTGGTTAGAATGCAGTATTGCAGGCTAACTCTACCCACAGTCTGGAGTCCAATCCTTACCGGGTCAAGGTTGATTCAGCCTTCCATCCGTCCGAGGTCAGTCAAATGAGGACCCAGATTGTTGGGGGCAATAGGCTGAGTCTGTAAACTGCTTAGAGAGGGCTGTAAAAGCACTGTGAAGCTGTATATAAGTCTTAAGTGCTATTGCTATCATTTGACAATATCATTATTGTCTCGCTTAATGACCATGGCTAAAAAGATTGCAAAATCAGATCTGGCCACATTACATCTCACTTAACAACCACACCACTTAACAATGAATTTTTTTCCAGTTCCAAATATGGTAGTAAGTCGAGGACTACCTTACTACTAAGCCATATATGGGAAGGGGGTGAAAGCCAAATTTGCTCAGATATAATAAGTAAAATATACCGGTAAATAGACACAACTCCCATTCTGCCAGTCAGTAAACTAGATAAAGATGCTTTCCATAAATCATTAAATATAATGTCAGTTGAAAGTGTTTGCTTTGGAACTGATTTTATTTCTTCTTCTATTTAGGGACCGTCTGGGCTTCCGGGTTTTTCTGGATCACCAGGAGCTCCGGGACCACCCGTAAGTTAAGATTTGTTTTAGATCAAAGTTCCCCAACCTTTCAGGATTTGTGGACCGAGAGGGTTGGGGGGGAGAGTAGAGGTGGTATTCAGCAGGTTCTGACCAAAGAGGTTGTAGGGGGAAAAAATGCCTTTAAAAGCCTCTGACGATCCCAGCTGAGTTGCCTGATCGTCAGAGGCTTTTTAAAAGCATTTTTTTCTGCAACTTCTTAAGGTTGTAGAAAAAATGCTTTTAAAAGTAAAAAAAAAAAAAAAAAAAGTTGGCCATGCCCACCCAGTCACATTACCCCCCCCACCAAGCCACGCCCACAGAACCAGTAGTAACAAATTTTATATTTCACTACTGCTATACACCATATGTAACGTGCTGCATTTTCCTTGTTGCAGGGTCTCCCTGGAGCGTTTGACCATACTAGAGATCTTCAGGTGCGTATTTTTCCACTTTTCAGGTTTCTGTGTGGGATCTTATTTAGTTGGCATATTCAAACATCAACATTGTTTATTTAAACCAGTGTTTCTCAACCTTGGCAACTTGAAGAGGCATGGACTTCAACTCCCAGAATTCCCAGCCAGCCATAGCTGACTAGGGACTTCTGGGAGTTGAAGTCCATGCGTCTTCATGTTGCCAAGGCTGAGGAAGACTAATTTAGGCACTAGGCAAAGTCTCTTGAAATGAATCTCCTTTACAGTGGTGCAAAATTGTACCCTATTAATAGAAGAGAATATTTGTAGCTCTGGGTGAACTATACGGTCCTTGGTTCTCACCAGGAGACTGTGAGTTCTAGTCCTGCGTTAGGCATGAAAGCTATTGGGTGACTTTGGGCCAATCACCAGGAGACTGTGAGTTCTAATCCCGCCTTAGACATGAAAGCTGCTAGGTAACTTTGGACCAATCACCAGGAGACTGTGAGTTCTAGCCCCACCTTAGGCATGAAAGGCAACTGGGTGACTTTGGGCCAATCACCAGGAGACTCTGAGTTCTAGCCCTGCCTTAGGCATGAAAGGCAACTGGGTGACTTTGGGCCAATCACCAGGAGACTGTGAGTTCTAATCCCGCCTTAGACATGAAAGCTGCTAGGTAACTTCGGACCAATCGACAGGAGACTGTGAGTTCTAGTCCCGCCTTAGGCATGAAAAGCTGCTGGGTGATCTTGGGCCAGTCATTCTCTCTCAGTCCAACCCACCTCACAGGGTTGTTGCTGTGGGGAAAATAGGGGGAGGAAAGTTTATTAGATATGTTCACTCCCTTGAGGGTTTTTTCCCCCCCAAAGTAATAAAGGTGGGATATAAATAATCAAATAAATATGTCTTCAGTTCTCCAGTCTGGGATGAGAGAATTGAAGAAATAACCCATTCAAATACTAATCAGGTCTGACCCTACTTAGCTTGGGAGCCCACACATAGTCAGCAGTGCAGAGCCAGCTACTGTGACATAAGGGGAAATCACAATGAACTCTCACCTCACAGGGTTGTATGGACATAGAAAGCTGATCATTAGTACTGGAGAGCCCAAGATACTCGGGACTAAGTGAGCTGTTTTAGGAAGCTTGACTGAGTAGGAACACCAGCTAGAACATGAAAATCAAGGGTGATGAGATAGGTGGCAAATAAATTTAATAGTAATAATAATGTCAGAGAAAAGAGAACAGGTATTCTTGTTTAACAGGAGAAAGCTGCAATTGTTGTGAGTGCCCAGCAGGACTGCATACAGTATACTGTAAAATGGACTGCCTTATAAGTCTTCTGAAAAAAAAATTACGTCAATAAGAATTACCATAGTATCATTTTAGTTTTAATGATGACCTTCTCGCCTTGAATAGTTGGTGGATCATTTTTCACTATGAGGTTTTATGAAACTAATTTTGGCTAGTCGCAAGCTGCCCTTTGCAGCGTTTTGCAGCACCAGAAAGATAAGAAATATATGCCGAAATGATGAATCAATATGTTTTCAAAAGAGATCCAGGATGTGAGTTTTGAGGTAGTATAAACTTCCTTCCTTTTCTTCCTGTTCCTCCTTTCCTCTATCCCTTCCACCTTTTTTATGTCTTCCCTTCTCCTCCTCCTCCCCTCCCTCCCTCCTTTTCCCCTTCCTCTTCTCATTCCTTCTTTCCTCTCCCCCTCCCTTTTTGTCCTGCTTCTGCTCCTTCCTTCCTGCCTGCCTTCTTTCCTTCCTCCTGTTCCTCTTCCCATTCCTTCTTTCCTTTTCCCCTCCCTTTTTGTCCTGTTTCTGCTCCTTCCTTCCTTCCTTCCTTCCTTCCTTCCTTCCTTCCTTCCTTCCTTCCTCCTTTTCCTCTTCCTCTTCTCATTCCTTCTTTCCTCTCCCTCTCCCTTTTTGTCCTGCTTCTGCTCCTTCCTTCCTTCCTTCCTTCCTTCCTTCCTTCCTTCCTTCCTTCCTCCTTCCTCTTCTCATTCCTTCTTTCCTCCCCCCCTCCCTGCTTCTGGCTCCTTCCTTCCTTCCTTCCTTCCTCCTCCCTCCTTCCCTCCCTCCCTTGCCCTTTCCAGTTCATCTTGGAAATAAAAAAGATCAAATATATTTTGCTATATATTTTTCCCATGAGCGATAACATCTTTCCATGGGGAGAGGGCTGCTGTGCTTTATATTTTGAGAAAAAATGTTTTGATTCTTCATGATAAAATAAACATGACACTAATGGAGGGTAGCAAACAGCATTGCAAGACTTCACATCTGTTGTTTTGACAAACTCTTCAGCTACCTAATTGCTACTCAATGAGAAGTTTAAAAATTCTTTCTGCCATCTTACTGAAAAAAAAATCTTACAGAAGTTAGGCAGAAAACAGCAGCAATTCCCCTCTTTCCTCTTCTCTGCCTGAAATTAGAATATGGTATTATATATTAGTAAATAATACTATCAATTCTGGAAAGGAATTATTAAGAATAAAAATAACAGAAAATATAAATGCTTCCCATTTTAAAGCCCTGTAGGTTGTAGATTCTACATTAGGGATGCGGTGGTTTAGTGGCTAAGATACTGAGCTTGTCGATCGAAAGGTTGGCAGTTCAGCGGTTCGAATCCCTAGTGCCGCGTAACGGGGTGAGCTCCCGTTACTTGTCCCAGTTTCTGCCAACCTAGCAGTTCGAAAGCATGTAAAAAATGCAAGTAGAAAAATAGGGACCACCTTCGGTGGGAAGGTAACAGCGTTCTGTGCGCCTTTGGTGTTTAGTCATGCCGGCCACATGACCACGGAGACGTCTTCGGACAGCGTTGGCTCTTCGGCTTTGAAACGGAGATGAGCACTGCCCCCTAGAGTCGGGAACGACTAGCACATATGTGCGAGGGGAACATTTACCTTTACCTAGGTTGTAGGTTGGCTCTCTGAAAATCCTAAAACTCTTAATCCAGCATGAACAAAGCTAAATGAAATCTACAGTAATCCAATTATCTTGATTGCCTGGTGACTGAATTACTACAGATGGTCCTCATTTACTGATCATTCGTTCAGTGATTGTTTGAAATCACACGAACGCCGAAAAAAGGAGATTTGCAGCTGGTCCTCAAGCTTGTAGCCATCATTGCAGCATCCCCTCAGTCACGTGATCGCAATTTGGATGCAAATGGCTCACCATCCCAATGGACACAACATCGCAAGGTCATGTGATCTGCCATTTGTGATTTTCACAGCCGACTTCCCAACAAGCAAAATCATTGGGGAAGCCAGCAGGAAGTCACAAGTCTTGGTCACATGACATCGCTCTTAATGACCACAAGTGATTCACTTAATGGCCCCAGCCAGAAATAAGTTGGCACTGTCACGTGATGTTTCACTTAACAACTGTGTTGTTAAGCAATGGAGCTGCCAGTCCCAATTGAGATCAGTAAGTGAGCACTACCTACTGATGAAAAGTGACCGTCTTGTGGATTATTTTATAACTCTGGTATTAATTTCTGGTTTGTTTGGAATATAGTGTTCATCGCTCTGTCCACCGGGCCTTCCAGGACCACCAGGAATACCAGGATTCAAGGTACGGAGTACTTTTTAATTAAACTGAAGACTCCCTGAGATATATTCTCTGCCTGGGAAATCTTTATCAGATGCTAATGGGTCATTAGCAACAGTCTGTGTGTCAGTTTTGCCTCAGCTTGAGCCTTTAAACAAGAGCGATCCTTAACTCCATTTGTTGAGAAAGGTATAGTTTACTGAACGTCAAGTGGAATACAATAAAGCAAAGCCAGAACTGAAGTTCGCGCGCCAAAACTCTAATTGATTGAACAATGCTGGTTCCCGCATCGTCCAATCAATTTGAAACAAAATATTTTAGAAACGGACACTCTGAGTTTAAATTGTCTTGCAGCTGCATTCTTCTCCCACGGAAATGACCTTGAAGTGCTTTCTCTGAGAGGCATTCATTACTTTCACTGTCCCCCAAGCATTCTCTCTCCCTTTCCCCCTCCCCCCAGGGTTCATGGCAGATTGACGCCAAGCGCAGGCCTGAGGTGGCAGTTCTGACACTGTGATTTGTTTCTTCCTGCCTGTTTATGAACTATCTGGAAGCATCTAAACGGCCTCTGTCGGCAGCAAAATGCTGAGCTAGATAGATGAAACTCTGCATTCTTGATGGAGAAGTAACTAGAACCCTACCGCTTACAAGTACCAATTGCTTAACAATTGCCTTGCTTAGCCACAGAAATTCTGGCCTCAATTGCAGTCATAAGTCGAGGCCTACCTGTAATGATGATCTAAATAATTTACACAGGCCACAAAGGCCAATGGCATTTTCCGCTTTGTCAACTCCTCTAGTTCTCAATGTTCACATCGGAAATAGAAAGGAAATTTTTTTCTTCGGTGATTCTGTAGACATAATAGCAGTGGTGGGATTCTTAAAAATTTGCTACCGGTTCTGTGGGCGTGGCTTGGTGGGCATGGCAGGAGAAGGATACTGCAAAATCTCCATGCCCACACCACTCCAGGGAAAGGATATTGTAAAATCTCCATTTCCACCCCACTCCAGGGGAAGGATACTATAGAATCTCCATTTCCACCCCACTTTAGGTGGAAGGATACTGTAAAATCTTCATTTCCACCCCACTCCAGGGGAAGGATGCTATAAAATCTCCATTTCCACCCCAGTTTAGGGGGAAGGATACTATAGAATCTCCATTTCCACCCCACTTTAGGTGGAAGGATACTGCAAAATCTCCATTTCCACCCTACTCCAGGGGAAGGATGCTATAAAATCTCCATTTCCACCCCAGTTTAGGGGGAAGGATACTGTAAAATCTCCATTCCCACCCCACTCCAGGGGAAGGATACTGTAAAATCTCCATTTCCTCCCCACCCCGCTAACCTGCTCTCCAGCTCTGTGTACAGGGCAACAAAAGAAGACCCAGCTGATCAGCTGGGACTCAGGAGGCAGCGAATGGATGGGGGCGGGGCCAGTCAGAGGTGGTATTCTGAACTACTCAACATTTCTGCTACCGGTTCTCCAGAACCGGTCAGCGCCAGCTGAATATCACTTCTGCATAATAGTAACCTTTTTTGAGGAGGGTGGGTTTTTTGAACAGTTTCGGAGCTTCCGAAATGGGATTCTGATTCCTTTTGCTTTTCTTTTTTAGGGGCACACCGGTGAGAAAGGAGAAGCAGGAGAAGTTGGCAAAGATGGGGAGAAGGTAAGGATCTTCGTTGCATTGTAGGGTTTCTTTCTAATGGAAAGGTCTGTGAACTTTCCTACCTACATCTGGCCTCGCCAAGAAATGAGGTGCCTGAGCCTGGTGGCTCAGCAGACTGTTAGCACCAGCTGTGATTAACACCAGCTGTCTGCAATTACTGTAAGTTCGAATCTCACCAGGCTCAAGGTTGACTCAGCCTTCCATCCTTTCTAAGGTAGGTAAATTGAGGACCCAGTTTGTGGGGGCAATAAGCTGACTTTGTATAAATATACAAAAGTATAAAGGCCATTGCTTAACGCATTGTAAGCCGCCCTGTGTCTCTGGAGAAGGGCGGCATATAAATCAAATTAAAAAAAAAAAACTGTTTCTGTCCCTAAAAACAGTTCTTACAAAATGTGAGGTGTTGGAAGGGACCTTGGAGGTCATCTAGACCAACCCCCTGCTGAAGCAGGAGAACCTATACCAGGGGTCTGCAACCTTAAACACTCAAAGAGCCACTTGGGCCCGTTTCCCACAGAAAAGAAAACACCGGGAGCCACAAAACCCTTCCTGTGCCTGACTATTTCTTGAGCGGCCACAAAACTAGCATATGTAGTTGAATTAAACATTCTGTTTTCTTCTGAAACTTTTCTTTTCTTGGATTTATCCATGGTTGGCCTACCGGGGGTTGAAAAGCTCAATAATTGCGTGCCAGTGGGTGTCACACATTGGTGGTTGTGATGCATATTTTAAGTGACAGGGAGCCGCAGCAGCGGGATGAAAGAGCCACATGCGGCTCCAGAGCCGCAGGTTGCTGACCCCTGCCCTATACCATGTCATGCCTCCATCGGAGTCTGAATCTGCGGCAGAAGATGAGCTGGAACAAGAACTGACAGCGAGTGAGAGGGCAGTTCCGTTGGCCTTGGAGGAAACTGGGGAAGGGCAGAGTCAGTCCAGGCAAGACTGTTCGGAATTAGCAAGACCTGCAGGCAGGGAGGAGAGACAGAGCTCAGACAAGGAATAAGAACCACCCCCTCCTGATGCAAGGACTCGGAGAGTGCAGAGAAGGCGGGATCGGTGCAGACAGAGCAGGCCACACGCGAGGAGAGTGCTCCATCCAGCTTTACCAGGCACACCTGGGGAATGAGACTTAAGGAGACGCCATGGAGAGGAGTATTTGTCAGAAACAAACGCTGAGTTCCTGAAATGTTGTGTGCCGACGTTTGAACTTGCCAAGAATCCTTGCATTCCTTGTTGGCTTTCTGGACTAATTATCTGAATCTTTTGCTCCCTGAACTCCTTGCTTGATTCTTGTTTTGCCAAAGACATTTGGGATTTATTGCCATGTAGCCTTGGTGCAGACAGCGCTGGGCTGGACTAATTGCAGCCAGAGGCTGCTTGAGGTTTGTATGGGGGTTTGTTCTCACTCTGCTCTGGGACTTGTCAGAAACGTGGGAGTGTTTGGGGAGCTTTGGAGCACTAAAGGAGCAGTTTGAACTGCCAGCTGTTTGTGTTATCTCTGTGCCGTGCCCTGGATCATCACATACCATTTCTGACAAGGGGCTGTCCAGTATCTTCTAGAAAGCCTCAAGTAATGGGGCACCCACAACTTCCGAAGGCAGCTTCTTTTTGGAGGACTCTTGACCGACTCTCATCTTAAACGCTTTCTTTCTTTTTTTTTTTTTCAGGGTTTGCGAGGGCCGCCAGGCCCAGCAGGGCCTCCTGGTAACATTGGATTGCAGGTAGAAGAAGTTGAATTTTTTAATTTTAAAGTAATAAAAGCAGGATCAAAATCTCATAAATTAATAAATCAGCCATGCTTTACCTTGAATTGATCCTCATTTTCAGGGTCCCCGAGGATTAAGTGGAGAAGTTGGGCCAATCGGTCTTATTGGCGACAGGGTAAGTTAGACACCATCCTTAATCTCTCTGTGTTTTCTTGACCAAAGTTGCTTGCAAAAGATATTTGCACAGAAACAGGAAAGTTTTCAAGTTTGGGCCACAGCTTGACCTAACTAACTAAAGATCTGGGACATCCCCTAGTTCTGTGATGGCGAACCTATGGCACTCGTTACGCACAGTCACTCATGCCCTCGTCACCTCTCGTCTGGACTATTGTAACGCTCTCTACATGGGGTTCCCCTTGAGGTGCACCCGGAGGCTCCAACTGGCGCAGAGTGCGGCCGCGTGGGTGGTTATGGGAGCAGTGTGGAGCTCCCATGTAACACCTCTCCTGCGCGAGCCGCACTGGCTCCCGGTGGTCTTCCGGGTGCGCTTCAAGGTTCTGGTTACCACCTTTAAAGCGCTCCATGGCTTAGGACCTGGTTATTTACGGGACCGCCTACTACCATCAATAGCCTCCCACCGACCAGTACGCTCCCACAGAGAGGGGCTCCTCCAGGTGCCGTCGGCCAAACAATGTCGGCTGTCGGCCCCTAGGGGGAGAGCCTTCTCTGTGGGGGCACCGATGATCTGGAATGAGCTCCCCCCAGAGATACGGAGGATTCCAGATCTGCGCACCTTCCGCCGCGAGCTGAAGACTCTTTTATTTCATCAAGCCGGCCTCACCTAAATCTTCTCCCTTTTAAGTGTAAATTTTAAATTTTTACTGTATTTTAAAATATGGGTATTTTAAATTATGGGTATCAATTCAGCCAAATTTATTTAATTCATTTTATTCGATTTTAAATTTTGTATATGTATGTGTTTTATTTCATGGCTGTTCACCGCCCTGAGTCCTTCGGGAGTAGGGCGGTATAGAAATTCAATAAAATAAATAAATAAATAAATAAATATTGGTGGGCACGCGAGCGTTGCCTTAGCTCAGCTCCAGCACACGTGTGCATGCTGGCCAGCTGATTTTTCGGGCCTTCTGGGCCCACCGGAAGTCAGCAAATGGGCTGTTTCCGGCCTTTGAAGGGCCTCCGGGGGTGGTGGGGAAGGCTGTTTTCACCCTCCCCAAGCTCCCTTCCTCTGGAGCCTGGGAAGGGCGAAAAATGGGCCTACTGAACCCACCATGACATCACATGCCAAAAGCGGGGGGACCATGGTGGGGGTCATGCACGTATGCGTGGGGGGACAGGGCGCATAGAATTATGGGTGTGGGCACGCACACGCGCAACCACACCGTACTCTCCCCACTTTTGGCACACGATGGCAAAAAGGTTCGCCATCACTGCCCTAGTTGTTCTTCCATCAGGATTATGGGGATAGTAATAATTATAGTATTGGCTTCTTATAATTTCAGTTTCAATCTTCATTACAGTCACGGACCAGCACATAATGTTAAACATTAAAATAAAACAAAAATTGAACAGAACCGAATAGAACAAGGCATAGTAATATATTAGAATTGATGGCGAAATCAAGGTTGACCAAAGTCGGCCTAATTTTACAAACAGTGTAACAAAACCTAACTCTGTCCAGAGAAACTGAATCACATTGATCCAACAGTAGTTGTTTTATATAAAAATGATCGAAGTTTCCAGGTAAGATTTAATCAGGTAAGGTGTTACGAGTCCGTGAGTCCCCATAGAGCAGGGATGTCAAACTTAAAGCCCGGGGGCCGGATCTGGCCGGTGGGGTCACCCTGGAAACAGCGAAAGACTGGTCCGCGGTGCCTTTTCTAGTGAAAATGGAGATCGGGAGGGCCGCATGAGCTCCATTTTCACTGGCAGGAGGCAGTCACAACCAAAAACTGAACTCAGGAGCCCGTTTTCCCTTGCAGAGGGCTCAGGCCACCACAGGCAACCGCGAGACAAGTGACGTCAAACTGGCCACACCCACCCTGGCCAGTCTCCCCCAGCCCCCCTCCCGAATTCAAACACAACCCTGATGAGGCCCTTAATGAAATCAAATTTGACACCCCTGCCATAGAGGGAGCAACACAACAGGATATAAACTGTAGTTTCAATAATCCCTTGTCCACAGGGTCACAATCTCATTGTCACAGTTCCAACAGATGCCCTAATTAAATCATGAGCCAAGCTTCAAAAGAAATCCAGTTATTTATTAGGAGCTTCATGTCGGCATGTTCCCAAGTGAAGCCAGCTCTGACCCTATGTAATTTATGCTCCAATTATGACCCTGTTTCCCCCCCCAGGGTGTGTCATCAATCACATTTGCCAACGGAGCAATTTCGTGGGTTGTAGATATCACTCCCCTTCAGCTACTGTAGGTAACCCTGGGATACAGCCTTGAGAGAGATAAGCGTGGAATGTGCATCTGTCTTTGGCTGCTGTGCCATTTCACCGGTTTCCCATCCCCCCTGGCCTATGGCAACTCGAGAGCAGGCCCGGGATGCTTTGCGAGTTGACACTCATCTCATACTTTTTTATAACAAAGCTCCAGAACTGTTGTGGGCAGAGTGTTACAACATGCTAAAATTACTACCTCAGAAATTTAGTTATATAACTATCTCGCTGGTTTGTGAGGGGGTGCCTCTCATACAGGAATGGCACAAAAGATTTCTCCGAGTCCCTTTCTGTCTTTTGTTGATTAATTAAGGTTTTTTCCCCTGTTGGGCAAAGATTATATTGTCCTGTTTTCTTGATTTCAGGGAGACATTGGATTCAGAGGGCAGCCTGGAATGCCAGGGCCTCCAGGGAAAGCGGTAGGTTTTCTTTTTATATTGCATTCCCCCCACGCCCCCAAGAGCCCATATTACAGTAATGGCCAAAATTGTGGAAACCTTTTGGGAAAAGTGTATTTTTGAGGTTTGATGGCTAATTTTTGAGGAGCCTGAGTGGTGTAGGAGGCTAATGTCTCCTACTAAGGCAGCATTTAACATCCAGCTGCCTGCAATTACTGCGAGTTCAATTTTCACCAGGCTCAAGGTCAACTCAGCCTTCCATCCTTTCTAAGGTAAGTAAAATGAGGACCCGGTTTGTGGGGGCAATAAGCTGACTTTATATAAAATATACAAAAGTATGAAGGCTATTGCTTAAAGCATTGTAAGCTGCTCTGAGTCTCCGGAGAAGGGTGGCATATAAAAATAAATAAAATAAAAATAAAAATAAATAAAGAAATTAAAAAAAAATAATAACACCACTTTTTTTTTTTTTTGGAGTTTCAAGATAATCCTATTCCACTGCTGGAATGGCCTGGGAATAGCCCAGACCTTAACCCAATTGAAAATCTATGGAGCCAACTGAAGAAACTTGTTAGTCAAAAGCGACCCAGCAATAAAACCCAGTTAATAGAAGCCATCATTCAATCTTGGTTTCACATTATAACAGCTGCAGAACTCAAAGACTTGGTTCCCTCCATGGGAAGACGTTGTAAGGCCGTAATTCATGCTAAAGGTTACCCAACTAAGGATTAGCTGACATGGTGATAATTTTTGTATGGTATATTTCGTTTTTTCTATGGTGATAATTTTTGTATATCTCATTTTTTTCTACGTGTTTCACTTTTCTTCTTTATCCTGTACCTGCTATTCTAATAACAAATCCTTCATAAAAGTTATTGCATTACATTCTTGATTAAATTATCTTTCCATTGATATATAATTTTATGGTATTACTACAAAAAAAAGTGGTGTTATTAGCTAGTTTTAGGAAATACACTTTTCTCAAAAGGTTTCCACAATTTTGGCCACTGCTGTATATGCAAACATGACCTGATAGCAGTGTTCCAATGTTTGAGGGGCTTCCACGAAGAATAGGGGGTGAACCTATTCTCCAAAGCACCTGAAGACAGGGCAAGAAGCAACGGGTGGAAACTAATCAAGGAGAGAAGCAACCTAGAACTAAGGAGGAATTTCCTGGCAGAACAATTTTATCTATGGAACGACTTGCCTTCAGAAGTTGTGGGTGCTTCATCACTGGAGGTTTTTAAGAAGAGACTGGACAGCCACTTGTCTGGAATAGTATAGGGTCTCCTGCTTGAGCAGGGGGTTGGACTAGATGACCTTCAAGTCTTTTAGTCTGTTTAAGATATAAGGGAGCACAAGACTGACATTCAGCAAGCACCAAATTTAGCTCCAGTGCTACCAGTTAAAATGATTTTGGGAAGCTGTTGTAGATCAGAAAAGGCCAATGAGATTCTCATCCAGGAAGCTTTTTCAGTTCTGGCTTCTTGGATGAGAAGCGAAATGTTTTCAAGAAAAAAAACAGCCTCGGTGGTGCAGCGGACTAAGTGCTGTTAAGTGCTAGCACTTAGCTGTCAGCTGGCTGCAATTAGTGCGAGTTCAAATCTCACCAGGGCAAGGTTCACTCAGCCTTCCATCCTTTCGAGGTAGGTAAATTGAGGACCCGGATTGTGGGGGCAATAAGCCAGCTTTGTATAGAACAACCCCGCTTAGGGGGGCCCGAAAGTCCTAATAAGCAGGTATATACATAAAAGTACGCAGGCTATTGCTATAATGCATTGTAAGCCGCCCTGAGTCTACGGAGAAGGGCGGCATATAAATTGGACTAATAATAAATAAATAAAACAACCCAAAAGTCCAATTGCTTTTTGAAAAGCACCGTTGGGACAGCCATGACCTGGATGATTGAGAATCTCCATAGAAATCCCCACCAACACTGACAGGGTAATCCACCATCTATAAACAAGGAGCAAACCCAACACTCACCCACACTGATGATGTTACCTAGTCTGGTAATGAAACGCCTGCAAGGAAACAACCAAGCTCAGAGAGCACCAAGAACCTCTCCTCTCAATCCTGAGCTATTCTCTTCTCTTCGAACCTCCTCCTGCAAAGAAGATGCAAACACACAACTTATTTTTCCATGTATGTTGTTTTGAGTGGGAGGATTAATTTAAGTGCTGATTTTAGGATGCCACGCTCTCAGAAGGACAAATATTATTTTACTTTTGGGTAAATCAAGGGATCGGCTGGTACTAGTGGGGAAGAGGTGATGTGTAATGGATTCTGTTTAACCATTTCAGGGGTCCCGTGGTGACAGAGGCCATCAAGGTTTCCGAGGTCCAAAGGGTGATGCAGTAAGTGTAATTCCCACTTGCCATGTGTGGTGGTGGTGTTGTTTAAAATGGTCTGTGTCAGCGGTGGGTTTCACATTATGTTACTACTGGTTCGCCGCGTGCATGCTCGCTTCGTGCACGTGCACGCCCAGTTCACACGTGTGCCTGCCTTCTGCGTATGCGCCTGGGTTTCCGTGCATGTGCTTTGCTTGGGCGCATGCCTTCCGTGCATGCACCTCACCTCAAAAACGTGCCTAAATAGGTTGGCATAGAGCCAGGGGGGGTGGGCGGGCTCACCTGCGATTTCCGCTACCAGTTCAGGTGAACCGGTCTGAACCGTCTGAATGGTCTGTGTCAGTGGTGGGTTTCACATTATGTTACTACTGGTTCGCTGCGTGCATGCTTGCTTCGTGCGTGTGCATGCCCAGTTCACACGCATGCCTGCCTTTTGCGTATGCGCCTAGGCTTCCGTGCATGTGCTTTGTTTGTGTGTATGCCTTCCATGCATGCACCTGGCCTCAAAAACGTGCCTAAATAGGTTGGCATAGAGCCAGGGAGGGTGGGTGGGCTCACCTGCGATTTCCGCTACCAGTTCAGGTGAACCAGTCTGAACCGGTCTGAACCGGCTGAATGGTCTGTGTCAGCGGTGGGTTTCACAATATGTTACTACTGGTTCGCTGCGTGCATGCTCGCTTCATGTGCGTGCACGCCCAATTCGCACACGGGCCTGCCTTCCACGCATGCACCCGGGCTTCCGTGCATGTGCTTTGCTTGCGCATGCACCTTCCACGCATGCACCTGGCCTCAAAAACATGCCTAAATAGGATGGCATAGAGCCGGGGAGGGTGGGCAGGCTCACCTCCAATTTCCGCTACCAGTTCGGTTGAACCGGTCTGAACCAGCTGAATGCCACTTCTGGTCTGTGTTATGTACCTATCAACTTACTTGCTTTAGGGATAAGCAACACCTCGACTTACAACAGTTCATTTAGTGACCATTCAAAGTTACAACGGCGTTGAACAATGTGGCTTACGACCGATTTTCACACTTACAACTATTGCAGCTGGTTTACATTTATGACGGTTTAGCAACTGGTTCATATTTATGACAGTTTCAGTGTTCTGGGGTTATGTGATCCGCTTTTCTGGCCTTCTGTCCAGCAAAGTCAATGGGGAAGCCAGATTCACTTAGCAACGGTGTTACTCAGTTCAGTGATTCACTTAACAACTGTGGCAAGAAAGGTTGTAAAATGGGGCAAAACTCGCATAACAAATGCCTCAATTGACATCGTAAGTTGAGGACTACCTGTTACATTTATATCCTGCTCAGCTTTTAGTGACTCTGGACTATTTACAATTTAAGTCTAATGTAGTATGTTGTACGAAATTATCTATAGTGCTAAATGGCAATAGCACTTAGACTTATATACCGCTTCATACTGCTTTACAGCCCTCTCTAAGCAGTTTACAGAGCCAGCATATTTGCTCTTTCTTTCTGTGCAAGGAATTAAGTCTCCCAGTGCAGTGATTCACCTAACGACTGTGGCAAGAAAGGTCGTAAAATGGGGCAAAATTAACTTAACAACTGTCTTGCATAGCTACAGGCTCAATTGTGGTCGTAAGTTGAGGACTATCTGTATGCACTGCCTTGCTAAAGGACTTGATAGGTCTTCCTTGGGTGTCATTGATGTCTTCTAGAAAATTCTCTTGTTTTCTTTTTCCAGGGTCCGACAGGTCCAAACGGAGCTGCAGGGAGCGCAGGGCCTCGCGGAGAACCCGTAAGCCATTTTTTATGCCAAATTCCTCGCTGACTGTGCGATGCAAACCTACTTAACAACCTGCGGGTTGAGTTCACACAACACAGAGAACCTGCATCTAGATTAAGGGGATACAAATGATGCTGTGCCCCCCACCCTCCACAAATTAAGCTAAATGATGAATTCATGTCATTGCCTGCACATACAACTTACTAAGTCTACAGCTTCCTTTCCAACACATATTACAATACATATCCTAACCAGGGGTGGGTTCTAAATTTTTTTACTACTGGTTCTGTGGGCGTGGCTTATTTTGTGGGTGTGGCTTGGAGGTCATGTGACTAGGTGGGCGTGGCTAGCTGGTCAGAGTCATTTCTGGAAGGTCCTCACACTTACGACCAGTCCTCTCACTTACGACCCGACTCATTTGTTTGCTTTTAACACTGATCAGCTGTAGGACGGCCCTTTGAAGCCCCGCGGCAAGAGTTTAAACAGTTTTTTTCCCTCTGGTCATCAGCTGGGACTCAGGAGGCAGCAATAGATTGGGGGTGGGGCCAAATAAAAGGTAAGAATAACGTGGATGGGGGGGAAGGGCGGGGGGGAGAACCAATTCGGTGACGTCATATCGTCATCGCTACCGGCTCGGCCGAACCGGACCGAACCGGGAGGAACCCACCACTGACCCTAACCCATATAACGATGATGATGATTCTATTCTGCTGTCTCCACGCACTGCCACATCCACTATCCAGACTTAGTTGCCAATAAGAAAGACAAAAAAGTCTAAATCAGGGGTCGGCAATCTTAAATACCCAAAGAGCCATTTGGACCTGATTCCCACAGAAAAGAAAACATCGGGAGCCACAAAACCCTTCCCGTGCCTGACTATTTCCTGAGCAGCCACAAAACTAATATATGTAGTTGAATTAAACATTCTGTTTTCTTCTGAAACTCTTCTTTTCTGGGATGTATCCATGGTTGGCCTACCGGGGTCGAAAAGCTCAATAAATCGCATGCCGGCGGTGTCGCACATTGGCGGTTGTGATGTATATTTTGAGCCACAGCAGAGGGATGAAAGAGCCGCATGCGGCTCCAGAGCCGTGGGTTGCTGACCCCTGGTCTAGATAGTGGATGTGACAGTGCCTGGAGACAGCAGAAGAGAAGAGAAAGAATTGGAGAAGATAACAAAATACAAAGAGCTACAAATAGAAATAGAATGACTGTGGCAAAGGCAAGCAAGAGTAGTACCAATAGTAATAGGCACCTTGGGTTGCAATCCCAAAACAACCCGAGCACCACTTGAACACCATTGATGGCATTGACAAATTCTCCACCAGTCAATTGCGGAAGGCAGCTGTACTTGGAACAGCTTCCATCCTGAGATGATATCTGTAGTGCCGTCAAACATTCAGATCAGAGGTGGCATTCACAAAATTTATCTACCGGTTCGCCCGGCGCTGAAAATGTGATGCATGCGCCACCTAGGCACATGCGCCTGGCTTTCCGTGCATGCGCTTTGCTCGCTCGCGCGCCTTCCGCGCATGCACCCGGCCTCAAAAACGTGCCTAAATAGGACAACATAGAGATTTCCGCTACCAGTTCGTCCGAACTGGTCCGAACCGGCTGAATACCACCTCTGATCTAGATATGCCTATCCCAGGTTCTTGGTAAGGACTCAATGGGTGGATAAAAATGCCAAACCCAATCTGGCTGACTGTGCGATGATCAATAATAATTATAACAACAATAATACAAGTAGTCCTTGACTTAACAACAGTTCGGGTAGTGACTATTCAAAGTTACGACGGCACTGAAATGATTGATGACTTTTTGACATTTATGACCATTGTAGCATCCCCATGGTCATGTGATCAAAATTCAGATGTTTGGCAACTGGCATGTACTTATGACGGTTGCAGTGTCCCGGAGGTCGTGGGATCTCCTTTTGTGACCTTCTGAAAAGCAAAGTCAATGAGGAAACCAGATTCACTTAACAACCGTATGACAAATTGCAGTGGTTCACTTAACAACTGCAGCAAGGAAGGATGTAAAACGGGGCAAAACTCACTTAACAAATGCCTCACTTAGCAACAGAAATTTGGGGCTCCATTGAGGCCGTAAGACGAGGACTACCTATTAAACTTATATCCTGCCCAGCTTTCAGTGACTCTGGACTATTTACCATTTTAAGTCTAATGTAGTATGTTGTATGAAGTTAGCTGTATATAAATGGGAACTGTGTTTATTTATATTTTACTTATTATATGAGCAAATTTGGCCTTTCACGCCTTCCTGTATGGCTTAGTACAGGTAGCATTCAACTTATGACCATAATTGGAACTGGAAAAAATATCATTGTTAAGTGGTATGGTTGCTAAGTAAGGCGTTATATGGCCAGATCCGACCTTTTTAGACATGGTCATTAAACGAGACATACATGATAGCAATAGCAATAGTACTTACATTTATATACCACTTCATACTGCTTTACAGCCCTTTCTAAGCGGTTTTCATAGACGGCATATTTGTCCTTTCTTTCTGTGCAAGGAATTAAGTCTCCCATTAGCTGTGCTCATACAACTTATTTATTCTTTACTTAGTGATTATTTATTACTTTTTTATTATTCATTCATTATTTATTTATTTTTCTCATTTATATGGTCCACCCATCTCAAATATATGACTCCGGGCAGCTCACAAAGAATTAAAAAATAATATAAGAACACCCAAACAATGCAATCATTTAAGAACACTAAAAATCATCCAACAAAATTTATAGCTGAGGAAGTCAATTGTCCTCTATAGTAATCAATGGAGCCACTCCTTACCATAAGCCAATGTTTCTTAACCTGGGCAAATTGTAAGATAGATGGACTTCAACTCCCAGAATTCCTCAGCTGCAGTGCAGACAGATAGACAATGATTTATTCATTCAATTTCTATAGTTGCCCCTCTCCATCAGTGACTCTGGATGGCTTACAATTCCACAACACGCACATTTAAAACAATAAAAAAAAAACATTTATAAAAACAATAATAAAACAGCCAAAAATAAATAAACAAGGTTCTAAGCCACGTTAATTTCTTTCCTTATATTCTTGGGATAATTAAAAAGTATGATGGCTAACAGGTCAGAGAGAAAAGTGCAAATCAAATGTGCAAATATAGAAGGCATAATTTTAATCACCGCTGCTGTCAGCACTCCAAGCTATATTCACTCCAGTGCTGACATAAGGAAGAGAAGAGGACGCTTGACTCTTCACCTACTTATTTTCCCTGAAGATATTATCCCCTAGGAGATGGGTTGGGAGGGGGGACATTCCTGTGAGCTGAAGTAATAGATATGGGGAGAGTGACTTGGAAGATGGCCAATGAGACGCAGAGAATTGGGGAACGGAAAGGGAGGGTTTGGGGTCAGAAGGTCAGGGCTGACTACGATGGACTCGGGGACAGATTGTTGTGCTCAATAAATGAAAGATTTCATCAAAGACTATTTGTTTGGAAATGCAATTTATTTGAGACGACATCGTAACCTGACACCTGCAGCTGTATGGTTTGGTTTAGTGAGAACTGCCTCATCTGGTTCTCACAAAAGAGAATATATATATCACCCTGAAATCTCATCCCTTAGATATTGGATTAAAAGCTTCCCCAGAGTGTTTTCAATCGTAACAGAATTGAAATATCTAGCAGAATATGATAGCAGAATTATCTGCTATCCAGAATCAAGAAGGGCTGATGTTCTGTTTCTATAGCTACTGTGTTTTAAATAAGAAGTACTCCGGCAAAATCAGGAGGTTCAAGTGATTTTGAATTACGTAACGGAAGGAGGAAAGGACTATACGCAGCCTAGAAGGCTTTTAGTCATGAACTCAGACAATTTTCTTTAGACGATTTCCCCAAATCTGAGGAAATGAAAGGCAATTTGAGTGGATGAATACAGGACAGGGGTGGGGTCAGGGATGAAATGCTCCCGGTTCGGACCGGATCACCCGATCCGGTAGCGATGGTGGTGGGTGGTTCGGAGAACCGGTAGCAAAAATCCCTCCCCACCCCCATGCCCAGCTGAGCTGCGCAATCATCAGAGGCTTTTTATTTTATTTTTAAAAGCATTTTTTCTACAACCTCTTCGGCCGAAAAAATGCTTTTAAAAGTAAAAACAAAGCCTCTGCTGATCAGGCAAGTCAGCTGAGATCGTCAGAGGCTTTAAAAAAAAAAAAGAAAAGTCTCTACCGATCAGGCAAGTCAGCTGGGATCGTCAGAGGCTTTTAAAAGCATTTTTTAACAACCTTTTCAGCAGAAGAGGTTGTAGAAAAAATGCTTTTAAAAGTTTTAAAAAAAAAAGTTGGCCACGCCCACTCAGTCATATTACCCACCACCACCAAGCCATGCCCACCGAACCGGTAGTAACAAATTTTACATTTCACCACTGGGTGGAGTCTACTTACCTTTACTACCGGTTCGCAACAGGATCGCGCGCTTCTGCGGATGCACAGATCGCTTCTGATTATTATTATTATTATTATTATTATTTATTAGATTTCTATACCGCCCTACTCCCGAAGGACTCAGGGCGGTGCACAGCCAAACAATAAAAACACATACAATACAAAATTTAAAAAATAGAATAAAATCAAATTAAATAATTTTGGCCCCGACAAATTTAAAACCCCAAACTTTTAAAACCAATTTAAAATTGAATATATAAATACTAAAAAATATTTAAAATTTTAAAAATCTTTTATAAAAGAGGGGGAAAATTAGGCCAGGCCGGCCTGGTGAAATAGTAAGGTCTTTAAGGCGCGGCGGAAGGTGCGCAGATCCGGGATCCTCCGTATCTCTGGGGGGAGCTCGTTCCAGATAGTAGGTGCCCCCACAGAGAAGGCTCTCCCCCTGGGGGCCGCCAGTCGGCATTGTTTGGCTGACGGCACCCGGAGGAGCCCCTCTCTATGGGAGCGTACCGGCCGGTGGGAGGCTATTGGTGGTAGTAGGCGGTCCCGCAAGTACCCGGGTCCTAAGCCATGGAGCGCTTTAAAGGTGGTAACCAAAACCTTGAAGCGCACCCGGAAGACCACCGGGAGCCAGTGCAGCTCGCGCAGGAGAGGTGTTACATGGGAACGCCATGTCGCTCCCATTACCACCCGCGCGGCCGCACTCTGCGCCAGTTGGAGCCTCCGGGTGCTCCTCAAGGGGAGCCCCATGTAGAGAGCGTTGCAATAGTCCAGGCGGGAGGTGACAAGGGCATGAGTGACCGTGCGTAAAGAGTCCCGATCCAGAAAGGGACGCAACTGGCGAATCAGGCGAACCTGATGAAAAATCCTCCCGGTCACGGCCGTCAAGTGCTCTTCTAAAGACAGCCGTGAGTCCAGGAGGACGCCCAAGTTGCGAGCCCTCTCCGTGGGGGCCAATGATTCGCCCCCAATAGTCAGTGATGGCGTCAACTGACTATATCGGGACGTCGGAAACCACAGCCACTCAGTCTTGGATGGGTTGAGCCTGAGCCTGTTCCTCCCCATCCAGATCCGTACGGCCTCCAGGCACCGGGACATCACTTCAAGGGCATCGTTGGGGTGATCCGGGGTGGAGATGTACAGCTGGGTGTCGTCAGCGTACTGATGGTACTCCACCCCGAAACCACGGATGATCTCGCCCAGCGGCTTCACATAAATGTTGAACAGGAGAGGCGAGAGGACCGACCCTTGCGGCACCCCACATATGAGGGGCCTCGGGGTCGACCTCTGTCCCCCTGTCAACACAGACTGCGACCGGTCAGAGAGAAAGGAGGAGAACCACCGCAACACAGTGCCTCCCACCCCCAACTCTTCCAACCGGTGCAGCATGATACCATGGTCGATGGTATCAAAAGCCGCTGAGAGATCTAACAGGACCAGGACAGAGGAGCACCCCCTGTCCCGAGCCCTCCAGAGATCATCAACCAACGCGACCAATGCCGTTTCCGTGCTGTACCCGGGCCTGAAGCCCGACTGGAACGGATCCAGATACGTCGTTTCATCCAGGTGCTGGGGGAGCTGTTGCGCGACCACACTCTCAACAACCTTCGCAACAAAGCGAAGATTGGAGACCGGACGATAATTTACCAACATTGCCGGGTCCAGGGAAGGCTTCTTGAAGAGAGGCCTCACCACCGCCTCTTTCAAGGCGGCGGGAAAGTCACCCTCACTCAGCGAAGCGTTTATAATCCCCTGGAGCCAGCCTCGTGTCACTTCCCGGGAAGCCAGTACTAACCAGGAAGGACACGGGTCCAATAAACAAGTGGTCGCGTTCAGTCTACCCAGAATCCTGTCCACGTCCTCAGGGGTCACAGGATCAAACTCATCCCAGATAACATTCTCAAGACCTGCCCCTGTCTCTCCCCCTGAGACTACCCAGTCGGAGTCCAAGTCTTCCCGAATCTGAGTGATTTTGTCATACAGATACTGAACAAAATCCTCGGCTCTACCCTCCAAGGGGTCCTCCCGCGCTTCCTGGTGGAGCAGGGAGCGGGTCACCCTAAAGAGGGCGGCCGGGCGATTATCTGATGACGCAATAAGAGCAGCAAAATAACTACATTTCGCTGCTTTTATCGCCACTAAGTAATTCCTAATGTGGGATCTTACTAGTGTCCGGTCAGATTCAAGAAGACTGGCCCTCCAACTACTCTCTAGGCGTCTTTTCCGGCGCTTCAACTCCCTCAGCTCCTCGGTAAACCGAGGAGCCAATTGAGATCGGCGCCGGGTCAGAGGCCGCAAAGGCACGACCCGATCCAGAGCACCAGCAGCCGCCCTATCCCAGGCGGCCACCAGGTCTCCAGTCGAGGCGTGTGCCAGAACCTCAGGAAATGGCCCAAGCTCCGTCTGGAATCTGTCAGGTTCCATCACCCTGATGATATCAGGGTCAGTGGGCGGAACCTCTCGCCGATTTTACTACCGGTTCTATAGAACCGGTCCGAACCGGTAGCAACCCACCACTGATACAGGAGATCTATTTCACAAAAGAGCCACTGTTAAAGTCTATCCATTAATACTCCAGTGACTCCATCCCGTGGCACTCCTTCATTTATGACCATAATGCAGCCCAAAATTTCCATTGCTAAGCAATACGGTTGTTACGCGGGCTTGGCCCCATTTTACGACGGTTGTTAAGTGAATCACTGCAGTTGTTAAGTGAGTAATGCGGTGGCTAAGTGAGGCTGGCTTCCCCATGAACTTTGCTTGTCAGAAGGTTGCAAAAGGGGATCACGTGACCCCCCCCCGGGATACTGCAACCGTCATAAATATGAGTCAATGACCAAAGTGTCTGAATTTTGGTCATATGACCATGGGCAATGCTGCAATGCTGCGATCACAATTGTTAAAAATGGTCATAAGTCACTTTTTTAAGTGCCACTGTAACTTCAAACGGTCCTTAAGCAAATGGTTGTTTGTTTAGAAGCCATTTATTTATTTATTTATTTATTTATTATATTTCTATACCGCCTTTCTCCCGTAGGACTCAAGGCGGTGTACAGTCAAGAAAAATATAGACACACAAACATCATAAAATTGCTAATTAAAATTGTTACTTAGTTTGGTCAATTAAATAAAACCCAGAATTAGATAACATTTAAAAAATCATTCACATGTTCGTATGTTTAGCCCCGCCTGTTGGAACATCAGGGTCTTGAGGGCACGGCGGAAAGCACGGAGATCAGGGATATTCCGTATCTCCGGGGGCAGTTCATTCCAAAGGGTTGGAGCCCCCACAGAGAAGGCCCTCCCACTGGGAGTCGCCAGTCGGCATAATTTGACTGACGGTACCCTGAGTAGTCCCTCCCTGTGAGAACGAACTGGTCGGTGGGAGGCTATTGGTGGCAGAAGTCGGTCTCGTAGGTACCCAGGTCCTAAGCCATGGAGCGCTTTAAGGTGATAACTAACACCTTGAATCGCACCCGGAAGACCACCGGGAGCCAGTGCAGCTCGCGTAGGAGAGGTGTTACATGGGCGTAACGAGCTGCGCCCATAATCACCTGCGCGGCTACATTCTGGACCAGTTGGAGCCTCCGGGTGCTTTTCAAGGGGAGCCCCATTTGAAGTGTTACCAATGTAACAACGGCAGTGATTCAACGGCAAGAAAAGTCGTAAAACGGGGTAAAACCTGGTTAACAACTGTCTTGCTTAGCAACAGAAATTTTGGGCTTAACTGTGATCATAATCCGAGGACTAGCAACATATGTCTGGATCCAAGCAATGGGATCTGTTGCTTCCCGTAGCTGTTTGTCATACAGTTTAGCCTCCAGAATTTTGATTGTCTTCGTTGCTCTTCTCTGCACACTTTCCGACGTCTCAGCATCTTTTTTATAATAAGAAGTAAATTTTATTCAATTGCATTTAAAAAAATAAATAATAAACCCATGTGTTCCATCCATAAATCGTTCTTTCTGCCTATTCATCCTGCTTTGCTGTTTCAGGGCCTACCTGGAAAAAATGGAAGAGACGGAACACCTGGACTTGATGGTGAGAAGGTTTGTAGTCCTATTTAAAAATCTTCAAGTTCTTACTTATAAAGGAGACTATTTGTAGGTCAGGATTGATATGAGGGGTCCTCTCTGAGCCTGGTTGATTTTGGACAACCCTTTTGCCTGAAACGGTATAGACTAGAGTTTCCTGCTTGAGCAAGGGGTTGGACTAGAAGATCTCCAAGGTCCCTTCCAACTCCATTATTCTGATATACGTTTCGTTACCTAACTGTTCTGCCCCAGCTACAGACCCCAAAGAACGCAGCACACACAAAGTCCGTTCAAACCTTAGTTTACTAAATAAACCAGTTTTTTTACAACAACGGCTGTTAATTAACTGCATTAACAGCCGCCAAGAATTCAAAGAATAATACTGAAAGCTTACTGTGGTTGGCAGAATGCCCAGAAGCAATTTGCAGGAAGCTGATAAGATAAGCAAGACAAGACATGAAGCTATGTGAATGAAGTTGTTCCCTGCAAATTGCTTCAGTCGGCGTTCCTCCTTAAATAGGCTAAGGGAGTGGCCAATTAACCCCGAGCCTTACTCTCGAGGAGACCTCCTCCTGAGGAGCCACTCCTGCCTTTTGGCAGCTCTGTGCACCCGTGCATCGAGAAGAGGCTCCTCCTCTTCGTCCTCTTCACTTAAAGGAGCTTCTGGAGGTTCTGAAGGCCCTGGCTGAATCCCCGCCTCTGGCACCACAACTTCTCCAGCCTCCTCATTGTCCGACTCGAGTGCCAACTGCACAGGCTGCTGGCGCAGCACCACACCAGCCTCCTTGCTGTCTGAATCAGCTACTAGCTGCACAGGCCGCATACGGGCCACAACACTAACTAGGTAACATCATCAGGACTAGAAGGGAGTGAGATTGGAAGGCAGGCAGGCAGACAGGCAGGCAAGGGAAGGGAAGGGAAAGGAGGGGAGGGGAGGAAAGGAAGGAAGGAAGGGGAGGAGGAGGAGGAGGCTAGGAGGAGAAGGACTGGGGGATCCTTGATGCTCTCTGAGCTAATCAAAGAACTGAAAGAGCAAATCACTTGTATATAAAACAGAGCAAACTCTGTCCTCCTCCTCCTATCCTCTCTCCTCCTCCCCCCTCCTCCTCCTGCACTGATGATGTTACCTAGTTGGGTAATGAAACGTTGTAAGAAAACAACCAAGCTCAGAGAGAGTATCAAGGACCCCTCAGTTCTCAGTTATCATTACTGGTTCCAACCAACCATCCGTCCACTTTGTGTTTGTGTCTTAGATTTAGTCATTTCTCCCCATCCTTTGGTTAAAACTCATGATAAAAATAAAATGAAGGATGTGTGGATGTAACATCACTTTCCCAAGTGAGCTTAAAGTGCAAGCATTAATTCTTGAGCCAAGAGTTGGTTATACCTCTATGCCTGTATGCTTGTCTACGAATGCAAACCGTCAGAGCAGATAATTGAAAACGGGGGCATCTTAAAATAAATAAGACTGCAATTTTACATGTTCACTTGCCCATAGATGCACAAAACTATTTATTTACAAAATGCATTGAATTCTGTTGTTTGAGAACCTGTTTATAAAATGTTTTTGTAATGTGCACTGTTGTTGACAGAACTTTTACTAAAAAGACCTTTAAAATTCACCGGAGCTGGCAATACTTTACTCTGACATTAACGAGGCGGGGTGGAAAAAAACCTGTTTTGCATTTTTCTCATTTTTCAACGTTTCGTTTCATTACGTTTTTCATTTGTTAAACTCCCATTTGGTTTGTGCTGATGTGTAGACAAAACCCAAGCAACCATCCGCAGCTTGTAAATGTTGTGTTTTGGAATCAAACGATAAGGGATTTGAGAAGGCTTTCCTACGTGTGCAATTAAAGTGTTTTTTTGTGTAAAAGAGAGCAGAAATCCAATCATTGCCTTTTTTCTAATCTTAGAGGCAGGAACATTCAGGCATTTCCCTTACCCCAAGCATCAACATTTCCAAGTTTCAAAGTAGCTCTCTAGTTTACAAGCAGTTTCAAACATCATACAAATAGAGGTGGCCCTTGTGATGACTCGGGGCATGGCACAGAGTCAATACAGTTAGCTGATAGTTCAGACTGCCCCTTAACGCTCCCACGTTTCTGGCAAGTCCCAGAGCAAGGTAATCACACACAAACACATACAGACACAAACCTCCAGCAGCCTCTGACTGCAAGTAATCTGGCATAATGCTGTGAGCACAATGGCTGCAAAGCAAGAAATCCAGCAGGGCAAGGGAATAAGTCAATGAGTCCAGGAAGCAAAGGAACAAGGCAATTCATTCAGGAAGCAAGAAATAAAGCAAGAAGTCCAGGAAACGTCCAATGTTGGCAACGGCACACAACACTCCATGAATTCAGCGTTTGTTCCCGACAAATGCCCCTCCCCACAGCGTCTCCTTAAGTGTCAGTCCCCAGGTGTGCCTTGTGAAGAGGGGTGAGAGGTGCTCTCCTCCCGAGTTGTCGGGTCAGCCTGCGCTGTTCCCGCCTTCTCTCCACTCTCTGTGCTCGAGGATCAGGAGGGGGTGGTCCTTCCTCATCGCCTGAGCTCTGTCTCTCATGCTCACTGCTTAGCCTCTCTCAATCTTCCTGCCCCTGTTGCTCCCTTCCTACAAGTCGTCCCAAACCTGAAAGGCCCTGGCCTGACTCGGCTGCTCCTCCCCCATATTCCTCCGAAGCCAATGAAGCCACCTCCTCAATCTCCATTGACTCCAGTTCCAGCTCAGATTCAGGCTCCGATGGGGACATGACAGTCCTCAAATTACAACCATTTGTTTAGAAATGGTTAAAACTTACAATGGCACTGAAAAATGTAATTTATGACCGGTCATCACATTAATCACTGATGCAGCATCCCCGCAGTGTGTGATCAAAATCTGGGCACTTGGCAACCAGCATATATGTACAACAATTGCAGCATCCTGGAATTATGTGATCACATTTGTGATTCCCCCCCAGCTGGCTTCCTACAAGCAAAGTCAACAGGAGAAGCTGGATTTGGTTAACAATAGCATGATTCGCTTAAGAACTGCAGTGATTCACTTAACCATGGCAAAGATGTTGTAAATTGGACGTGACTCACTTAACAACTGCTCTGCTTAGCAATGGACATTCTGGTCCCAATTGTGATAGTAAGTTGAGGACTTGTTAGAAATTCTGTTTATATAAAGCATCACACAAAGTAAACAAAGAGCACAGTCACCATGTGCTTTACTGCTCAGCTATTTAATGTAACAGGAAACTCTACTTAGAAAAAAAAAGCATAGAGTACATACCTTAGATCCAAATGTGTAAATATTGCCAGCTATGGCTGAACACTACTGTAGTTGTGGCATAGAAATAAAATCCAACAATGAAATTCCAACAAGAGTTAGTCAACCAGAGGACCTTTCTTTCTTGCACAGGAGTGGGGTATGGGAGGGAGGGGGGAGGAAGAAAAGAAGGAAGGAAGGAAGGAAGGAAGGAAGGAAGGAAGGAAGGAAGGAAGGATATGGGAGCGAGGAAGGTTTAATAAAAATAGGAGAATGGATTGTCATCATATTAAAGCAAACTCTTAATATTGTCTGTAATAGTCATCAGAAATTTACACATCATCATTTCTTTACATTCTTAGGGCGCTGCCGGTCGTTCTGGTGCTCCTGGAGAGAAAGGCCCTCATGGACTCCCTGTAAGTTTTCTTTCATAAAAATTTAGATCAAAGAGATATCAGGGTGATTTGCACCTTCTCCTGATACATCTCCAACTTCTTAGAGGTCAAAGAAACTATTCTGCAGAGAGATTGGTATCTGCTACTGCAGGCGTCTCCAACCTTGGCAACTTTAAGACTTGTGGACTTCAGCTCCCAGAATTCTTCAGCCAGCTTTGCTGGCTGAGGAATTCTGGGAGTTGAAGTCCACATGTGTTAAAGTTGCCAATGTTGGAGACCCCTCCTCTACTGCAGTGTTTCTTATCCTTGACAGCTGGAAAAGGTGTAGACTTCAACTCCCAGAATTCTGCAGCCAGCCATGCTGGCTGAGGCATTCTGGGAGTTGAAGTCCACACCTCTTCAAGCTGCCAAGGGGGAGAAACACTGCTCTATTGATTTCCAGGGACCTAAAAATCTGGCAATTGCCTGTGTATTTTCTTTTTTCATTCCCATCCCATTTTATTTTTGATTAGATTTCCAGTTGTAGGAAGAAGGAACCCTAGCCTACAACATACTGTAACACTGCCCACTGTAACAACATTGCCAAAAAGGCATTAAGAGTTGTTAACCTAATCTTGCATAACTTCTTCTCTGGTAATGTTGTACTACTAACTAGAGCATACAAAACATTTGCTAGACCAATTCTTGAATACTGCTCCTCTGTCTGGAACCCGCACTGCATATCGGACATAAATACAATCGAAAGAGTCCAGAGATATTTTACGAGAAGAGTCCTCCATTCCTCTAACCGCAATAAAACACCTTATGCCACCAGACTTCAAATTTTGGGCTTAGACAACTTAGAACTACGCCGACTTCAGTCTGACCTAAGCATAGTACATAAAATTATCTGCCACAATGTCCTTCCTGTCAATGACTATTCAGCTTCAACCATAACAATACACGAGCAAATAATAGATACAAACTCAAGGTTTGTATCAAGCTCCAAACTCGATTGCAGAAAATATGACTTCAGTAACAGAGTGTTCAATTCCTGGAATGCACTACCTGACTCTGTAGTTTCTTCCCCAAACCCCCAAAACTTTAACCTTAAACTGTCTACTGTAGACCTCACCCCATTCCTAAGAAGTCTGTAAGGGGCGTGCATAAGTGCACCAGCGTGCCTACCATCCAGGGGTGAAGTGCTGCCAGTTCGGACCGGATCGCCTGATCCGGTAGCGATGGCGGCAGGTGGTTCAGAGAACCGGTAGCAAAAATCCCTGCGCCCCCCCCCATACCCAGTTGAGCCGCGCGATCATCAGAGGCTGTTTTTTTAACTTTTAAAAGCATTTTTTCTACAACCTCTTCGCCCGAAAAAATGCTTTTAAAAGTAAAAAAAAAAAAAGCCTCCGATGATCGCAGGGCTCAGCTGGGATCATTCAGAGGCTTTTAAAAGCATTTTTTCTACAACCTCTTCAGCCAAAGAGGTTGAAAAAATGCCTTTGAAAGCCTCTGGCGATTCCAGCTGAGTTGCCTGATCGTCAGAGGCTTCTAAAAACATTTTTTTCTACAACCTCTTAAGGTTGTAGAAAAATGCTTTTAAAAGTAAAAAAAAAAAAAAAGTTGGCCATGACATTACCCCCCCCACCAAGACACGCCCACAGAACTGATAGTAACAAATTTTAGATTTCACCCCTGCTCCAGTCCCTGTCCTAATATTCCTTTTTAGTTACTTTTTTCATGTATTCAAATTATGTTTATACTTTTACCTGTTATCTTATATATGCTTGACAAATAAACTTGATATGATATGATATGATATGATATGATATGATATGATATGATATGATGATATGATATGATATGATATGATATGATACTATTATATTCCGAGAGCATGTCTACTTTCTTATTTCTTTGATTCCTATTCTCATCTTTCTGCTGGAGTAGGAAGGGCTGTGCAGGAATCTCAGAAAAAATGTCCAACTCTTGATAGACTCCCATAATCATGTTAAAAGCAGGAAGGAGTTGAGAACTGGAGTGGATAGAACAAGCTTCCCCAACCCGGTGTCCACCAAATATATTAGATTTCCACCATCACCCGACAATCCATATTGGTTGAGGAATTAGAGGACTTGAGTCCCAAATGTGCTTTTACAAAAGGCAACTGGAATTTCTTGGTTGCTGTTTTTTCAAAACATTTGAAAACATTTCACTTCTCATCCAAGAAGCTTCTTCAGTTATAAAAAGAGTGCAGAGAAGAGCAGCAAAGATGATGAGGGGACTGGAGGCTAAAACATATGAAGAACAGTTGCTGGAATTGGGTATGTCTAGTCTGATGAAAAGAAGGACCAGGGGAGACATGATAGCAGTGTTCCAATATCTCAGGGGCTGCCACAAAGAAGAGGGAGTCAAGCTATTCTCCAAAGCACCTGAGGGTAGAATAAGAAGCAATGGGTGGAAACTAATCAGGGAGAGAAGCAACCTAGAACTAAGGAGAAATTTCCTGACAGTGAGAACAATTAATCAGTGGAACAGAAGTTGCCATGCTCCAACACTGGAAGTTTTTAAGAAGAGATTGGCTAACTATTCGTCTGAAGTGGTGTAGGGTTTCCTGCCTAAGCAGGGGGTTGGACTAGAAGACCTCCAAGGTCCCTTCCAACTTTGTTATTCCATTCTATTCAGAAGTGAAAAAACCAAGGACAAAAAAAACCCCAAGAAAGTCAGTTGCCTTTTGGAAAAGCAGCTTTGGGACAATCATGATCTGGACAATTGAGAATCTCCAAAGACATATAGGAACTTGAGGGATAAGGAAGGCTGACATTAAAAGGAGATGGAAGAGGAGAAGGTTGATCATCCTTGATGAAATTGTTGAGCTTGCTAGCCCATAAAACTGGAAGTTATTTTAGTGTTTATTGTGTGCATGTCTGGATGCTTACTTTTATGGTTCCCTGAGTACACAAACTATTCTTTTATGAACATTCAGTCTTGGGAAGAAGACATCATAAATATATTTATGGACTATGTTTTTCATTATTAGTGACTCTTTTTCTCCTATCAGGGACTACCTGGGAGCGCAGGCACTAAAGGAGAAAAGGGCCAGCCTGTAAGTAAATCGTGCTATATTATTATTACATTAACAAAATTTACATAGCTGTTCAATTCACTCACTGTGAATCTGGGTAGTTTACAGAAATAAAATCCCATTGCAAAACCCAAATTCCCACCTCCCTGGTGACAACAATCAAACCAACCTGTTGATAGGCTCCATATCACTCTGGGATCCAAGACCCATTGGCAGAACCATGTCTTCAGGATCTTGTTTAGTTTTAGTTTACTTTATTGTTATTGCATCTCGCACAACGAAATTAAATACTATCTTCAATGTACATTATAGTTATAAAAATAAACACAAACACACATCCTTCACGTTCTATACAAAGAGCGCTAAAGTGGGGGCCAAATTATGTCCACAGGAATGACGTTCCACAGGGAGGGAGCCACCACAGAGAAGGTCCTTCTTCTTGGTTCCACTAAAATCTAGTGGCTAGATGGACTGCCTTAAGAGGAGGGGTGGCACAATATACCCTGCATCTACACTAAGGATGGGATTCAGCCAGTTCGGACAGGTTCGGGCGAACTGGATGCTAATTTTACATCAGGTTCACTGAACTGGTAGTTGCAAGGACTGGCTGGCCCCGCCCACCCCACTCTGCCCCTCCCAGGCATCTCCATGAAGCCTATTTTGGTTGCCAGGTAAGTGCAGGGCCTGTGCGGAGGCTCTGGGAGGGCAAAAAATGGGCCTCCCAGAAGTTCCAGAAGTCTGAAAATGGGCCCATTTCTGGCCTCCGAAGTCCAGGGGAGGCTGTTTTCGTCCTCCTGGAGGCTCAAGGAAAGCCTCCGGAGCCTGGGGAGGGCAAAAAACAGGCCTCCGGGAAGTTCTGAAAGTCTGGAAACGGGCCCATTTCCAGCCTCTGGAGGGCCTCCGCAACCTGTTTTTGCCCTCCCAGAGGCTCAAGGAAAGCCTCAAGAGCTTGGGGAGGGTGAAAACGCCCCCCCCGCCATGGTGCAGGAGGCCAAGTAGGCCACGCCCACCATGGCCACACCCACCCAGCAACTGGGCAGAGAACTGGTTGTTAAAATTTTTGAATCTCACCCCTGATCTACATTCTGTTGGAATCAGTAGATGTGACAGGGAAAAGATGGTCCTTCAAATAATCTGGACCCAGGCCATGTGGGGCTTTAAAGGTGACAACCAGCACCTTGAACTGGACCTGGAATAATCTGATTCTTCAGGGCATGAGCTGAATTAAGTCAGAGGCCACTTTTAACTTCTGTAGATGGTGAAGGGTACAGTAAGTGTGTTAAGAATAGTGCCAAGTCAGTGGGCTGTGTTGCACATGGGAAGGAGCTGCATAATATTGGTGCAATTCTTGCGTCTGGGAAACTTCGCTTGTGCCCAGGTTTTTTACCATTCATTTCCCGCTAATATTTAACGCTACTGTTTCCTTGTAATCCCCGCTTCAAAATAATGTGAACCCATGGCACAGATTTTCAGCAGTTGTGGTTGAAACTTGCTTGGGAGGAGTATCTAAAAGTGGCTTAGGGAATCGACAGATGGCCCCGGGAGTTGGAGGTTGCCCATTCTCCAATTCAAGAGATACACGGATGTTTTGAAAAGACATCCCCCTCTCCAGCCCCATTTAGTTCCCAAGGGAATGCAGACTGACTGCATTCCCTTGGGAACAATTAGATAAGGCTTCAGGGATTCTAGAGGCGGTCAGGCCTGGGCCGCTTTCTGCAATGCAAGGATTCTAAGCTCAGTCCCCTCTTAACACCGCCCTCCGGTCTAGCTGGAGTTTCCACCACACCTGAGCTCTTGGAGGTAGGTGGGGGGAAAAAAGTAGCTAATTTGAGACACGTGGGTTATTTTTGCTTTCTCCTTTTCCATTTTAAACAACTTTGTTAAATTTCAAAACAAGATAAAATACAAAATAACTGGGAAAGGGTGAAAGCAGGGAATCAAAAGGGTTAGAATCTGAAAAAAGAAAGAAGAATAGAATAGAATAGAATTCTTTATTGGCCAAGATAAACCCCCCTAAAAAAATTAAAAAAGAAAGACTTCCAACTTTTCTCAGTGCAGATACAAATTTATAATCAGATAATTCCTTACTGTAAGGGATTAAACATAACATAACCAATATACTGTATAAGCGTAACAACATATACAATATTTCTACAATCTTAAATAAATCTATTTATCAAATCATTAATTCAAAAATGCTTATCCACTATTAAAAAGTAAAATTATAAAAAATAATCCCTAGTTTAAAAATGAATCTAAACAAAATCTTAAAATAACCAAAATGGTCAATTTCAGCATCTCCATCAATTCATTCATTCATTCATTTTCCTTCCTTCATTTTTTCATTTTCCTTCAATTCATTCATTCATTCATTCATTCATTCATTCATTCATTTTCCTTCATTCATTCATTTTCCTTCATTCATTTTTCATTTTCCATTCATTCATTCATTCATTCATTCAATTTCCTTCAATTCATTCATTCATACATGCATTCATTTTCCTTCAATTCCTTCATTCATTTTCCTTCCTTCGTTTTTTATTTTCTTTCAATTCATTCATTCATTCATTCTGTTTGCCTTCCTCTTTTTCCCAAAGGGAAGCCCTGGAGAAATGGGAGAGTCTGGTCCTTCAGGAGAACCAGGTGTACCTGTAAGTATCTCCCCAACATTTGTTCAATATTTTTCTCTCTCTATCTCTAATGAGGCATTTAAGCTGTCATCATATCACAAGTTACATTTGGATTATCCTGGGTTAGACTCATGGAAATCAGCAATTTTGCATTTGTCTTTCTAGGGAAATCAAGGTGTCCCTGGTGAGAGAGGTGAAGCTGGCCCAAGAGGATCTCCTGTAAGTAACTACTCTATAATCATTCCATTTGTAAGACCCAAACTCACCATTATGGCACTCAAAAAAACTGAACCAGAATTCTGGAAGCTGTATCTGTGAGCCCAGTGATCATTAAAAAAAAGTTAGATTTCTGCTCCAAGATGTTTAGAGCCTATAGACTAAGGAAGATGGCCTTGACAGTGATATGCAAGCTCTGTTGCCAAGACAACAAGGGATGAAAGAATTTTTAAGTATAACATATGGGAGCAATTCTGACACCTCCTTAATTAGGCTGTTGGTTTGAGCCCGAGGTTGGCAATTTGGTTGCAAATGTTTCGTCACCATTCAAGGAGATATCACCAGTGCGTTTTGAGTTGAGCTCTGAGCTTGGCAATTTGGTTGCAAACGTTTCGTCACCATTCGAGGAGACATTGTCAGTGCACTTTGAGTTGAATTGACAACTCAAAATGCACTGGCGATGTCTCCTCGAATGGTGACGAAACGTTTGCAACCAAATTGCCAAGCTCGGAGCTCAAACCAGCAGCCTAACTACCAACTTGACCTACTAATATTCAAACACATTTCAACCTCCCTAATTCAATGAAATATAAAAAGGAGAAGGTATAAACACAGTCAGATTTGCAAGATTCTATTATCTTAACCCAGGGCTCTTCAAGCTTGGGAACTTTAAGACTTATGGACTTCAGCAACTCTCAGAATTAACTCATGTTGGCTGGGGAATTTTGGGAGTTGAAGTCCACAAGTCTTAAAATATTCTCAACCGTTGGCCTTTTTGCAGCAAAATGACTCTGGGATTTTATTTTACCAAGGTTATATATAACTTTACTAATAGATCCATACAAGGACAGAATTGCTTAATGCATTGTAAGCCACCCTGAGTCTCCGGAGAAAGGGCGGCATATAAATCAAATTAAAAAAAAAAAAGAAGTGAAGAAGCTCTGAGGTTTTTGCACGAAAACCAGCATTGTTCATTTCTCCTTTCCCCTATTTGGGCCACTCATTGTCCATTGTCCACCAATGCAACACATTCTTTTTATTTTATTTTACTTTATTTAAGTCTGTGCCTTCGGAAGGTTCCCATCCCGTGGCCTTGAAGGGTCAGGATTTTCTCAGGCTGCCAACGGCTCACGTAAATTCCTCACCTGCCTCCCAGCTCCTAATACATTCCAAGGATTCCCCTTACCCCTCCCTTAGTTTCTCCTTGTCAAGTTGCGAGTAGAGGTGCATTACGGGTCAGCCTTGACAGTTGCCAAGTTTGGAGACCTCCTACTGAATAGGCACATCAGAACCCAGAAGAGGAAAAGGAACAGAGCTGCGGACTAGGCCGGGGTTTCCCTGTCTCCCTGCCCGAGCGGCCCCAAACCTCCGGCGGGGAGGGAGAGAAGCTCCAGGCCACTATTCCTGCTGCTGCCGGGGAAGCGGCAGTAAGGGAACCCCCGTTGCCAGGGGGTGAGGGGGTGGCGGCGGCAAGGACTGGCTGGCCGGGACTTCTCTTCCTCCCTGCGGCAGCCCATGTGGATACCAGGCAGTGCAGCTTCAAGGGCCTTTCCTCGCGGTGTCGATGACAAGGTAGGCAGGCAGGCGAGCAGGTGCAGGGGAGCGACTGAGAGAGTGCTCCTGGCTGGCAAGGGAGTGGATGTCCTGGGGCATACATGTGCACCAGCCAGCTAGTCTTCTGTTTACTGGCACGCATGCGTGTGCGACAATCAGCTGGCCGGCTGATCTTTGGGTTACTGGCACTGCCGCACACGTGAAGGTCAGCTGATCATCGCGCATGCATGCGCACCAGTAACCAGAAGATTAGCTGGCCGATGCACATGCATGTTCCAGAAACCCAGAAGAGGAATGGGCAACGCCTCGCGTGCCAGGTGAAATGGCTCTGCGTGTCACTTCCAGCACGCGTGCCATAGGTTCGCCAACACGGTCCTATTCAATACCAATAAAATAATTTCAGCCTTCCTCAGGGTTTGATTTCTGGGCCTGGTCTACCTGATAGAACTGACAGTAGTTCAGAACTGGATAATCTTCTTTCTGCCCAAGGACTACGTTTTATCAAGACCGTCGGTGTTTGTCTCAGTTTATGACCTTTCTTGCCACGGTTGTTAAGTGAATCACTGCAGCTGTTAAACTGCTAGTCACACGGTTGTTAAATGAATCTGGCTTCCCCATTGATTATGCTTGGGAATAACCTTTGGGGAAGGTCCCCAAAGGGGATCACAAGATCCCGGGATGCCCTGCAACCGTCATAAATGTTATATAGGTGGATTGAAGAGACTGGAGACAGGCTTCAGACAACAGCTCTTTATTCATTAACTATTTACAATCCAGCAAGCCAGTCCCTGTAACAGCCAGCCTTTATATAGAGGGCTGTCTGGGAGCTCAGCCAATCACATTTAAGCATTGTTCCCGCCCAAACAGTGGACCAGAGGGAAAACTTCCTTGTCAATATCTAACAATAAACCTGAGTCAATTACCAAGAATCTGAATTTTGATCATGTGACCATGGGGATGCTGCAGAAGTCATCAAGCGCGAGAACTAGTTGTAAGTCACTTTTTTCAGTGTCGTTGTATGGTCACTAATTAAATGGTTGTAAGTTGAGGACTTATTTATTTATTTATTATATTTCTATAGCCTTTCTCCGTAGGACTCAAGGCGATGTATAGTCAAGAAAAATATAGAACACAAAATACTGTAATGTCCTTTTTTTTTCATACTTAAAATATGGTCACCCTGGAATTGTTGTTCCTGAAGATGGTTACTATCTTCCTTCATTGACCCATTTCTTTTTTTTTTTCTCTGCAGGGACAACCTGGTCTACAAGGACCTATGGGAGCAGCAGGTGTAAGAGGTTTCCAGGTAAGTCAAATTCAGAAGACAATTTTGGGATGGAAAGGGCAATTGTTCCCAGGCCGGGTGAGTGGCTGCAATTTGTATCTGTAACCTGCTTGTAGGGGCATTACCAAGGATTTCATGATGTCAACAAATCTAGTAGGTGACTTTTAAGACGTGTGGACTTCAACTCCCAGAATTCCCCAGCCAAGCATGGCTGGCTGGAGAATTCTGGGAATTGAAGTCCACACGTCTTAAAGTTGCTGAGGGCGAGAAACACTGAAGTAGAATATATCCAATTGTCCAGTCTGCTCTTTAAATTTCCCAACACTCTTACTTCCATTGTGGCTGAGGAATTCTGGGAATTGAAGTTCAAACGTCTTAAAGTTGCTAAATTTGAAGAACAACAGGTATAAATGAAAGTAGTAAATAAGGCAGGTTGTGGGAAACTAAATGGGGCTGGAGAGATCGAAAACTAAAATGACCCATAAGGATCTACAACATAGAGATTTGCCAGGTGGCAAACCAGCAACTTTTTAATTCAAAGCTGGCTAAAATGGGAGTTTTTTTCTTTTCTTTTCAGACTGTTTAAGCCACCCTCTGAAAGTTGCTGATTTTGAATAACTAGGCAGTTTGATTCAAATATCCCTTTTTCAGCTTTCTCTCTTATTTCTCTCTTTTCGTTTAACTTTCCAGGGTCGTGCAGGACCGAGTGGGGAACCGGGCCGACCTGGTGCCACTGGGCTACGGGGTGAATCCGGCGAGCAGGTAAATCCTCTGCAAAAGTGAATGACTGATACAATGAGGCTCTGATGAATGTTACTTGATGAATGCAGAATTCTTTTGGGTAGGGCTGCAATATTTAATGTGTTCATTCAATCGATTCTGTAATGTAAGCCAGGGGTCCCAGTCCTCCAGGCCGCAAAACTGGGGTGCAGGAGAGATGCTGTTCTGACCCAGCTCCCCAAACACGACAAAACCCTTTGTAACCAATCAACGTTTCCTTTATTAGGAGCACCAGCAGCCCCGGCAAAAAGTCCCTCTCTCTTTCTCACCATAGGCTAACAAGTCTGTCCAGCAGGGAGATGAATAGTTGTCTGCCACATCTATTCATCTCCATCCCCTGCCTTTTATCCCCAGAACTAGGATGGGGCTTCGCTAGCAGCAGTGGCTCTTCCATCCCAAGGACCGGCCCATAGATTTCCACTGCTCTTCTCTCCTCTGCCTTCTGCGCATCCGGGTGTCAGGCACTGGACCCAGCTGTTCCTCCTCTTCCTCATCAGCCACCTCAGACCTGGGGGCTGTTGACTCTCCATCTGAGGGCTGACAGATGGCCCAGGCTTTGCCCCTGTCTCTATCTCTGCCAGCCCCACTTTCTCTTCCCCCTCGGAGATCTCAGGTTGCCTTGCTGCTGGCCCTGAGTCCCACGTCTCCTCCTCCTCTGATTTGACTGCTGGAGGGGCCGGCGGCCGACAAGCTACAACAGATGGGAAAGCACACATGCATGAAGCTCCACTCGTGCGAGCAGAGGATGCTTGCGCTCGCGCGCAAAGCTGTACTTGCACGAATGGAGCAGCCCCCCCCCCACGTGCACAAATGGAGCTGTGCGTGCGTGAATGTACACCTCCACCACCCCGCATGCCGGACCAGGTCACCAAGTTGGAAAGTTTAGGGACCACCGACCTAAGTTACAGAATCAATTTAAAATATTTCCACTGAGGAAAGAGGACTGCAAAGCGACATATTTTTTTTTACTGCATAAATGTTAGTTGTTGCTGTCATTAAGTTACTGTTGGTTAGTTGCAGTTAGATGTTACTGTTATTAAATTATCAGCAACAGTATAACAGGGTTGGGTGGGACCTTGGAGGTCTTCTAGTCCAACCCCCTGCTCAAGCATGAGATCCTATACCCATGATGGCGAAACTATGGCACGCGTGCCACAGGTGGCACGTGGAGCCATATCAGTGGGCATGCGAGCTCAGGTCCAGCGCACATGTGCACAATGGCCAGCTGATTTTCAGGCCTTCTGGGCTCACAGGCTGTTTCTGGCCTCCAGAGGGCCTCCGGGGGAGATAGGGAAGGCCATTTTCACCCTCCCCAGGCTCCTAGAAAAGCTCTGGAACCTGTGGAGGGCGAAAAATGGGCCTACACGGCCCATCGTGCCATCACGTGCCAAAAGCGAGGGAAGCGGGGGGGGGTCGCGCACACACGCATGGGGGCGGGGCACATAGAATTATGGGTGTGGGCACACACGCGCACAACCTTCCCGCACTCCCCCGCTTTTGGCACGCGATGGCAAAAAGATTAGCCATCACTGTCCTATACCATTCAGAACAAATGGCTGCCCAAACTCCTTTAAAAACCTTCTTAAAAATAATTACTATTGCTTTCTCCGTTAGAGAAAATAAGAAATGTCTTTTTTAAAAGACTGTTTGTTTCAAAACATCTGTTGGGTAGAAGGCGGGGCTTGGTGGCAGCTCCACCCACATTGTGATGTGTGGATTCATTGCATGTGATGTCACTTTAGACCAGTGTTTCTCAACCTTGGAAGCTTGAAGATGGGTGGACTTCAACTCCCAGAATCCCCCAGCCAGCAGTGCTGGCTGGGGGATTCTGGGAGTTGAAGTCCACCCATCTTCAAGCTTCCAAGGTTGAGAAACACTGCTTTAGACAGAGGTGGGTTTCGCATTTTTACCACCGGTTCGCTGCTGATGCATTCCGCGCATGCGCCCGGCCTTCCGTGCATGCGCTTTGCTCACATGCATGGCTTGCACACATGCATGTGGTTTCAAAAATGTGGCTAAACAGGACAGCATAGCACCGGGGCAGGTGGGGGGGGCAGGCCCACCCACAGTTGCCGCTAACGAACCGACTGATTTTCACCACTGCCTTTAGAACATGAACTTCTTAATTTATTGAACATGAAGTTCTTAATTTATTGGGGTGTTTTAAATCTGTCTTCGGCCAAATTGTTTAATTCACTTTTATTCTGTTTTTAATTTTTGTATTTATGTGTTTTTATCTTGTGGCTGTTCACCGCCCTGAGTCCTTGGGGAGTAGGGCGGTATATAAATCAACTAAACTAAACTAAACTAATAAACTAAATGGGTGGAGCTTGCAGCCTATAGCTTTTTAACTGTGCCATGCATTTCCTGCAGCGTTTCTCACCCTTGGTAACTTTAAACTGTGTGGACTTCAACTCCCAGAATCCCCCTGGCTGGGGGAATTCTGGGAGTTGAAGTCCACACATAGCTTCAAATCGCCAAGGGTGAGAAACACGATCTATTGCAAAAGTGCTCCAAATGCTGCCTTAAATTTAAGCAATAAAATTAGTTAGAAGAGATGGTTTTAAATCATTTTAGAATGGCGAGAGGGGTGGCAAACGAATTTAATAAATAAATAAATAATTTAAAAAAAACCCATTCGGATGTAGACTTACCTAGTCCAAAAGGTCCTTATTTATATTGTGTTCATGAAACTTGAGTAACTTGTTGGTCAATTATTTTTGGCACTTTTTTTCATGCTTCTTCTTCATTTGTTTCCAGGGTCCTACTGGGGTTTCGGGACCCAAAGGTAACCAGGTAAGATAAAGATCTCAATTCTTCGGATGCATAAATCATATTAAACCATGATTTGTCTAATTCCCGGTTTACAGAATAAATCTCAGTGGCTGGGCTCATCCAATAAACAAACCACGCAAACCACATTATGGTTTGATTGCGGTGCGAAAAATTAGTTTATGCCTCTAACGGCACATGTGTAATAGTACAGTTACCCAGGGGTAAAATCTACTTACCTTCCCTACTGGTTTGCTGCGCTCGTATGTGCGCCATCATCACATGCAATTTTGTACCCTCTGCGCATACGCAAAGCCTTCTGCGCATGTGCAGAGGGTCAAAAACAGGTTACTTTCTGGTTAAAACCAGGAAGTAACGACGTCCAGGTGGATGGGTGGAGCCTCGTGCTGCCACCGCTACCGGTTCACCAAACCACATACTGCCGCTATTACCGGTTCCCCCGAACCGGTGCGAACCGGTAGCATTTCACCCCTGCAGTCAGCCAAAGCAACACAAATTCCATCTGTTTGGTAGGTATGTGTTGCAACACTGCACCCGTGTATGAAAGGGGCAGAGCTGGTGTTGCAGAAAGAAGAGGCTGCTTTTGGTCAAAGGTTCAAATCATGCCCATCTGACCAAGGAGTGAGATCACTTCAGGAATGAAGCCTGAACTCATTTCCTTTAAACAAGCTGCCATATTTGGTAGAGTTATTTCAACAGTGAAATATATTGAAGGAGCCCCTGGTGGCCCAGTGGTTAAACTGCAGTATTGCAGGCAAACTCTGCCCATAGCCTGGAGTTCGATCCTGACGGGATTCAAAGTTAATTAAAGGTTTCCGTCCTTCTGAGGTCGATAAGATGAGGACCCAGATTGTTGAGGGAAAGATGCAAGTAATGCTTACATTGTAAATCACCCAGAGAGTGCTGTAAAGTGCTATGGGGCAGTATATAAATTTAAATTCTATTACTATCACTATTGAAAGACAGCATAAAAATTAAATAAACAAACAAAATAATTGGGGTGCAAATATCCAGACCACCACTAGATGGCAGCGTATTAATTAAATTTCTCTTCTTCTTGTGACATATCCATCATCTGACGTTGGCAATCACATAGGCGACCCTCTTTTTATCAACAGCCGCACAAAAAAGTGCTGTTGAGTTTTGTCCAAATTTCTGCCTCTCCATCTTTCTTCCACAGCCCAAAGAATCAGAATCAGAACAGAGCTGGAACGGGCCTTGGAGGTCTTCTAGTTCAGCCCCCTACTCAAGCAGGAGATCCTATACCCGTGATGGCGAACCTATGGCACGCGTGCCACAGGTGGCACGCGGAGCCATATTAGTGGGCACGCCAGCTCAGCTCTGGGGTGCATGCGCGCGCCGGCCAGCTGATTTTCGGGCCTTCTGGGCCCACCAGAAGTAGGGAAACAGGCTGATTCCTGCCTCTGGAGGGCCTGGGGGGGTGGGGGGAAGGCCCGTTTTTCTTTCTTACCTTGCTCCAGATCCTCTCTGTGTATCTGGGAACGGCGAAAACAGCCTTTCCCACTCCCTTGGAGGCCCTACGGAGGCTGAAAGGGCCCATTTCCCCACTCCCGGTGGGACAGGAAGTGACGTTTTTTCCTGTCCCCAGCCTCCAGAGACTCCTAGAGAGGCTCCTAGAGACTCCTAGAGAGGCTCCTAGAGACTCCTAGAGAGGTTCTGGAGGCTGGGGACAGCAAAAAAATGTCAGTTCCTGTCACACCGAGAGTTGGGAAATGAGCCCTTTCAGCCTCCGTAGGGCCTCCAAGGGAGTGGGAAAGGCTGTTTTCGCCGTTCCCAGATACACAGAGAGCATCTGGAACCAGGTAAGAAAGAAAAACGGGCCTACCAGGCCATCCTGTGCCAGGAGCAGTGGGGGGAAGGGGGAGGGGGTTGCGCACACATGCGCGTGGGCACGTGCGCGCGTGACCCTTCCCCCCCCTCTCCTGGCACGCGATGGCAAAAAAGTTAGCCATCACTGTCCTATACCATTTCAGACTCTCCAGTCTCTTCTTAAAAACCTCCAGTGATGAAGCATCCACAACCTCTGGTGGCAAGCTGTTCCACTGATTAATTGTCCTCACTTTTGGAAAGTTTCTCCTTAGCTTCCATCTATTGTTTCTTGTCCTGCCCTCCGGTGCTTTGGAGAATAAGTTGATCCCCCTCTTCTTTGTGGCAGCCTCTCAAATACTGGAATGATGCTATCATGTCCCACCCCTATCATGTCAGGGGTGGTATTCACTTACTTTCCCTACCGGTTCGCAAATGTGCACGCACGTCCATGCATGCGCTTAACCTTCCACGCATGTGCTTTGCTGGTGCACACGCCATCCACACATGCGCCCGGGCTAAAATATGTGCCTAAATAGAATGGCACAGAGCCGGGGCAGGTGAGCGGGCCTATCTACAATTTCCGCTACCGGTTCGGGTGAACCGCTCCGAACCGGCTGAATACCACCTCTGCCCCTGGCCCTTCTTTTCTCTAGTAATGTGCTGTAATTCTATTTTAACGTCATAGGCTTTTAACAAAATGTAGAGGTAGTCTTTGACTTACAACTATTTGTTTAGTGACCGTTCAGAGTTACAACGGCGCTGAAAAAAGTCACCGAGGACCGGGGCCTTGTACTTATGACTATCGTTGCATCTCCAAGGTCACATGATCAAAATTCGAACGCTTGGCAACCAGCATGTTGCAACATCCCTGGGTCATGTGATTGCCCTTCGCAATCGTCCTAGCTGGCTTCTGACCAGCAAAGTCAATGGGGGAAACCAGATTCATTTAACGACTGCATGATTCACTTAATAACTGCAGTGATTCACTTAACGACTATGGCCAAAAAAAGGTAGTAAAATCGAGTGCGAATCCCTTAAAAATTGTCAAGGGAAATTCTGATCCCAATTGGAGTTGTAAGTTGAGGACCACCTCAACTACAGCTACAACTTAAGTTCTGAGAACTTATTTCTTAAGTTCGAGGTAGTTTAATGTGACAGTCATATTTTTGCATACTTCTTCCTTAACACATTTATGGATCCCGTATGTTTTTATATACTCATTCGCAAACCAGATTTAGAACCACACATGGCTGCCTGCTCCATAAATGTCTGAAAGTGTGAATTGTTATAATACAAATTGAGCACATTTGATTCCCGTCCTTAGCAGTAATTTTCCACATACTTGAACAAGGAAGCCCTCTTCTGGTTTAAACGAGAAAGTTTACTTCTAACCAAGAGCAGCAAATAGGTGTAACTCATAAAATTGTTGAGAAACATCCCATTTTAAAAAATTATCTTCATTGAAGGTTTAACCCAGGGGTGAAATGCTCCCGGTTTGGACCGATCCGGCTGAACCAGTAGTGATGGCAGCTGGTGGTTCGGAGAACCGGTAGCAATGGCGGCGCAAAACTCCTCCCACCCACCCGGTCGTTGTTACTTCCTGGTTTTAACCAGGAAGTAACCTGTTTTTTGCCCTCTGCGCATGCGCAGAAGGGCTTGCACATGCGCAGAGGATCCGTGCGTGCACACGATGCATGTGTGCTCACGAGCAAAGCTGATGCACACGCGCGGCATGTGCACTTCCGAACCGGTTGGGAAGGTAAGTAGATTTCATCCCTTGAATGAAGCTTGAATTAAAGTCACTTCCTAGAGCTCAAAACTTTGACGCCCCAATCATGACCCTGTTTCCCCCCTTCCCCCAGGTGTGTCATCAATCACATTCGCCAATGGAGCAATTTCATGGGTTGTAGAGCTCACTCCTCTCCGGCCGCTGTGGGTAACTCTGGGAGACAGCCTTGAGAGAGATATGTCTGGAATGTGCTTCTGTTTTTGGCTGCCGTGGTGCTTCATTGGTTTCCCATCCCCCTTGCCTATGGCAACTTGAGACCAGGCCAGGGATACTTTGCGAGTTGACATTGGGTTGACATAAAGGGTCCTTGGTGTTCTCTGAACTTGCTTATTTTCTTGCAGACATTTCATTACCCAACTAGGTAACATCATCAGTGCTAGTCTATGGAATCCAAAGGTGATTTTTCCAAAAGGCAACTGGACTTTGTTGTATTTTTTTTTTCCTTTGAAAACATTTCACTTCTCATCCAAAAAGCTTCTTGGATGAGAACTGAAACAGCATCTTGGATGAGAAACAAAACGTTTTCAAGGGGGAAAAAAAATACAAGATTTTCCAGTTTCTTTTTGAAAAAGCACCTTTGGGACAACCATGACCTACCTGAATGAGTGAGAATCTCCATAGACATTTGAGTTCAGAGTTTGGCTGTGCTCTCAAAGACCGGATAATTTCATTTAAGTCTTGGACAATCCCAGTTTGTGCTAATAATTTCGACCTAAAAATGTTGATCGTGAATTCGAGATGCTCTAAAATAATGCCAATTTATAGAAGACTATTAATATAATCAGGGTTTGTCACACCGTCAGCCAGATGTTCAGACGGGATATGTCATTTTTGTCCACTTATTGAGTCCTTCCCAAGGAACTGGGCATGGGCAGATGTCGATGTTTTATGGTGTTAGAAGTATCATCGCAGGATTTCAGCTGTTCCAAGTAAAGCTGCCTTTTGCAACTGACTGATGGTGAATTTGTCAATGTCAATGTTGTTTTAAGTGTCGCTGCAGATGTTGGTGGATTACACCAGTGGTATATGATGATATGACGTCACTGAACTGGTTCTCTTTGTTCGGGAGCTGGTTCATAATAATAATAATCAAGGAGCTGGGCCCTCCCGCCCCCCCCCCCCCGGTGTTATTCTTACCTTTTATTTGGCCCCACCCCCAATCTATTGCTGCCTCCCGAGTCCCAGCTGATCGGCTAGAAGGAAAAAAACTGTTTAAACTCTTGCCGCGGGGCTTCAAAGGGCTGCCTTACAGCTGATCAGTGTTAAAAGGTAGTGTGGTGGTAGACCAATGCCTCCAAAAACGAATGAGTAGACCAGTACAGCTCTGCAAGCAGTTAAAAGCCTGGTAGACCAGTACCTCTGCTATATCCTAAAGAATTGTCACATGACCATCAAGCCATGCCCACAAAATAAGCCACGCCCACAGAACTGGTAGTAAAAAAATTTAGAACCCACCCCTGGATTACACCCAAAGCACCTATGATTATTGGCACTACATATGTTTCCTTTTGCCACTGTCAGCCTATTTCTATCATTGAATAATATTGTTACTGCTCGAGAAAGATGTTTTCAGTAGATGACAGCATTTGACTGATCTGATCTGGATTTGATGCTGTTGGAAGAAATATCCATCAGGTTCAGTTCCAAGCTGGGAGAAAGGCACTGGAGATAAAATGGAGGCTGGAGGCTGATTGGAAAGAGGGCCCATTTATTGATGAAGCAGAACCACCAGCCACTTGTGGTTCTGGTGCAGCTGACAAAATGGAGTTGAGAGTGGGGAGGTATTTATACCTTCTCTTGGGCTTTGCACTTGAGCTTCCTGTTCCTGTGCAAGAACATGTATTCTATTGGCTGTTCTCAGACTCCCATGGGGCCATGTACAAATCCTAGGAGTTTGTCTGAGTTAAGTTTGGTTGACGTTTGGTCTGCTGATGCAATGAAGGGGCTTGTTGGACAATCCCTATTGTGGCTGAGGGCTAACCCTACCTTTGTTCAGACCTTGCTGCAGGGAATTTTTGCCTGTGAATAGAGCTACCTAGATCTCAATAAGCTCTTTGTCTCTTAAGTGCTGGCATCTTCTGAGGGCTATTAAGAAAGGTGAGGGCTGCTTTCTCCCTCTAAAAAACATGTTTCTCCATTTCTCATCCAGGGAAATATAATATTCTGCCTTCTTAATATTTCTCAAAATATTTCATTCTTTTAGGAGAGGAGTGGGTGCTAACTTTCTACAAAGCTAAGCAGGCTTGGGGTTAATATTGGGTGGGAAACCCACTAGGACCGTGATGGCGAACCTATGGCACGCGTGCCACAGGTGGCACGCGGAGCCATATTAGTGGGCATGCCAGCTCAGCTCTGGGGCGCATGCATGCGCCTGCCAGCTGATTTTCGCGCCTTCTGGGCCCACCAGAAGTAGGGAAACAGGTTGTTTCCTGCCTCTGGAGGGCCTGGGGGGGTGGGGAAGGCCCGTTTTTTTTTCTTACCTTTTCCAGATCCTCTCTGTGTATTTGGGAACAGCGAAAACAGCCTTTCCCACTTCCTTGGAGGCCCTATGGAGGCTCAAAGGGCCCATTTCCCCATTCCCGGTGGGACAGGAAGTGACATTTTTTCCTGTCCCCAGCCTCCAGAGACTCCTAGAGAGGCTCCTAGAGACTCCTAGAGAGGCTCCTAGAGACTCCTAGAGAGGTTCTGGAGGCTGGGGACAGCAAAAAATGTCACTTCCTGTCCCACCGGGAGTTGGGAAATGGGCCCTTTCAGCCTCCGTAGGGCCTCCAAGGGAGTGGGAAAGGCTGTTTTCGCCGTTCCCAGATACACAGAGAGGATCTGGAACCAGGTAAGAAAGAAAAACGGGCCTACCAGGCCATCATGTGCCAGGAGCGGGGAGGGGGAGGGGGTTGCGCACACATGCGCGTGGGCACGTGCACGACCCTCCCCCGCCCACCCACTCTCCTGGCACACGATGGCAAAAAGGTTAGCCATCACTGCACTAGGAAATCCCAGGAATGAAGGGTTAGTGAGTTGAGAGGATTAGTGAGTTGAGAAGAACATCTTAGAAGAAAATGAAGGGAGACCTAATGCTGCCAAGAAAATTGCACAGCATATCCGGGTTAGAATAGAATAGAATAGAACTTTTTATTGGCCAAGTGTGATTGGACACAAAAGGAATTAGTCTTTGGTGCATATGTTCTCAGTGTACATAAAAAGAAAAGATACATTTGTCAAGAATCATAAGGTACAACACTTAATGATAGTCATAGGGTACAAATAAGCAATCAGGAAACAATATCAATATAAATTTTAAGGATACAAGCAAGAAAATTATAGTTATACAGTCGTAAGTGGAAGGAGATGGGTGGTGGGAACGATGAAAAGATTAATAGTATAGACTTAGTAAATAGTTTGACAGTGTTGAGGGAATTATTTGTTTAGCAGAGTGATGGCTTTTGGGAAAAAACTGTTCTTGAGTCTAGTTACTACCAGATGTTGATTCAGAAGAGAATTAACATCAATCATCATTAGCCAAACAACCGTAGTGACTCTAAAATCTTGTTTTCTTTTTTGATAAATGTATTCTTTCTTTTTTCCTCTGCAGGGCATTGCTGGGACAGATGGACTACCAGGAAGTAAAGGAGAACTGGTATGTAATGAAAACTGGCTGGGTGACTTTGGGCCAATCACCAGGAGACAGTGAGTTCTAGTCCCACTTTAGGCATGAAAGCAGCTGGGTGACTTAGGGCCAATCGCCAGGAGACTGTGAGTTCTGGTCCTGCCTTGGACATGAAAGCCAACTTTGGACCAATCACCAGGAGACAGTGAGTCCTAGTCCCGCCTTAAGCATGAAAGCCTGGCTGAGGAATTCTGGGAGTTGAAGTCCACACATCTTAAAGCTGTCAAGGTTGAGAAACACTGCACTAGAGCTTTGCCTGCTGATTCACTGGTTCTGGAATCTTTTTAATTTTATTTTTAACCAACTCCTCAACACATCTGTAAGCCTCTGGAGAAGGATCTCAGAACTGAAGATATGATACAGAACTGAATCAGCATGATGAGGGTTAGTCTAGGAAAGACCCCAGTCTTATTCACCCACAGTGATGGAAATGCAGTGTATTCCCACACCATACAAAGGTCGAAACTTATGGTCCTTCCCAGTGGTGGGTTCCTCCTGGTTTGGTCCGGTTTGGCCGAGCCGGTAGCGGTGACGATATGACGTCACTGAACCGGTTCTCCCCCCCGCCCTCCAACCCCCCACCCACCCACGTACGTTATTCATACCTTTTATTTGGCCCCACCCCCAATCTATTGCTGCCTCCTGAGTCCCAGCTGATGACTAGAGGGGAAAAAACTGTTTAAACTCTTGCCGCGGGGCTTCAAAGGACTGTCCTACAGCTGATCAGTGTTAAAAGCAAACAAATGAGTCAGGTCGTAAGTGCGAGGACTGGTCGTAAGTGCAAGGACCTTCCAGAAATGACTCTGACCAGCTAGCCACGCCCACCTAGTCACATGCCCTCCAAGCCACACCCACAAAATAAGCCACGCCCACAGAACCGGTAGTAAAAATATTTAGAACCCACCCCTGGTCCTTCCAACTCTAGCATTCTTTTAATTCTATTTCATCCCCGAGTAAGTTGTCAGATGATACATTTGGATGGCGTATCTGTGAGCTGCAATGAAAAGCAATCCAAGTTCTTCAGTTTCATTTCGGTTTCCTGCATGGGATTGAAACAAATAACTTTATTTCAATTTCTTTCTTCTTTTCTAGGGCCCCTTTGGATCTCCTGGACAGAAAGGGGAAGTGAGTATCCTATACTTTCCAGAGAAAAAAAAGAAAACCCATCACCTCTGGTGTTCTTCATTATATGGATTTGTAGTCATTTGCCTGATGGATTTTATTTTTTAAAAAATCTGAAGGTCGCTGTCAGAGGAAGCTATGGAAAGGAAAGTGAGTGTCATCTACAAAAGGCTTCCTGACCGCTTGGCCACCATTCCTATATTTCTCTTAAAAGTCCCCACAAGCTGTGCAAAACAGAAGGCCAACAATATAGCAGCCAATGCTTTAAGCAAAGGCTATTTGCATGTTGTGGCAGACCGAGGAAGAGAGGAGGGGTTCCAGGAGAGAGAGCACACCTGGAATACTGCATCTAGTTTTGGTTACCCCATTACAGAATAGATGTTGAGGCTTTGGAAAAAGTGCAACTAAGAAGAGCAACTTAGATGATTCAGGGTGTGGAGACAAAAACATATGAAGAACGGTTGCAGAAATTGGGCCAGCCTAGAGAGAAGAAGGACTAGAGGTGACATGATAGCAGAATTCCAGTATTTCAGAGGTTGCCACAAAAAGAGGAGGAGGTCCACTTATTTTCCAAAGCACCAGAAGGGCAGGACAAGAAACAATGGATGGAAACTAATCAAGGAGACAAGCAACCTAGGAATTAAGGAGAAACTTAATAGTGAGGACAATAAACCAGTGGAACAGCTTGCCTTCAGACATCATAGGTGCTTCATCACTGGAGATTTTTAAGAAGAGATTGTACAGCCACCTATTGTTCTGCCCCAGCTATGGACCCCAAAGAACGCAGCACACACAAAGTCCGTTCAAACCTTAGTTTACTAAATAAACCAATTTTTTACAACAACGGCTGTTAATTAACTGCATTAACAGCGGCCAAGAATTCAAAGAATAATACTGAAAGCTTACTGTGGTTGGCAGAATGCCCAGAAGCAATTTGCAGGAAGCTGATAAGCAAGACAAGACACAAAGGTATGTGAACGAAGTTGTTCCCTGCAAATTGCTTCAGTCGGCGTTCCTCCTTAAATAGGCTGAGTGGCCAATTAACCCCAAGCCTTATTCTCGAGGAGACCTCCTCCTGAGAAGCCACTCCTGCCTTTTGGCAGCTCTGCATGCCCATGCATCGAGAAGAGGCTCCTCCTCTTCGTCCTCTTCACTTAAGGGAGCTTCTCGAGGTTCTGAAGGCCCTGGCACCTCTGGCACCACGTCTTCTCCAGCCTTCTCATTGACTGAGTCGAGTGCCAGCTGCACAGGCTGCTGGCGCAGCACCACACCTATCTGACATGGTACAGGGTGTCAAACTCAAGGCCCACAGGCCAGATTCAGCCCACAGGGATGCTTAGAACTGGCCCATGGGGCTGTCCTGGAAACAGTGAAGGACCGGCCCGCGGTGCATCTGCCAGCAAAAACAGAGCTTGGGCGGGCCGTGCGTGCCCCCACAGGTGCCCCTGCCATAAGTGACATCAAGCTGGTCACTCCCGCCCTGGCCTTCCTTGTCCCCCGAGATCAAACACAGCCCTGATGCGGCCCTCAATGAAATCGAGTTTGACATCCCTGCTATAGGGTCTCCTGCTTGAGGAGTGATTGGACTAGAAGACCTCCAAGGTCCCTTCCAACTCTATTCTCATTGATTGATTGAGCCAGTTGGTCTTGTGGATAAGGTGCTGTTTAGAAGCCAGGAGACATTGAGTTCTAGTCCCACCTTGGGCATGAAGGCGACTGGGTAACTTTGGGCCAGTTTTTAACCCACCGTCCTCTGCCTAGATGGTGCCCATGATGGTTTCCAGCCAGTCACACATCCAGACCATAATTAGAGCTTCTGCAAGGCAGCTGTATCCCTCATGTATTTTTAGGCCCAGTTTAGTGGCCACTACTGTGGCCCGCCAGTGGCCAGCAGAGCTGGCAGCAGATTCGGACAGTGAGGAGGTTGGGGAGGAACGTGGGCCAGTCCTGAAGTCTGGGGAAGGCTCAGACGAGGGTTCTGAGTCAGAGGTAGAGAGGGGGCCAAGGCCATCTGGAAGTTCTTTGCTCCCTCTGGAGTCTCCGGAGTCTGACATCAGCGAGGCAGAAGAACAGCAGGAGCCTGTTCCCCATGTGCGCTTGTGCCCAAAGACAGGAACAATTAAGAAAACAGGGTCGACCTGGGAGTAAGGGTTGGAGATGATTGGCCCCTCTCATAAGACATAAAAGAGGAGCGAACAGGACGTGAGCTTTTGCAGGAAGCGATTAGTTCATCTGGTCGGTAAAAGCTCTGGAAAAGCTCTGTTTGACTCTGTGCCAAGTTTGGCCTTCCTTGCGTGTGGCAATTAGTTATCTGGCAGCATTCCAAGGGAGATAAGGTGGGTGTTTGCAAACACTCCCCTGAAAGACTGTTTGAGAAGCCTTTCAGACTGGGAATGACAATAATCCACAGCTGTATGAACAAAAGAGGTTTGCCGGGACTAAGATTGTGCTCTATACTTTCTAAGGAAGCCTAGATCAGAACAGTCACCGCTTCTCCATTTGGGATGTTCTTCATTCTTCTTTTGCAGGCAGGAGAAAGAGGAGAGCCTGGCCCCAAAGGAGTCCATGGCCCCAATGGAACTGCTGGACTCCCAGGAGTTCCAGGCCATCCTGGCAAAACGGGTTTACAAGGAGAGCAAGGAATCCCTGGGATTGTGGGAAAACCAGGCCCTCCGGTAAGAGGTTCTGGACAAAAACCTTGCGCGATTGTTTGTTGATCATTGTCTACCCCTTTTTTTTCCTACTCCAGTTTATAATTCATTTTCACTGTGCTCTAAGAGCTATTCCAGTGGTGGGTTGCCCCCGGTTCGCACCGATTCTATAGAACCAGTAGTAAAACCAGCGGGTGGCCCCGCCCACTCACCCTGACATCATGAAAACGCTTCTGAGCATGCTCAGAAGCTTCTGCGCTTACGCAGAAGAGTGCACGCACGCAGCCCCATTGCAAACCGGTAGTAAAGGTAAGTAGAACCCACCCCTGAGCTATTCCTATTACAGATAGTCCTCGACTAATGACCACAATTGAGCCCAAAATTTCTGTGGTTAAGTGAAACATTTGTTAAATGAGTTTTGCCCCATTTTACGACCTTTCTCACCACAGATGTCAAATGGTAAGTCAAGGACTACCTATAAAACCTTTCGGTCTTGAAATCAGTGAAAGTTTGTGACTGGTGCAGAGCTACTTAGGGACAGTGGTGGGATTCAAATAACTTAACTGTCAGGTTTTCAGGCTGTCTTCAAATAAATTGCATCGCAAACGAAGTCTTTTATAAAACAAATTTCCATTTTATTAAGCACAGCACTTTTTACACCGACTTGTTGCAGCCGGCACTGACATGCTGCCCCAAAACCCCTCCTCTTCCTTCCCCCACTCCTCTGCATTCATTGGCCGTCTTCCCAATCATTCACCCCTAATCTACTGCTCCAATTCAAAGAATTTCCCCCCTCCCATCCATCTCCTAGGGGACATTATCTCCAGAGGAAATAAGTAGGTGAAAGGCAACCGTCCCGGTGCAGACACCTGCATTCTCCTTCTTATGTCAGCACTAGGATAAATGCATCTTGACGTGCTGACATTAACAACTGGTTCTCTGACCTAATGACCGGCTGGGTGGGCGTGGCCATGGTGGGAGTGGCCAGGGGGTGTTACAAGCAGCACTCAGCCTCCTCTAACCCCCTGGGAGCAAAAATGGGCCATGGGGGGGCGGCCATGCCCCCCATGCCCCATTTTGGGCCTAGTAGGCCTCCCTACAGCCTCCTGGGAATGAAAACGGGCCATGGGGTGGGGCAATGCACCCCCACAACCATTTTGGATCTAGTAGGTCTAGCTGCACTTACCTGGGAGCCAAAATGGGGCACGTAGGGACTCCTGGAAGAGGTGGGGAGGGGCGGACCCAGATAGCAATTTAACTACCAGTTCACCCGAACCAGCCTGAACCGGCTGAATCCCACCACTGCTTAGGGAGCGCCGTAGTGAGGTGTCATGACGTTGGAAGATAAATTGCAACTCTGGGATTAAAAGTCATAAAAATCTCTGGTGCAGACCAAGTTAGGGGAGGATGCAGTAAATGTTCACGATGAGACCACAACTCTTACGAAGGATTTCAAAATATAATTGCATAATATTAGGGATGGGGTGCAATGGCTCAGCGGTTAAAGATGCTGAGCTTGCCTGCTGGAAAGCTGACAGCCGGAGTTTGAGACCCGAGTGCTGCAGGGTAGAGTGAGTTCCCGTTATTTGCTCCAGCTCCTGCCCACCTAGCAATTCGAAAGCATGTGAGAAGATAAATCGGTACCACTTCGGTGGGAAGGTAACAGCGTTCCGTGTGCCTTGACATATGCTGGTCACATCACCACAGAACTGTCTTTGGACCATGCTGGTTCCCTCCGCTAGGAGATGAGCAGCGCCCCCTAGAATCAAACATGACTGGACAGGGGAATCCTTTCTCTTTCCCTTTATTTTTAGGGAAAAGAAGCTAGTGAAGAACGCATCCGAGAACTCTGCGATGGAATGATCAGCGGTGAGTATCGCTGCAAATTTTTGGGCAAGGAAATAATATTTATTTTGCTAAATGGATTGTCGGTGACAAGTGAGTGGTGCAGTGGCCTAGAGATGGAGCTCTCGCCTCACAATCAGGGTGGACATTTGATCCTAGGTAGAGGCAGATATTTCCCTCTCTGGGCACAATGAGTAAATATCAGCTGCAAATTCTACATTGGCGACAGGGGAGACATGATAGCAGTCTTCCAATATTTGAGGGGCTGCCCCAAAGAAGAGGGAGTCAAGCTATTCTCCAAAGCACCTGAGGGCAGGACAAGAAGCAACAGGTGGAAACTAATCAAGGAGAGAAGCAACGGAGAACTTTTCTGACAGTGAGAACTATTAATCAGTGGAACAACTTGCCTGCAGAAGTTGTAGGTGTTCCCTTATTGGAGGCTTTTGAGAAGAGATTGGACAACCATTTATCTGAAAGAGTAGAGGGCTTCCTATTTGAGTAGTAGGTTGGACTGGAAGACCTCCAAGGTCCTTCCAACTCTGTTATTCTGTTAACATCCTAGCTGGGGAATTCTGGGAGTTGAAAGTCCATTTTAAAGTTTCTAAGGTTGAGAAACACTGCTGTAGAGATAGTGTTTTTATCTATTTGGGAGGAATGAGAACTAACACTATTTCCAGCTCAGCTATATATTGGGTGTGTGTGTCCCAGCTGGCACCAATTGTGCATGTGTGAATATATGTATGTGTACATCTACATATCTTTATTTGTCTCTATTATCTCCTTCCTTCCTTCCTTCCCTCTGTCTCTCTCTGTCTCTCTTTGTCTCTCTCTGTCTCTGTCTCTCTCTGTCTCTGTCTCTTTGTCTCTCTGTCTCTGTCTCTGTCCCTCTCTGTCTCTGTCTCTCTCTCTATCTCTTTGTCTCTCTGTCTCTCTCTCTATCTCTCTTTGTCTCTCTCTCTGTCTCTGTCCCTCTCTCTATCTCTCTTTGTCTCTCTGTCTCTGTCCCTCTATCTCTCTTTGTCTCTCTCTCTCTGTCTCTGTCCCTCTCTGTCTCTGTCTCTCTCTCTGTCTCTGTCTGTCTGTCTCTCTGTCTCTCTCTCTCTCTCTCTCTCTCTCCATGATCTATCTTTCTCTCATCTGTCTATATCATCTATCTATTTTTTCTGTGTTTTATTTTGCATTTTTCAAAACAGGAAAAAGCCAACAATGATTTTAGATCAGTTGGCTTAAATTCAATCTTTAAAAAAAGCTAAGACCTTTTTTTAAAATCCAAAATGGTTTGGCATGCTTAATTTTAAAGCAAGCTGGTTGCAAGCCTCTCTGGGAACGCTTCGAATTCTTTCACCGCATCCAGTGACAAATAAAAAATCCACCCTGCAGCTTTCGTGTGTGTTTGTTTTTAATTCCAGAGCACGTTGCCCAGTTAGCTGCTAATTTAAGGAAACCCTTGGCTCCTGGACTCATGGGGAAGCCTGGCCCCCCTGGACCTCCAGGGCCTGCTGGGGCAATGGGGACCATTGGACATCCTGGGGCTCGTGGCCCACCTGGATACAGGGGACTCCCAGGGCATTTGGGAATTCCTGGTCCCAGAGGTGAGTAAAGCCCCAAAGAGATTACAGCAGTGGTGAAATTCAAATTTTTTTACTACTGGTTCTGTGGGCGTGGCTTGGTGGGCGTGGCACGGGAAGGATACTGCAAAATCCCCATTCCATCCCCACTCCTGGGGAAGGATACTGCAAAATCCCTATTCCCTCCCCACTCTAGGAGAAGGATATTGCAAAATCTCCATTCCACCCCACTCCAGGGGAAGGATACTGCAAAATCCTCATTCCCTCCCCACTCATGGGAAAGGATACTGCAAAATCTCCATTCCACCCCACTCTAGGGGAAGGATACTGCAAAATTCCCATTCCCTCTCCACTCCTGGGGAAGGATAGTGCAAAATCTCCATTCCACCCCACTCTAGAGGAAGGATACTGCAAAATCCCCATTCCCTCCCCGCTCCTGGGGGAAGGATATTGCAAAATCTCCATTCCCACCCCACTCTGGGGCCAGCCAGAGGTGGTATTTGCTGGTTCTCTGAACTATTCAAAATTTCCGGTTCTCCAGAACCTGTCAGAACCTGCTGAAATTCATCCCTGGATTACAGGTAGTCCTCAATTTACAATTATTTCTTTAGTGACCGTTAAAAGTTACAATGGCATTGAAAAAAAGTGACTTACGACCGTTTTTCACACTTTGTGACCATTGCAGCATCCCCATGGTCACTTGATCAAAATGGTATGCGTTTATGACCGTTGCCGGGTCCTGGGATCACGTGATCCCCTTTTGTGACCTTCTAAGAAGTGAAGTCGATGGGGAAGCCAGATTCAACTTAACAACTGCAGTGATTCACTTAACAACTCTGGCAAGGAAGGTTGTAAAATGGGGCAAAACTCACCGAGCAACAGAAATTTCGGGGTCGCTTCAGAAGTCAGAAGTTGAGGAGGACCTGCAGCGCATTAAAACCTACGAAAGATTGGATTTGATGTTTTCTTTCCTAAGTCGGTTTGCAAAGAGTGTCCTTTCTGATGGATCGATTTTATTTAAATTTTATAGGGGACTCAGGTGAGAAGGGAGACAACGGAGCCACTGGCAAAGGGGTTGATGGACCTGTTGGAGATCAAGGACCGCAAGGTAAGTTGAAAAGAATATTCTCCAGGTGAATGTCTATGGGGATTCTCCAATCATCCAGGTCATAGTTGTCCCCAAAGACGCTTTTTAAAAGGTAACTGGAGTTTCTTCATTTTCCCCCCCTTGAAAATGTTTTACTACTTATGAAAGAAGCTTCTTCAGTTCTAGCTGAATGGTGGGCAATTGAAGGATATCTAGCAGGGGTGTCAAACTCGATTTCATTGAGTGCCGCATCAGGGTTGTGTTTGACCTTGGGGGGGCGGGGCGTGGCCAGGGTGGATGTGGCCAGCTTGACGTCACTCATGTCGGGGGCATCTGTGGTGGCCCGGGCGCTCCCCCAGTGAAAACTGGCTCCCAAGCTCCGTTTTCGGTTGCGATGGCTTACTGCAGCCCTCTGCCAGCGAAAACGGAGCTCGGGAGGCAGTGGTGAAATCTAAAATTTGTTACTACTGGTTTTGTGGGTGTGGCTTGGTGGGGGGGGTAATGTGACTGGGTGGGCATGGCCAACTTTTTTTTTTTTACTTTTAAAACCATTTTTTCTACAACCTCTTCGGCTGACGATCCCAGCTGAGTTGCCTGATTGGCAGAAGCTTTTTTTCTTTTAAAAGCCTCTGACGATCCCAGCTGAGTTACCTGATCGTCAGAGACTTTTTTTTTTTTTTAAAATCACAGTGCAAATAGGTGTGGAACTGTGAAAACCACCTTTGGGACTTTCTGCTGGTGAATGTTCCTACTTTCCTAACCACCAAGACTGGGTATTCATGGTTTTCTCTGGAGGCATTATCTTTTTGTTACAAATTAAGAAGGGCTTTCAATTTGCAAAGGTGAGAAATCGAGAGCAGCTGAAATTGACAGGTTTCTCCATGTCAACCAATCTAGAGCGGGGGGGGTGTCTCCAAACTTGGCAACTTTAACACCATAAACTTCAATTCCCAGAATTCTCCAAGACTTGTGAACTTCAACTCCCAGAATTCCCCAGCCAACCCTCTGGAGTTGAAGTCCACAAGTTTTAAAGTTTCCAAATTTGGAGACCCCCCCTTGATTCTAGGTCAAGAAGTTGGCAATCTAGATCAATATCTACATATGGAAGAAGAAAAATGACCCTGAGAACACACGCACAGCTTTAAAACCAAATCAAATCCAAAATTGTGATTGTTTTCCTAACTGGTGCCTTTGTCCTTGAAAATATGCCGAATAACATGCTGAACCTTTTGTTTTTCCCCTCCCAAGGACCACCAGGCGTTCCTGGAATCAGGAAAGATGGTCGGAATGGTGCACCCGGAGAGCCCGGGTTACCAGGGGACACTGGAAGACCAGGCTCAGCTGGAGCACAAGGAACTCCAGGACCCTGTGACACGTCTGCCTGCATGGGAGCTGCTGCTAGAGGGATATTCAAGAATCGTAAATCTGCATGAAGTTGAATGAAGAGAGGAAAGGGAAGCACAACATTCAATGGAATTGTTACCAAAAGAGAGTATTTGTAGCTCAAGGTTGAACTGTAGGGTCCTTGGTCGTCTCTGAGCTTGATGGTTTTCTTGCAGAAGTTTAGTTACCCAACTAGGCGACATCATCAGTGCATTGATGATGTCACCTAGTTTGGTAATGAAACGTCGGCAAGAAAACCTCCCTACCTTAGAGAGGACCAAGGACCCCACAATGAAACGTTGTCCCGACTGAAAGAAAGTTAACAAAATGCTATATTTCAGTTCCACTGGAGAAGAAAAGATCAACTTATACATAATGGACCCTGTAGTTAATTTCTATTTCATGCCATGTATAAACAAGCAGTTTTTTTGAAGAGATACACCGTTATTCCTGAAGTATTTTCCAGTTAAAGGGTTTCCCTCTTCCTAAGATTATACCAGTTTTTGCAATGACATCATTTGGCACTGTTTGGTGTTTATTAATCCCGTGTTATTACTGGTAAAATAACAGATGTAAACGTATTATTTGCCAGATGGTCCGACTGTATATACCTGGGCAGGTGATTCAGACAGGGAATGTAGACGTAATCCTGTTAAATGGCTAGGAAGTGGGATACTTCGCAGAGCTCCCTATTTTGACTGGGGTTCACAAATGTAAAGGGTGAATTGAATCAAACTGGATAATTAAAATTACCATTTATAAAATGAGCGTAATTCAAAGATTCCCTTGAAATTCACTCCCCAACGTTTTGGGTCCACAACAGCTTAATCTATTGGATCAAAAGCCATGTTGGACTCCATCTGAGTTTTTAATGGGTGTGAATTAATCACAACTGCACTGGAAACAGATTCTACAACATTCAATGGAATATCATGATATACTTAGAACTCACTCTAGGGTGTGAATTCTTAGTAAATGTCCATTCTAATGCATGGTTTATGAGGAAAAATGTGCGCACATCTGTTTCTTAAGAGATTAATTTAAACATTTCTCTATTATTATTATACAGGATATTCAGTAACGACACATTATACCCTTTCCACATTAAGTATGAATACAAACCCAAAGTACAGAAAACAAACCATCGAAAATGAGTGTATACATTATTGTAAAAATAAATTTAAAAACTGTAATATTGTGCCTGCCTATCTTACAATAGGCTAATTCTGCTTTGTTTTTTTTTAATTTGGTGATTGAAAATAAAGGGTCCACACAAGTGTGAATATCCGTGATTTAAACAGTATTTATTTTGTGATAAGTTCTGTATAAGAATACCTATTAGCATTATCTGTTCTGATAAAGCCACTGTCAATTAAATATGCTAAATACATCAGCTTTCCTAACAAATATAGCTAGTAGTTAAGTTACCTTTTAAAAAATGAAAGGAAAAAAAAATATGTGCACTTAAAATTCATGTATTTTTACAAAATATCACTTTTGCACTAAAAGAATGAGAATTGTCACATAAAACACCAGAGAAGTCGATGAGATTTTCATCAGAACTTACAGTTGCATTTCTTCTATCCATTGAAATGGATGTTTGTGCAAAATATAATCTTTTTCTTTATCCTGAATGAGAAGTTCTTAGAGAAAGTGCAAAACATATTTAAAATAGTAGTGTGTTTGTAACGCATAGTGAACAGCTTTTTCTATAGATTTTAGTTTTACGGGGTATGAACTTTGAAAAAGGAAAGATCTGAGTTACTATATACAATTACCATTTTTATATAGTTCATAAATTACTTACATTTCTTCTTCCAATAGCAAAACTGGTTTCTCATGGCACATCTATTAATTTATATAAATATGAGCACGCTTAAGAGGGGAAAGAACAGGTTGCTACACATGTAGCATTTTAATTATTATATATATTTCATAAAACAAAATCAAAAATAGAAATGGGATGGAGAGTAGCATTTAGTAGTCTTGAACAATATTTTTGTCCTGCCTCAGATGAAAAGCTCTACTAAATTAACATTGTTGGTTTTGTTCTTTTTTCCTTGTTTTGAATAAACTTGTCAGTGTTTATATATATAAATATTGTCAACCATATTATAAGAAAAGTCCAGTGGGTGAATTTAGCTTCAGACATCCTGGATCATTTTTCACCAGCTCTTGAATATGAGGATCGTGTTATTTCATGTCCGTAGATGTACTATTCTGTGTGATCTCCTGGGCTGCACAGGTTGCTATGGGATCTGATCTTGTTAATTTTAGCCTTCTGCCTGTTTTACCACAGAATACAGTTTCAAATTCCTAAAATCCCCCCCCAAAAAAACACAATTCCAAGATGAATGAATAACATTTACGACAACTCTATGCACAAAGATATCCCTAAAGCCAGTAAATACAGTGGCATCTAAAATTATGCAGTTTATCTCAAAAACTTTTGTAGGGTGTTTTTTTTTTTAAAGGTCCAGTACACACAAATATACTTGGTCAATACAAATTATTTTAATAAGAGTGATAACCAGCTACTTTACTCAGGTGTGATAGAGCTGCTTGAATGTAATGAGCAGCTGAAAAACATGAAGCTTATCAATGATTTGCCATTGCCTCTTTCCTAGGGCTGAGAGAGAGTGACTGGCCCAAGGTCACTCAGCTGGTTTTGTGCATAAAGGGAAACTAGAACTCACAGTTCCCCCCTGCCTCCAGCTTCTAGCCTGATGCCTTCACCACTACATCAAACAGGCTCTGGATTAAAATTATGCCTGTTCTTTTGCTCTATTGAATGTAGCTCAAGAACTAATTTTGTTATATGGGTATACTGTGTATATACATACAATGACAATAAACTTTAATTTTAAAAAATGAATCCACAACTAAAGGAAAGACATGCTCTCTAGCATCTTTATCTACCTGGTTCATCTTAGGAACATCTTAAGTACAGTAAATTCAAAACTGACATGAGTATTGATTGGCTGCTCCATAATTACTCAATTGTATCTTACTGTTTACTGGATACCTGATTTGACATTTCTAGGGTGAAACCTTTGATTGACATGTCCTTCTAGTCTAGAATCTAAAGTTTATATTTGGTACCTGTCTTAGCTTCACAATATTATTCTATGTAAAATATAATACAATCTACTCAAAACAAATGTAGTCAAATTCAACTAAGCTTTAGTTTAATTGTGAACATGTGTGTTGCATGAACTCAGTCCCTGACACCCTTTCAAGGTCAGAATTTTGTGCAGACTCAGCCAATTGTATGTCTATGAGATATGTACGAGTGCAAATTATGATTTAATGTGATCCTAAACAGTTGACAGCATGAACAACCATGAGAAAAGTTTATACGAAGTACAATAATACCAATTGCTTAAAACAAGAGGTAATAGACTTGGTCTGCCTTCTTAACAAGAATATTCTGCCTGTCTCCCTTGCACTGGTTTTCCATTTTACCAGAATCCAGTCTGTTTTATCCTAACAAAGTTTTCTTCTGATCTCTGGAAACAGTCTAAAACCTTGATTTTGGTTCTTGAAGCACTGAAGAAGTCAATATAATATGTGAGCGCTGATTGGCAAAAGAAAGTATTTATTATGGTGCACTGCTTTTAAATATGCTGCTTGCTTTTAAATATATGCATATATTTCTTTAGATTATATTGTGTTCTATCACTTCTGTCATCTTCTATAGCGTTTAAACTTCACTGTGTACATCTTTAAAAGCATGAAGAAAAGTTTGTGCTGTAACAGCTAAGCCACATGCCTTACTTAATTAAAACATTTCCTGCACAAGGAAACAGCTGCTGCATCCCAACACTATCAGAGGTGCTAATGGCCTTCGGCAGGAACGTTGCTGAAGGACTTTGTGCATCCTACAGAACTAGCACTGAACACAAATCAAATGTCTTGGCGATTTCAGCCAGTTTTCTCCCTTTCTAATGCAAGAAGCATGGGGACGCGGTGGCTCAGTGGCTAAGATGCTGAGGTTGTTGATCGAAAGGTCGGCAGTTCAGCGGTTCGAATCCCTAGTGCCACGTAACGGGGTGAGCTCCCGTGACTTGTCCCAGCTTCTGCCAACCTAGCAGTTCGAAAGCACGTAAAAAAATGCAAGTAGAAAAATAGGGGACACCTTTGGTGGGAAGGTAAGAGCGTTCCATGCGCCTTTGGCCTTTAGTCATGCCGGCCACCACCACGGAGACGTCTTCGGACGGTGCTGGCTCTTTGGCTTTGAAACGGAGATGAACACCGCCCCCTAGAGTCGGGAATGTCTAGCACATATGTGCGAGGGGAATCTTTACCTTTACCTTTAATGTAAAAATGTGCACATGTGATGTGCAAACTCTAAAAATTAGGCAAAGAAGAGAACGTACTCCCAAATAGCTGGGGTAAAATAATAGTAATAAGGCCCTTACACTACACATACAATATCATCTCCCCAGCTAAATGTCAGTGGAGATTCTCAGTCATCCAGGTCATGGTTGTCCCAAAGGTGCTTTTTCAAGAGGCAAATGGACTTCCTTTGTTTTTCTTTGAAGACATTTCGCTTCTCATCCATTCTTCAGCTCTCCAGACTCCAACTTTTCCAACTCCAGAGCTGAAGAAGCTTCTTGGCTGAGAAGCGAAACGCCTTCAAAGAAAAACAAAGGAAGTCCAGTTGCCTCTTGAGAAAGCACCTTTGGGATCTCCCCAGCTACCAAAAGATTTATCCAAGCCTGTCCTATATAATGAGAAAAACATTGGTAGCTATTACTCATTGGGTTAATATTAGTGTCTACCTGTTTAGCTTATAGACTGTACCTTATGTAACTTACAGGCTGAGCAACTGAAGATGTACAGAGTATGAAAAGAATAAAAAATGATCCTATGAATAATCAAATATTGTCCAAAGAACATTGAGGTATTGCTATAACTTTCTTATTACAATGCTCTATATATTAATGTGGAGCTTATTGACCTTTTTCAGAGAATCTCCATGTCGCTCTTGAATATATTTTAGAAATGCTGTTGTCCATTGCAAGGTTGTTGCCTTGTCAGTGTCTGAAGTGCAGAATGGAACTAGAAGATTTAATTCATCACAGCAAATCCTGATTCTGCGCCTAGAAATATATATATGATCATGGTCAATTCTTGAACCCGAAAAGGCTTTATACAGATAGTCCTCAATTTACAACCATTTCCAATAATGCCGTTGGAAAAAAGTGACTTATGGCCAGTCCTCACACTTATGACCATCGCAGCATCCCCACGGTCATGCAATCAAAATTAATGCACTTGATAACTGGCACACAATTATGACAGTTGCAGCGTCCTAGGATTGTGTGAATACCATTTCCAACCTTCCTAGATGTCTTCCGACAAGCAAAATCAACGGAATTAACTGTGTGATTCACTTAACAACTGCAATGACTCGCTTAACATCCGTGGTAAACAAAGTCATAAAATCAGGCATGACTCACTTAACATCCACCTGGTTTATGAATGGAAATTCTGGTCCCAACTCTAGTCGTAAGTCGAGGACTACCTGAATGTACAAACTCCATATTAAGTAACTAGTCAAATATGCTTGTAAGGTTATTACACAATATGAAGCATTTTTTAAAAAAGCTTTCCAAAATCCATCTTTAAATTAAACTTGCCCCTTTGCCCCGACACCAAAACAATACGCAGTCTGGTCTCATTCATTTCTCGTACTGCTTCACCTGTTCTTCTTGATTCCTGGGAAATCTTATTTTGCTGTTCTGCGAAACACGACACACTGATAGAACTGTTTAAAGATTCCTCTTGAATAAAAGAATGAGATTAGGGAAAGCATCTGCCAGGAAAATAGATCGCTAGCAAACCTTCAAGGGTTGATGACAGATGAAAATACTTCAATTATCTAAAACTACCCTAGGTTTTGAAGGGACACGGTGGCTCAGTGGCTAAGATGCTGAGTTTGTCGATCGAAAGGTCAGCAGTTCAGCAGTTCGAATCCCTAGTGCTGTGTAACGGGGTGAGCTCCCATGACTTGTCCCAGCTTCTGCCAACCTAGCAGTTCGAAAGCACATAAAAAATGCAAGTAGAAAAATAGGGACCACCTTTAGTGGGAAGGTAACAGCGTTCTGTGCGCCTTTGGCATTGAGTCATGCCAGCCACATGATCACAGAGACATCTTCAGACAGTGCTGGCTCTTCGGCTTTGAAATTGAGACAAGCACCGCTCCCTAGAGTCGGGAACAACTAGCAATTATGTGCGAGGGGAACCTTTTTCCTAGGTTTGGTGAGTAAAAGAAGATGACTACTGGGTTCCCTCTTCAACCACTCTGCTAATCTCCCTTTCCATCATGGGAAATTCAACAAAGCGAGCCCAGGAAGGACTGAGAATTAATGACACTTCAGAACACCCAATCCACCATAACCATAAATACTTGTGATTCTTTGGGAAATTCCTAAGCTGGTCTAGTATTGCTGCCTGATGTTTCCAGTAAACTGATTTTGCTTAGTTTTGCTTCGAGTTTTCATTGAATCCATGGGTTAAGACCTAGCTGTCTGGAAAAGGCTCTGATGCTGGGAAAGAGTGGAAGGAAAAAGAAAAAGGTGATCACCATTAAGTTAGACTCAGTTATAGTGGGAAGGAGGGAGCCACTGAAGACCTCAAAGACTGGAGAGGGGAGGAGGAGGAGGAGGAGAGGCAGGAGCCTGAGTGATGTAGGAGGCTAATGCCTCCTACTAAGGCAGCATTTAACATCCAGCTGCCTGCAATTACTGCGAGTTCAATTCTCACCAGGCTCAAGGTCGACTCAGCCTTCCATCCTTTCTAAGGTGGGTAAAATGAGGACCCAGTTTGTGGGGGCAATAAGCTGACTTTGTATAAAAATATACAAAAGTATGAAGGCTATTGCTTAATGCATTGTAAGCCGCCCTGAGTCTCCGGAGAAGGGCGGCATATAAAAATAAAATAAATAAAAAATAAAGGGGGAGAGAGAGAGGAGGCAGAGGAGGAGGAAAGGCATAGAGGCAGGGAGAGAGGGAGGAGATGGAGGAAGAGGGAGGGAGATGGGGAGAGGGAGGAGGTGGAAGAGGAAGAGGTGGAGGAGGAGGAGAAGGCATAGAGACAAGGAGAGAGGGAGGAGGAAGAGGAGGAAGAGAGACGGCAGAGAGAGAGGGAAAGGAGGAGAAGGGTGCTAACAAACATTGAACTGTCACATATTGGTAGGTCTAAGGTCTTAACAAAACATTAGCCTTGTTGTGCCTGTGTGTAAAGGTACTGCTGAGAAAATAAAAAAGGAACTATTGCAATATTATAATTTGTATTGCACCATCATATTGCTTGCATTGTACAGTTGATTTGTTTTGAATGTCGAAAGAGAAATCCGCCCCCCGCGCCCTCCCCCAAGAAATGCAGGCTAAGGAAAGATTTTCGTTTCTGAAAATCAGGACATGATATTACGACCTGTTAGGATCCTTAGCAGTACGAGTTGTAGAATGACCAAACCAGTGATGAAATTCCATTTCTTTTACTACCGGTTCTGTGGGCGTGGCTTGGTGGGCGTGGCAGGGGAAGGATACTGCAAAATCTCCATTCCCTCCCTACTCCTGGGGGAAGGATATTGCAAAATCTCCATTCCCACCCCACTCTGGGGCCAGCCAGAGGTGGTATTTGCCGGTTCTCCGAACTACTCAAAATTTCTGCTACCAGTTCTCCAGAACCTGTCAGAACCTGCTGGATTTCACCCCTGGACCAAACCCTGTATTAAATTATAAAATGCATTATTTTGAACATGTATACAGTACTTTTAATTTATGCGGGCTGGTGGTGCATTCTTTTTAATTGAAAAGGCTCGCAAAAAGGGAATTTGAAATACTTCCATAGGGAACGGCTAAACTCAAGCAGCCATCAATAGCAATTACCTTCTGTCTCTTTCCATCCGGTTGTGCCTCTCCCGGCGTTGGGAGACGCTGCCTTGGCTTCCATTGTGGGTATTTTGGGCTGGCTGGACTGATTGCCATGAACTCTGAGCTGGAGCTGCATTTTGATTCTCACATACATTCTGAATGTCACCAAGAGGCCTGCGCTGTATGTTGGTATCCAAAGGATGGATACGGCTACGGCTTCTTCTGTTTATCGACTGCTTACATAAAGCCTCTCCTTTGCACAAAAGAAAAAGGGAAAGGGAGTCCTATTTTGCCATTGTTCGTGTATATCAAAATCAAAATTAACGACCCCATAATCCCTTGCAGGGTGGAGTCTGGGCAACTGAATGAAGCCTGCAGAGTGTTTTAATAGCCGGACGCTCTTCCTGTCACCAATGCAGAGTTTTGTTTAGCAGATATATTCTCAGTGTGCCGAGAGAGAGAAATATCTGCCTCTATCTAGGATCAAACTCACAGCCTCCTGATTGTGAGGCGAGATCTCCACCTCTAGGCCACTGCACCACTCCTTTGTGTATATCAAAATAACGGTTGAAAAATAATTTCACTCTGCAACCCCTCTGGTTTACAGGTAGTCCTCAATTTAAAACCAGTACAGGTAGTCTTCGACTTACAACAGTTCATTTAGTGACCGTTCAAAGTTACAATGGCATTGAAAAATGTGACCTATGACCGTTTTTCAGAGTTACAACCTTTGCAGCATCCCCATGACCATGTGACCAAAATTCAGATGCTTGGCAACTGGTTCATGTTTATGACCGTTGCTGTGTCCCAAGGTCACATGATCCCCTTTTGCGAGCTTCTGACAAGCAGAGTCAATGGAGAAGCCAGATTCACTTAACAACTGGGTTATTGACTTGTCAGCTGCAGGGATTCACTTAACAACCGGGGCAATAAAGGTCGTAAAATGGGGCAAAACTCACTTGACAAAGGTCTCACTTAACAACAGAATTTTCGGGCTCAATTGTGGTCGTAAGTCGAGGACTACCTGTACTTCAAAGTTTCAACAAACCTTTCTGGAGGTACTTATGACCTGATTCCAAAGTTCTGATGGCCACCCCATCACACGGCCATGTGACTGCATGTTGGGGGCTTTGCAACCAGCCATTTTCGGTATCCTGAGGTCACATGACCACAATTTACATTTGGCCAAAACTCAACAAGAGTACACTTAAGGAACACTGCACAAAAGGTCATAAAATTGGGTTGGTCAGATGGGTGATCTGTTTTGTGACCATCATGATTTATGACCATAGTGAGCAGCCTCCATTATGGTGGTAGGTTAAGGACTGCCTGTATGTATATATATATATATTGTATATAAACTGTTGTAACAGCCTTAAAAAGTAGTAGGGTTTTATTCGCCCAGCTGTGGCCACTATATTGTTATCTTTTGATTCTTCCGTAGACACTTCTGCATCTTAGAAACATAAATACAGTTGCATCTTAGCAGGATGTTAAAAGAAATATCTACTTACCATGTTTCCCTGAAAATAAGACCCTGTCTTATATTTTTTTGAACCCTGAAATAAGCGCTTGGCCTTATTTTTGGGGAGGTCTTATTATCTTGGGGCGCATGGAGCAAGATGGGGCTCCTCTTGCCATCTTACTTGATTTCCAGCTCTGCGTTTAAATATTTTCAGGGGGAGGCTTATTTTAGCGCATGTGCTCAAAAGCCCGATTGGGCTTATTATCAGGGGATGTCTTATTTTTGGGAAAACAGAATAAGATATAGAAATTATGCCACCATTTTCAATTTAATAAAATCATTAAGTCATTTTTAAGAGAAATTGCATCTCTAATATTCCCATTGAAATGTCTTACTACAGAACAAAAATCAGTGTGAAAACCAAAGGTGATAATTTATCCCTTAATTTATAATTCCTCTGCTAATTTGAAATTATTATACCCTCTTAAATGTATCCCTGCTGGCTGGCAAGTTATAACCATAATTGCAGGGCCGAGCTGAGGACTTTGTGCAGTATCTGTATGATAAAATCGCTCAGATTCGGGAAGGGCTGGCCTCTGACTGGGTATGTCCGGATGGGATGACTGAGGCAGGTCTTGAGAGTGTTATCTGGGGGGAGTTCGATCCTGTGGCTCCCGAGGACATGGACAGGGTCCTGGGACGGCTGAATGCGACCAAATGTTTATTGGACCCGTGTCCCTCCTGGTTGGTACTGGCTTCCCGGGAGGTGACACGAGGCTGGCTCCAGAAGATTGTTAACGCTTCTTTGAGTGAGGGGGTCCTGCCGGCCGCTTTGAAAGAAGCGGTTGTGAGGCCCCTCCTCAAGAAGCCCTCTCTGGATCCGGCTGTTTTGGCTAACTATCGTCCAGTCTCCAACCTTCGCTTTGTTGCGAAGGTTGTTGAGAGTGTGGTAGCACAACAGCTTCCCCGGTACCTGGATGAAACTGTCTATCTAGACCCGCTCCAGTCCGGCTTCCGACCTGGGCACAGCACGGAAACGGCATTGGTCGCGTTGGTGGATGATCTCTGGAGGGCTCGGGATAGGGGTTGCTCCTCTATCCTGGTCCTGTTAGACCTCTCAGCGGCTTTTGATACCATCGACCATGGTATCATGTTGCACCGGTTGGCGGGGTTGGGGGTGGGAGGCACCGTTCTGCGGTGGTTCTCCTCCTACCTCTCTGACCGGTCGCAATCTGTGTTGACGGGGGGGGCAGCGGTCGACCCCGAGGCACCTTGCTTGTGGGGTGCCACAAGGGTCGGTCCTCTCGCCCCTTCTGTTCAACATTTATGTAAAGCCACTGGGTGAGATCATCCGTGGCTTCGGGGTGGAGTTCCATCAGTACGCTGATGACACCCAGCTGTACATCTCCACCCCAGGCCACCCCAATGATGCCCTTGAAGTGATGTCCCAGTGCCTGGAGGCCGTGCGGGCCTGGATGGGGAGAAACAGGCTCCGACTCAACCCCTCCAAGACCGAGTGGCTGTGGCTTCCAGCGTCCCGATATAGCCAGCTGACGCCATCGCTGGCTATTGGGGGCGAATCACTCGCCCCCACGGAGAGGGCTCGCAACTTGGGCGTCCTCCTGGACGCACGGCTGTCTTTAGAAGACCATTTGACAGCCGTGGCCAGGGGGGCTTTTTATCAGGTTCGCCTGATACGCCAGTTGCGCCCCTTTCTAGATTGGGACTCTCTACGCACAGTCACTCAGGCACTAGTCACTTCCCGCCTGGACTACTGCAACGCTCTCTACATGGGGCTCCCCCTGGGGTGCACCCGGAGGCTCCAGCTGGTCCAGAATGCGGCCGCACGGGGGATTATGGGGGCGACGAGGCGCTCCCATGTGACACCTCTCCTGCGCGAGCTGCACTGGCTCCCGGTAGTCTTCCGGGTGCGCTTCAAGGTGTTGGTGACCACCTTTAAAGCGCTCCATGGCTTAGGGCCGGGGTACTTACGAGACCGCCTACTGCCACCAATAGCCTCCCACCGGCCAGTACGCTCGCACAGAGTGGGCCTCCTCAGGGTGCCGTCCGCCAGACAATGTCGGCTGGCGACCCCCAGGGGGAGAGCCTTCTCTGTGACGGCGCCCACCCTCTGGAATAACCTTCCCCCGGAGTTACGTATAATAACAGACCTCCGGATTTTTCGTCGGGCCCTGAAAACTTATTTATTTCAACTAGCTGGGCTGGCTTGAGCTAAATTTTAAATTGGTTTTAAATTGGGTTGTTTTAATTTACGGCCAGAATATCTAATTATTTTAATACTGTTTTTTAAATTTTGTATGCTTTGTTTTTACTTAGGCTGTGCACCGCCCTGAGTCCTATTTGGAGAAGGGCGGTATAGAAATTTAAACAAATAAATAAATAAACAAATAAATAATTAATCATGCAATAGTTAAACCTTATGATTCTAGTTGCTTCTGACTTCAACAGCAGTAGATACACCTACCTACTGTACATATGGAAGAAAGTGCTGTAGAGTCTGGAGAACTGACCTAAATTCCCTCTTGGAAAAAGAAAAGTTTTTAGTTTGCTCAATTCTGAGTATTTTTTGTTGCTTTTTCTAGTACTATGCAAACAAAACACTAAAAAAGAAACATTGTATTCAGTAAAATCCATTAATACCACAACACGCCCAGGGTCATCCATAACTTCTTCATATCTTCCCAAGATATTAAAAAAAATTAATTTGTGGCGCAATTTGCATGAAACGTACTGTTAAAGAATTATTTTTCTTTAAATCGAGATCCTCAAGAAGCTAACAAAAGCATGAGGGAAAAAATGTCACCATTTACCTCCCAATTTAATCCAAACATGCTCAGGTACAGCTTTATTTCTGGCACCAACTGTTTGTTTGCTAGTTTCAATTTCTTGCTGGTAACATACAGAAAAAGCTCGAGGCAATGCAAGATCTTGATGTTTGACTGTTTCTACAACACTGGCTCCAGAGCTCTATATGGAAGAGAAAGAAAAGAAAAAAAAAACCTAAATTTGTAAATATTGTAAATTTAGTTTGAAAGCAAGAAAATAGATTGGATAGGATACAAAGCAAAAGAGAAGACTTTGGTGGGGTTTTTTTTTTCCTCTCAAATCTTTCCCACTTAGTTCCGCTGTTCTTTGTACCGTGGCCAAATTTGTTGCTTCCATCTTGTTTCCAACAAGAAACCTATATGATTCAAAACACAAGATTGTAAATCCCTATTACAAGTTGTCCTCAACTTACATCAGTTCATTTAGTGACCGTTCAAAGTTACAATGGTACTGAAAAAAGTGAGTGATGGCTGTTTTTCACAGTTATGACCTTTGCAGCACGCCCATGATCATGTGATCAGATGCTGGGCAACTGGTTAATATTTATGACCGTTGCTGCGTCCTTAGGTCACATGATCCCCTTTTGCGACCCTTCTGTCAAGCAAAGTCAATGGGGAAGCCAGATTCACTTAACAACCAGGTTACTAACTTACCAACTGCAATGATTCACTTAACAGCTATGGCAAGAAAGGTTGTAAAAAGGTGCAAAATTCACTTGACAAATTTCTCACAGAAATTTAGGGCTCAGGTGTGGACAATGTGACCTGCACTGTCTTCCAGAGGTCTGAATAATGTAAAGCGTCAACTGAAATATCAAAGGAGGAACAAAATGAGGACCCAGATTGTTGGGGGCAATATGCTATTTAGTATGCTGTCTTTGGTGTAAGCCGCCCAGAGTCTTCAGAGAGTGGGTGGCATAGAAATATGACTAATAAAATAAATAAAATAAATAATAAAATAAATGAACAAACCTGCGCTTGTGCAGCATTGGTGTTTCCAGTTGCAGGAGAAGCAGTGTTTGGCGTGAAGACTGGACATGTGAATTGCAATGCGGTGGTGGCAGTAGCTGCGGTCCTATTTTTCACTAAAGCAGTACATTTGTTCTGCTGCTGGTGGAGAGGAACACCCATCGCTTCTGAAGGATGGCGAATGAGGGTTACTAAACTATGAATGAGATCAATAAAAGAATGGAGCTTGTTTGAAATGAATCCTTATTTTCTTATATTAATAGTCACCTCAGAATACTAGTTAAACATAATACCAACCATATATCCGGACAAGGTGTTTAACAGATTTTTTTTTAAAATCCAAAGAAGCATGCTTGTTTCTTAAACTTTTTGAAATAATAACAAAGTGCAGTAATAATTTATTTTTATAAACATCTGCCTTCATGATACTTTAGTTTTAGATTTCCTATATAGCTATAATTATTTAAGTTGAGAATCAAGATGAAGGTCATCACCATATAGCAATAGCACTTAGACTTATATACCGCTTTACAGTGCTTTATAGCCCTCTCTAAGGGGTTTAGAGAGTCCTGCAGTACTGCACTCTAACCACTGTACCGCCGTGGCTCATAGTTCCAAGCTAGTTTCAAAGTATTCCCACTTTTTCAGATTTTCTGAAGTTTTTTCCAATTCTTGTCACTACATGTTATGAGAACGTCATGTAACTATTATGATGTATTGAGTCTGAGTTAAAAAAAAAACTTTGATGCCTGTGTCATTTATTTCATAAAGTCAATGTGCAACGTGTCAGTATGAAAAGGATATTTCCCCAACTAGCTCAATCAATTCAGTTGAACAGATTACTAGAAACAAGCTATCTTTGTAGTCACATTCTTGGGGAGACAAAAGAGTAGGTTTTTAATTCATTTTTAATTTTTTTATATTTTTGGCATCCTGCCCAAATTACTAGGCTCTGAGTGGTGAATAATAAGCAAACCCAGAAAAAAAAATTTGGGATAATAGTAGTTTAAAACAGGACTGCACTTGAAATGCACTATGGTCGGTTTATCTCAAACAAAATGGATACTTAGTATTTTACAATGAATAAAAAGAGTAACTTCTATAAGAACCACAAATAAAGCCAATTTAGAATCTGAACCAAGTCTGTACTATATTCTTATGAGGAAAATTTGGTAGTGAAATTATTCACTGGCAATTTACAGTATGTCTAATTATTTATGGGACTATTGATTTCAGCATATATGGACTGGAAGCCAATGATCTTGTGACAAATTTTGAGTACCAGATGAGCCTGGTGGCGCAGCAGACTAAAGCAGTTATTAACAGTGCTGTTATTAACATCAGCTGCCTGCAATTACTGTGAGTTCAATTCTCACAAGGCTCAAAGTTGACTCAGCCTTCCATCCTTTCTAAGGTAGGTAAAATGAGGACCCAGATTGTGGGGGCAATAAGATGACTTTGTATAAAATATACAAAAGTATGAAGGCTATTGCTTAACGCATTGTAAGCTGCCCTGAGTCTCCGGAGAAGGGCGGCATATAAATCAAATAAAAAAAAAAATCAGTCTAAACTTTCAGTAAAAAAACTTTAGAAAGCACATATGCTTGGAAATCAGGTCATTGCATCTTGAGTTGACCTCGACACATCCGTGCAGTTATCTTGATAACAACATGGAAGTCATTTGCTATTCCATTTTCCAGCATGTAGTTTTAATCCTCAATCTAACCTGAATCTTGGGGTTTCTTTTGTGGTGATGGATCCAAGTACAAACTAGTCTAAATCTGCTTGGTTTTCTGGTCAGACAAAATTGGCATAGAAATCTTTTTTAGTGCAGGCATAGGCATCTGTAGGTAGGAGGCAAACCACAATACGCTTGTCATGACATCATCACACAAATGATGCAAATTATGTACTTGCATCATTCATGCATTTACATAATGACATAATCTGCACAATGACATCACATCATGCATGTCATCATTTTGACCTTTCTGTTGTGTTAAGAGATGCCTTAATGCAGGGAATTAGAGATTCATAAAGAGCACTCAAAGCTCCTCTCTCTTAGGAGTGATTCAATTAAAAGATTGCATTATTCTAAAAACCAGCGCACACAACTAATATGGGTAAGGATTCATATGGAAGTTTAAAATCATCCTTAATTAAATATAACTACCTTACTTTTAAAACCAAGGGAGCTGAAAATTGGAATGACCGTTCCTTGCTGTATATGTATACCAGATGGTAAATACAATTATAATTAACTTGAATATAGTACTGATGGTAATTTCTTTCTGGAAAAAATAATATATAATTAACATATAGTAAATGTGTGTCCAAACCTCAGCAATTCCCTGGTTTTATTGATGAATCAATATCACCAGCAAATTGAATAATATGTTAAAAGAAAATAAAAATGAAACACACTTGTTAAGGGCTACTCCAGTTTCTTGAGTTTCCTGGCACCTGGGAATTTCAGTCTGGAGACTGTTGAATCTGTCTTCTAACCGAACACGGACTGCAGATTTGGTTCTGGATTCAGGAACTGCTGCTAAAGTTTCTGCAACTACATTTTCTTTATTTATGCCGCCCGAGGTTTCACTATATTTTAATTTTACTAAATTTTGCCCGTTGATATCTATGGAGGAGTTCCCATTAGGTGCTTTTTCAGCTTGGCCTGGTGGTAGGCTAGACTCACTAAGCAACATCATCCTTAGCTCTTGAAAGTCAATATGTCCTAGACATTGATTAGGCCCCGTGAAACTGCTGTCAGAAGTCAAGCCAGACTGGCAGATAATGGGGTAGAGAGACTGGTTTCCAGAGCTGTTTGATGAGAAGCCACCTTGACTGCTAGTAGATGTCGACAAGTAATGGGACTGATTTGCAGCATTGTTGGTTGAGAAGCAATTCAAGTTTAACCTACTTTCCACTTCGTTTTCATTTGTTTGGGCCTCCATATGGGAATAGAGTATATGCTGAAGCTGTGTGTATTCTATTTCTGTCATCTCCACCAGGCTGAGGTCTGTGGTGGTGAAGCTAAGATTGTGCTCACCAAAAGAGGAATCGGTGGGGCCTTCAACAACAGGACCAGAAGCAGCTTGATCTGTAACGACAGCCCGAGGTCCGGAGGCTTCAGACGCCTTGAGGGTTGTGTCTGACATGATTCTGAAGAATACCAATGCCACCACGTTTGGGGACCAATGAATATCCAAAAACCAAGAACACCCACCGGCTCGGTGCACCAAAAACTATGCAATGGTTGCAATCAAGGGCAAGCACTGTGAAAGGAAGTCGATTGCTGTACCCCCCAAAATAACCTTTTGGATCCTTTTATGGAGAGCCACCCCTTCCCAACACAGCACAAACATGCCCAGCTGCGGAAAGCTAGTGGGAACAGCTGCACCATCCAAATCCAATCGGTGCCATCCACATGGCTGGCACGTTTCTTCAAAAACCTTTTGAAATGAAAAGATGCCCCCCAACACACACACACACCCAATCCTCCCCAAATAGGAAGGTCTGGTGGTAAGGAAGGCAGTGGAAGGGCTCGTCTTAAAACTGGGAAAAGCAGAGAAAATTTCTAGGCTAGCAATGTGGGGTGGGGGGGGAAAGCACTTAAGTCCCCCCCAAAAAAGGATTGCACACACACACCACCCCCTTTGAAAAAGCCCTATGCAGACTATGGGTTAGTACTCCTTTTTAAATGTTGTAAGAGGGGAATGAGGAGGGTCGTCAGCCCCTCTTTCCTGGGAGTCCAACAGCCTTCCCCCACATCTCGAGGGAAGAGTAGGGCAGCAGGATCCGAACTCAGAGCCCTCCAGTTGCCCCCTTCGAGGAGGGCCACTTCAAGGAGGGACAACCTGGCCGCTCAGGACAACAGGTAAGTCCCCGCCGTCGCCATAGCAACCAACCAACGGGAGGCCGGCGGGGCAGGAAGGCCACGCCCACCCTCCACCTTGGCCCGGGCGACCGCCGCTCAAACGGCCCCCGAGGCCTTCGGCACGCGCCGGAGGACACGCCCCCCGCTTCCTTCCCCGCCCCTTTCCCTCTGGGCGCAGCCCAACGGACAAAACCGCAACAAACGCCCAGAACGCCGGAAGCGAGAGAGGGGTGGGGCAGGATGCGCATGCGCCCGACGCTTTTCTGGCTAAGCTCCGCCCATTATCTGTCTCGGCTGCCTTGAGGGGAAGCGAAAAAATCGGAATGTCGTTTCGTTCTCCGCCGGCCTCCTTTTTACTCCCCTCAGCGGACAGCCGCGGCTTCTTACCTGTCGTCTTGCAGGGGTTTCCCCCTCCTCGCCCCTCGTAATAAACTATCTTGTCCAGCAAAAGCATTTGGGGGCTTTCCTCAGCTTCCACCCCACCCCCCACCCCCGCCGCCAAGGCTTTTCTGGAAGAGAAGGGTGAAAGGCGGGAAAAGGGCCTAATTCTCTCCTTAGGCCCGGCTGTTCGTACTGCGGTTGCTTTCCTACGAAGTAAAACAAATCCGACAAGATGTTTTCTTCATGCTCATTTTGTTTGCCTCTTTTGGAGGTTTCTTTTGGGGTTTGTTTTGTTTTTTTTTTGCCCCAAAGTCATCCTTTCTGCACGTTTGACCAGCACCTTGCTTGTCCTCATTCAGATTCTCATTTTAAGAAGAAACTTAGAACCTGCTTGTTTTTTAACTGGATGATCAACACGTGTGTGAATTAAGAGCTCTGCCTTATTGGTTCATTTTGTGAATGTAAAACCAAAACGATTCAGATGTCTGTTGTTTACTAGTAAGGGTCGGTGAAGGCGAAATGTCTTTACAAGAAAAGCATTACCCCTGTGATCGTGCCGAGAAATGATAGCGAATAATTCCACAAACTCTTCATTGGGAATGCTTGCCTCTCAAGTTGTAGGTGGTCCATCACTGGAGGCTTTTAAAGAAAACTGCAGGTGATATTTTTGTGTCAAAACTTTTGATTGACTCCTACCACTTTGATTGTGCTGTCAAGTGGTTGCCAATTCCTAGGAATGACATAGAATTCCCCCCCCCACCCCCCAGTCCTGTAGCCCCAATCTGGTCTTTCAATGGTGCACCAGAGGGCAGGACAAGAAACAATGGAGAGAAATTAATGAAGGAGAGAAGCAACCTGGAATTAAGGAGAAACTTTGTAACAGTGAAGATAATTAACCGATGGAACAACTTGCCTTCAGACATTGTGGGTGTTTCATCACTGGAGGTTTTTAAGAAGACTGGACATTTGTCTGAAATGGTATAGGATCTCCTGCTTCAGCAAGGGGCTGGACTAGAAGACCTCCAAGGTCCTTTCCAGCTCTTCTGACTCTGAGACTGGACAGCCATTGGTTTGAAATGGTATAAGGTCTGCTTGAGCAGGGGGATGGATTAGAGGACCTCCAATATCCTTTCCAACTCTGTTATTAATTGTATCTTCTCAGGATTGGTTGGTTGTGTACACTTTACAGTTCCAAGCTGGACGGATTAACATTCCATCCAGCAGATGGCCTGGAAACTTTCAGCCAAGACCACATCTTTTATGCTAAATTATAATATTGGGAAATGTTTTGGCATGTCTCCTTTGTTTAAGGGCAAAAGATGTTCACTTCCACCTATTCGCTGAAGAAAAGAGAGCATGTATTCCAAAATGTCGTTTCAAAAAAAAATACAATTATTGCTTTATGGGTTCTTTTATCCTATCTTGCCACCTGACCTCATGAAATACACATCTTTACTTTTCAGTTTGTTTCTAGTCTTCATGTATCTTAGACTGAAAAAGGAGGCTGTGAGACTGACCAGACCAAAATAAAATCCCAAAGTGAAATATGCAGATCTGTGTATACATTCATTTGTTCACATTGCACTAATACCAGTAATTTTAAAAAGGGGTCTGTGATGATGCTATTCTTTTCCCAAGCTGATTAACTAATTTATGCAGAGACCAATCAAATTTCAGACCTGTAGGTGATGCGGAATTACCTACCCCAATTTTGGGAACCTATTTTTTTTTCTGGAAATACCAGAAAATGTTTAATGCTTTTAATGTCTCTTGGGGGCATCCGTATCATTGCGGAATATATGCTGAAGTTCTCCTTTTAAGCTGCTGTAATAACTGAATATAATTTCCTTCTCTCCCTCCAATTGTCCAACTCTAAACAGCATACAGTTCCCTAATACATGTGGGATTTAAAACAATTCAAATCTCAGTGCAAAGAAAACAATACATTATAATAACAGAAAACCAGGACATCTACTCAGAAGAATGAAGTAAAAAGTTACAGCAAATAGTTTAAGGTTAAGCTGTTGAATTTTAATAGAGCTTAATCTAGTGATTAAAGCCCCAAGCTTAAACTAAGAGACTATGAATTCTAGTCCTGCCTTAGGCACAAAGGTTGGCTTAGACTAGCTGCTAGTCACTCTCAGCCCATAATGTCAGTCTCTGGTGACAAGCTGGTCAGCTAATTCTTGCTGCAACCAATATATCAATATGTGGTTGATATGGGAAAAAAAATCTGTATACTTTGTGAAGCAGTTCTATCTTGTCATGACAAGATATTCTCTCTCCTTTCACACAAATCAAATGTACTCTTATGACTCAAAAATAAATGGAGAAGATCAGAAATATTCCTGAAAGTTTAATTTAGTTGCTGGCCCAGAGGAAGGAGCAATCTATTTCTCAGATTTGAAAATGGTTTTGCATGTTTAACTGTATGAATCACCAACCAAGTCCTGCGTACTGGCAGTACCTTTCATATCCATCCTTTTCAAAAATTGAAAACTGGGTCTTGGATGTTGTGATCAGACGATTGCTATGCTACCTTAACACTGAAAAGATGCACAGTTCCATAATGGAGCCTCTCATAGCATTTCTTAATTGAAAACAACAATAAATATATATATGCAAGATCTGGCCATGTTTCCCAGATTATACTGCCACATTACTAGATTAATGCTCTGATCAGTACCTATAAAACTATTCATGCCAAGGTTTTCTGTAGATGTTTATTTGACTTACAGTAACAAAAATCTATGAAGTTCCACATTTAATGTACAATGATATATTCTGAAATATAAAATACAATTTACAGAAACTTTTGTCAAGTAAACCTAAACAACACTTGATTTAGTATACTTACATGTATGGTTTTAAGTTAGAAACTTCTTGAATAAAAAATTACATCATAGGTATTTGCATTCTATACCACCTCTTTTAATGTTTTGCAAAATATTTTGCAAACAGGCCATTTTTTTAATATCAGCATGTCCATGATGTTTAAAGACTAAGATGTACCAATATAAACTATAACTATGTAGTGATTTATTTATGGGGTAGTACTATTTATATTGCAGGTTTCAAAATGCAGATGTTACGAATTTAATTTTACATTTGCAAATGCTTACAAAAATATCAAAGTAACTGTTTATCTGTAAATGTATAAATCCAATTTAACTGGTAATGTTTTTCTATGTACTGTTTAGAATTATATAATGAACTTGAAGAATACAGAAAAAGTAATAGAATACTGTTTTTCACAGTAAAAAGCCTTCCCTTTTAAAGTACAGAATTGTTAGTAACGGCTTTATTTTTCCAATCTTTACAGAAATATTTACTTCCAATTTTATCACAGTAGCCATGAATTCATATGGACAGAATATATTCCTATCAAAATTAAGAATTTCAGTGCTGTTGGTGTTAGTAGGATAATTACCAGCATCCTGAAATCTCTCCCACTTAAGTTAGAACTTAATAGTTCTTCATCTTGGCTCAACTACACTGTCCTTAGTTCATGAATCTTTTTGACCGATAACCATAAGAAAAGTCAAACCCCTTCAACTCAGTGCTTGATGTATTAATCTTGATAATTCTCCTTCCTCCCACTTTGTTCAGTCAATTTAGGTTAAAAAAAAATCAATCTGTTTTTGTAAAGCTTAGTAATATTGAGTAAAGAGGGCATTAATTTTCATTACACCTTTCATAAAAATACAGAATTTTAAGAGTTTATTGATAAGAAAGGTAGTGATCTATCTAGATATATGTACTTCTTCTCTGAGCTCATAAATCAGTTGAAATTACATTTAAAATGCCCTCGTGTAAAATGTGAGTTTAGAAATTTAACATTTCTTATTCAAATACTCTGCAAATTACAAGTAAGTAGCAACACTGCTCTTCCACCATCATTTGTTAAGTACACAAAAGCCATTTAACTAGTTTAACTCAGGACAAAAATATTGATATTTTTGCTGTTATGTAGGAACAAAAAACACAAAAACACCATGTATTTGAAATGTAAAGTTATGGCTTCTAAAATCTTGTTTGAATTCTCATAAAATTATCAATTAAGTTATTGGAAAACACAACTTTGAAACCTTTAAAAGCAATGTGCTTTTTGAAGACAGTTCCCATTTTTTGTCTGCAAATGGAAATTCAAGATAATAAGGAAAACAAAGCCACCTCATAGAACTGTTAGGTCCCAACCACGATATTTCTCTGGGAGTTAAGTAGGATTCCTACAGGCCCCTACTCTAAAAAGACAAGAGCAGAAGTCCTATGCCCTACTGATTTCTTATCTGTACACAGGTGCTGGGATCAGTCAGGGAAGGACTGTGTCTTCTGTATCTGTAAGAAAACTTTTATGAACAAAACCTATCAAGTCCAGGTTTTTCCCTGCTTCCTATCTTAATATATTGCATTTACAATTCAAAATTCGTCTTTTATGAAAGCTTTTACCAAAGTATTTTCCAACAGAATATACAATATATACAAGTAGTACACAGTCAATTCTTACATGTTTCCCCCTTTACTTCTAAGGGACTCCTCGCTGAAGGGTCTACTTAGCAGAAGCAGCTTCCGGATGTGATGGCTTTTGGCTGCCCATCTGGGATTCTGGCTTAGAGTCTCTATCACATTCTGTACTTTTGCTCCGCTCCTTGCGGTCCCTTCC